AGGCAAGAACGTGGGTATTTAATCTTTGCCATTTATAACATTTATAATCTGTTTGAATTCAATTAGTTTCCTTTGCGGGTACCTGAGTATTTGCGCGCTGACGGCATCGCCGATGACAAGTTAAGTATTATTGAATTTTATAACTTTTAAGCTCGAATGTCTTCCCTATTCCCTCGACATTATCTTTAAATGGGGTTTTTATCCCGACCGCGTTCGCACAGCCCTGCTTGCCGGTATGTAATCATCGTGAATCATAACAGCGCTCGCCAGTCCCATCAAGCTGTCTGATTTGGGGGTGGCTTTCAAATTTCATGCTGTCACTTTGCTAATACTACGTTTGTTTTACGATTAAACATGATCTACATTGACGTAACCGAACATTATAACCGCCATTAACATAATCACTGCGTAAAAAGTGCAAATTTTGATTTTCGTTCGATACTTATACCGCATCTCCAACGTTGGGGAATTAAAGGCGTATAGCGTTAATGACGTCCTTATGACCAAAGTGAAAATCTCAACGTGTAAAACAACTTTGCGTGCTTTTCGCTTCATTTACTTACGCGACTACGGACAACTAGTGAAATACTTAAAATGTAAGTTTTGATGTTTTAATGAGCACTTTAATTAACACTAATTTAACCTGTAGGTTATTCGTTAGATGCATTAAGCGCAAATTTAAAATTATATGACATAAGTTTGCGTATAGAGAAATATGTAAAACTTTAATCTTTGCTTGACTACTTAATCATGAGTGGTTCGTGTGTAGAATGCCCCTCTTCCTGGGGGTTGAGAGCTATTAAGAGGGTAACACCGTATTTATTCAAAATGTATCGACTCAAGGGCACGAGCCACTCCAACCACTCTCACCCCTGCTCCCTGTGTTCGCTCGAGTGCAATATTCCATAACGAAAACATGTGTGCATGCGGTTGCAAAACACTGCGCTAGTTGTTCTACAATACGAGTATAATGCCCCGCAAGCGATTATTAAACGTGTGTTGCGATACATTGTTATTCATTGTGTGCAGAATAAAAAAGAAAAGATAATGTAATGTATAAAAAAAAATTTAAAAAATAAAATATTAGCTTTTCCCCGCGACTTCGTCCCGGTAGTGTTTAATAAAAATGTAATTCGGTTTTACTCTCTTGTTCATGACATAGTAGGTATGTTTCAATTCTAGCAATAAGATTCGCAATTTTATTTTAACGAAATTAATTATTCAAAGAATTGTTAATAATGCACTTTAGCGCGCCATCTCGGATTCAATTATTTAACTATAACTATGATTGAATCTCAATGCCAACTTTTATTTTATAGAAAAGTGCAGGGTTTTTCCGGCAATTATTTGAATTTTTCTAGCCGTAAAAACCATCCTTGGACTTTAACGAACATTTAAAAAACGAATTGGCCAAATTGGTCTAGGCGTTGTTTAGTTATGCGCTTACCAACAGATTTTGCGATTTATTTTTATAATTTTGATAACCATCAACATTGCATTGAATAAAAAAGCCTAGTACGTATTTTGAGTTTCATATCTCAAGTGTCATAACATTTATAAAAAATTAAAGCTAAATTGTTTCTTTTTTATCTGAATGACTAAAATAGAAATATAGTAGTATTTATACCAGTGTCGTTCATCGTTATTGCCACTTTCCAATCTCTGAAAGAAATAAATAGCCTTATAAGTAACTCGCAAATAAATAAAGAGATTTACTGCGAGAAGATGGGAATCGAAAGCGAGAACAGATCTGCAATACACCGAGGTATTTGCGGTTTTGTTGCTGCAATACGATAGATGGAGTAGCTTGATTTGACGCTAGATTTACTTGATAAATTTCGCCATCTATAACGTTCGCTTTTGATCATCGTTTATGATGCAATTTACTCGGCGATATCTCGCCACGACGTTTCTATTATTCGGCTATATGTTCAAGTATCTCCTAGGTATATTTTTCCCTCTATGTAGGTCTCTAAATAAGTGTGATTTATTTTAGTCTCTGGAAAATTGATTCTAGAAGTGGATATTGGACCTATTAAAGTTTTATTTATTTTATTTAATGATATTCTGTGTCGAATAATTTAATAATCGATTGTAACATAATATTAAATTGATGAATTAATTACCCTTATGATGTTATATCAATTTATTAACTTTATGAAACGCTGCGTTTGTTCTGCAGCAGCATAATTAAGTCAATTTAGCAGCCAAAGTGTAGATATAGATGTAGACAATCAATTTAAATAAATGATTGACTTAAAGCAATGAAATGACGATTGGAAGATATTAAATTCGTCGTGAAGAATGTACTGAATGTACTGTACGTGTGCATTCATAACATACAGGGTGTTAAACAGAAATAATATTAAATATGAAGAATTTAATAATATAATAAACGCGTTGAGTTATAACCATAAATATAACCCGTTTAGAAGGGTTTATTCCGTTTGATTGGCTCAATAAGTTTTAAATCTTGATTGTTCCCGTATATTTACAGCTGCGCAACGAGTGTAACGCGTTCTTCTCGGGTTAATTTTACTAAACGCGACCGGCATACAAAACAGTCATTGTGGATGCATGCGCATGCAATGGGCGCGTGTTTCAGTTGATATTACGCATGGATTAATATGATGCTGTGTTTTAATGAAATTTATTAGTTCATTAATTACATGATTGTCATATGCTACTTTAATTTACTTTAAATGTTTAAGTTGGAACGAGTATGATGAATGCTTATAATAAAAACTGTTTCATAATGCTCAGAATTAGATATTTTGCCGAAATAATTTATTAATTTTCTTTGCGTCTCTTGTAACATTATAGTTTAGCTAATAAAACGAAAAATTTGAAGTTTATTGGAACAAATTCTTGCAAACAAAGAAAATGAATTAAATCAAGTTGTGATTATTAATAATTTTCAGTTTTTCATGCAAATATTAACAAAATTTTCCTTAGTTACGTAAATGTAGTGTATTTGGTTGCCTAGTGTGTAAAAACTACTTTACTTGGTTATCTCTTTGCTTCCTATCGTTTCTTATCAGATAAATCTTTGAAAAATACAATGGTCTTCTAATTGCACGCAACTAATTAACCGCCGTTTTGATACTCAGCTTGAAGCTTAGCGTAAACGTTGGAAAATTAGTTTCTTTCATCCTGAAAAGCTGGCCGCTCTTTACGACGCATAGAAAAGTTAACGAGCTTGTTGCATAATTCATTCAGTCATTAAACCTTCACGCAATGCACAAACGAGGTAAATTGTGTGCTTCGAAATAATTGTTGATTTCTTTAAATTTTTCAAGTAGTGTTCGGAAAATTTCCCATTTATAAACAGATGAATTAAAAAATTAATGAGTTTTCCACCACCGGAAAGAAAAATGATGAGCACTTGGAAAATTGATATGCCAAAGTGATGCAAAACCAACAAAAGCAGCGTAAACAATGTCCTGAAGCACGCAGAGCGCACCAAAATTACTGAATTATTAAATAAATTTGCCAGCGCGCGCGCGCGCGCGTATTTACTCTTTTTACTCTTTGTGCGGATGGTATACGGGATTAAATAAATGATTGAATGAAATTTGAGGAAATGGAGAGAGATTCTTTTCGTTTGAGGTTTGGTTTGACTGCTGGCTACGCGTTTCAAAAATGTACCCTTCGTTTGCGTCCCGCGAGGGCATCAAACCAAATCCTGAATAAAATCAACCATTCCCCCAACGCCAACGAACTTCCGCCGCGAACCAACCAGCGAAATTCGATGACGAAATCCGGGAATTGTCGGATTGTCTTTCAAATCACTGATGTTACCGACGCATTACGGTTTATGTTCAATATTTGCAAACATAACACACGCATTGCCCACATTGCAATAAGTTTTGCAAATAATAAAGCTATTATTTGCAAATAGCTGTGATATATTTTTTTGCTGACGAATACATTTTTCATAAATCATAACCACAATAATAAACTCATAATACCCTAATGCTCATGATAACTTGTATAATGCTTGTAATAATGTGAATGGCAAACCGGAAGTCGTTTGCCTCCAGATTGCATATATTTCTTTCTCCCGAAACGAAAGGGGACACAGACAGCTTGCACAAACACTCGCACTCGCTTTCGGAAGTCACCCATTCGAATATATCCATTAATAAAAAAGGCAACAACTCAACTGCGTCTTTTTTTATATATTATGGTGTTATCATCATTAATGGAGCTAAACGCCTCTGAAACCTAAAAAATACATTTAAATACAAATAATTTAATGTTTTATTGCGTATTGAAATAATATGCAATTAATTCCAGTCTCAAAATTAAGTTTTTGCAATAACATTGCAAATAAAGTATTGAAATGTAATTGGTTTATTAATATTTAATTTCAAAATTGCAAAAATATTTTATCTCACTAGGTACTCAATTTGTTCGTGCAGATTTATTAATAAAAAGTTTATTGAATTTTATAGATTTTCAATTAATATGTAATTTATTTTGAATTTAAATTTAAATTAAATTTTAAATTAAATTGACTGGATTATTATTTTATAAAAATGAAAAAGAAATAAAAATAAAGGACATTAGACACGTGACTTGCCTACTGCGTGTGAACTGAGCCATTGTTAAAGGTCATCATTGATAACCTATTGATATTTAGATAAACCACACATTAACATTGCTTGAATAACTCGAATAAAAAAGAAAAAGAATGCAAATGGAATAAAAATTATGAGACCTTCTCATGTAGCATGTGTTTTTATTTTTCACGCATGCGATGGCAAGTGCTTGACTTTTCCCTATCCATATCCGCATGGGACAATAAGAGTCCTGACAGACACGTGCCCTCGCACGTGCCGTTTATCCCTATCTGTCAAGCGATGGCACGGTCGTAGAATTGATATCACAATGGGACCAAATACTGGAAATAACAAACATTACATATGACTAAAAATGTTTCTTCCTGGAACAATACAAAAGATAGGTATTTTTTATTAATTTTAATAAAATTTGCAACCACTCAGAATGTCCCACATCCGTAAAACCACCAAAGGTGATCTGAACGATCATCGTGACAACATGGGCACCCGGCAAAAGTGCACCATGTTGCAGCCTCACGCTCAAGATGCAGAACTGTGTCACATCATCATGGTTGCAATAACTCAACACATTTGTGAAGAGTATGCGAAGATATACTACAGAAATGATCCTGTGAAGTATGATCTTAGTTAAAACGTAGGTAGTAAAAAAAAACACTTTTTTTTTTTTTGGAAAACATTTAATAAATTAAGTATAAACAAAAACAATTAAATAGAAAATAACTTACACAGTACATATTTCTTATTGTTTACGATTTAATAATAATTTTTATACAGTACCTTTTGACGAACAAATTACCTGCTAATTTTTAAAATTTACATATGATTGACATCATTGATGATTTTACGACGAGAGTTTTATTATTATGTCACTTGTGCCCTGATACGTAGGTAGTAAAAAAAAACACAAAGTAGAGACGTTAATAATAGGGAAGAGAGGGGGGAAAAGGGGAGTAATTAATTTAGAGGAATATTTGTGAGAGTTTTTTGGTTATTTCTATAATGATTTTTAAGGGGATGATTTAGTATGTTTTCTGTTAAGTTGGACGCTAAAATGTGATGTTTATAAAAATTGGTATTTAATTTTTTAATGTAATTTGAAATTGTTTCGCAGCGCGTACGTTCATGAATAATTTTGGTGCGAATTCGAGATTGTCGCGTGATTTTGAGTATGTTCCGGAGAATCGCGTTTTGGAAAATTTGCATTTTGGATTTAGTTGTTTTTGCAGCAAGTTCAGTTACTTGTGATCCGTACGTTAAAATTGGAAGAATGTAAGATTTGTAGATTTGGGTTTTCAGATGTGTATTTAATTTTGAATGGGGTCCAAGAAGGGGGTATAATTTTGTTTTGGTAATTCTAGCTTTGCATAAGGCTGAAGAGATGTGTTTTTTGAAAGTTAATTTTTTGTCAATAATTACGCCTAAATATTTAGGGTCGGGTGTTTCTGGGATGTTTAAATTATTTAAAGAAGGAGTAGATTGATGATTTTTGGATTTTCTTCGGTTGCCGAAGTAGGTAATTGTGGATTTTTCCGGGTTTGGGAGGAGTTTCCACTTTTGGTAATACATTTGGAGTTTGTTTAGGTGTTGTTGGGTGTATTTGTTAGCTTGAGCGGTTTGAGATGATGTAGTGATGATTGCGGTATCATCAGCAAACAAGGCAATATCGGTATTTGGATCGGTAGGAATGTCGTGGGTATAAATGTTGTAAAGTTGGGGAGAAAGTACGCCGCCTTGTGGGACCCTGTGGTTAATTTTTGCGAGTTGGAAAAAGTGTTTTGAAGTTTTACTTGGAAAGAGCGATTGCTCAGGTAGTTGCGTATTAGCAGGATTAGATTTTTGGGATATTTTAAGAGAATAAGTTTATAAATTAACGCGTCATGCCAAATAGTGTCGAATGCTTTTGTTAAGTCTATTGTAGTTAAAGAGGTAGTTTTGTTCAGATTAGTGTTAATGGTGATTTTGTTAATAATTCTAGCTATTTGCATGTTAGTAGAATGATGTTTTCGGAAGCCAAATTGGGAGTCAGGTATAACTTTAAGTAATTGGGTGTGTTTTGTTAGTTCTACATTAATAATTTTTTCGTTAAGTTTACCGAGCATAGAAATTAAGCTAATAGGACGATAATTTTGTGGAAGTGTTGGGTTTTTATTCGGTTTTGCTATTGGGATTACTACAGAGTGTTTAAATTGTTTAGGGAAGTAATTTAGTTGGTAGCATGCATTATAGATTTTTACTAGTTGAAGGATAAAGTTGTTTGGATATTTTTTGATCATTTCGTTAGTAATTTTGTCTTTACCAGGAGATTTTTTATTGGGAAGTGATTTAATAAGTGATTGTAATGACGTGAAATTTATAATTGGATCACATGGATTTGTTTGAGGTTGTTGTAGGAAATTTTTAATCGTATTTTGTATGTGGTCATGAAATGTGTTATCGTGTAGGTGATCGGTAAGGGAGGAAGATTTGGAAAATTCGTCAGCCAGGGCATCACTCTTTTCTTGTGTAGAAAATTTGATGCCATTGGCCGTGTGTAATGGAGTGTTTTTTTGGTTGGGAATTCTTAGTTGTTTTATGATTTTATGAACGGATAGGAGATTCTTGGTATTGGATAGTTTATGATTCCATTGCAGGTTGGTGTAGGAGGCAATTTTTTCATTAATTTCTTGGGACATTTTATTAATTTGGGGTTTAAGGATTTGGAATAGATTATATTTTTGGGATGTTTTACGTAGTTTGTTTTTGGTGTTAATTAAGTTTAGGATGTCACGGGGAAGTTGTAATTTATGTGAGGGAGTGTTTATAATTTGTGTGTTTTTGTGGTATGCATGCAAAGTGGCATTTGTTAGTCGGTGCAGGGCTTTGTCAATGCTGTTAGTACTGTGTAATGGAAAATTGGGATTTTGGTTTTTCAGGTAGTTTTTATAATTGGTCCAGTTTGTAATTCGGGAAATTTTGGTATTTAATTTTATGGGGACTTTTAAGTGGATTCGCTTGGCGACAGGTAGATGATCGGAGTCCAGGTCATTGACCGTTGAAGGAGGTTCGACATAAAATTTTAAGTTGGTGACAATTAGGTCTATTGTGGAAGGATTATTGCCATTTGTCGGGTAATGGGTGTAAGAATTTTGTGGGTAAAGTAAGTTAATTTGTGGATGACAATTAAGGAAATCATTTAGGATTTTTCCATTTTGGTTAGTTGATGAATTATTCCAGTTCGTGTGTTTCGCGTTAAAGTCGCCAAGGATTATGGTATTTGGAAATTTTGTGATATATTTTAATTCGTTAAGGTCAGATGCAAATTTCGGATAATTATAGAAGTTGGTAATGCGAATTTTATTTACTAGGATGCTAATTGAGTTTTCGGTTTCGAGGAGTTGATCATAGTGAAGTTCTTTTTTAATGTATATTGCAATTTTTTTGTTGGAAATAAGATTGTAATTCACAATTTTTGGAAGAGGTTTTTTGGATTTGGAGGCTTCTTGTATACATGCAACATGAATTTTGTTTTGTTCTAGAAAATGTCGAAATTGAAGGATTTTGTTTTGTAGGGAGCATGCATTCCATGTAATGATTTTTAAATGATTTAAGGATTTAGGATCCATAATGTTTAAGAATGACTTAGTTAAAATTGCCTTCGGAAACTATTTATACCTGAGCAAGAATAATTTACCTGTAAGAACTACCTGAGTGCCATCTATGAAGTAAAATAAATTTGCTATGGTGAATAATAACCAGTATTCTCAATTGACAGGCAAAAAAATAACTAGGTCTCTCTAATATTCCTATTTGAAGCGTGATAAATTTTAATTGAATTGAATTATGAATTAAGCGTCATCGTTATAAGTGCGCTTATAAACCACGCAATACGCGTGGAAATTAAGCATGATGGTGTTAAGTTATTAAATGTTAACTGCGTGTTGTTGAATTATGCGAGGCATAAATGAGCAGCGAAAGAAGCGTGTAATTAGTTAATTAAAACTTATTAGCTGCACCACGCGGCGGTTTTATGCGTGCTCAATTTAAAATAATTAAAACGCGACAACTCATGCATTCCACTCAAACACAATACTTTTAATATTATTAATAATAAATAAATTTAATTTTAAAATTGGTTAACTTGAAATTTTTAGGTAGGCAACCAATTCTACATTATCTAATAATTTGACATTAGATATAAGTGGCGGGTACTAATTTTTATGCTGATAAGTAGGAAATATTTGGTTCTGTTTTGAATGTGTAACCTAAACATATTATTTTATCAAACACAATATTTTTTTACTATTCTTAACATTTTTTAGTTTTAAGATTAATTAATGTGAACATTTTGAGGTAGGCAACCAATATTACATTGTATAATGATTTGACATTCAATATAAGTGCCGAACACTAATTTTTCTGTTGGTAAGAAATACATGGTTTCGTTTTTCAATGCGTAAGCAAATTATTTTATCAAAAAGAATATTTTTCTCATTTCTTAATTTTAAAATTGATTAATTTAAAAATTTGAGGTAGGCAACCAATATTACTTTATCTAATAGTTTGACATTCGATATAAGTTCCGAACGCTAATTTTTATATTGGTAAGTAATGCATGGTTTTGTTTTTCAATGTGTAAACAAATTATTTTATCATGCACATCAAACAAGCAGCATATTTGATTCGCTGGGTGTCTGAGACACATGTAGACTACAATTCGGGATGTTTTCCATTTATTCTTCTATTCCATTATACTTGCTCTCCCTTGTTTCCGTCAACAAAATAGCAGCAACTTATTTCTTATTCATCAGCTAGGCTGGTTGCTGGTATATCGTCATCGTAAATTTCCTTCTACCGGATTATAGCTGCTTTCTTTGGAAACATAACAAGAGCGTATGTGCGCCCTTATTATATTTTATATCATTTTATATCTCCTGCATGCGACGCGGCTACGCTCCGGCTGCTGTTTTGCAAACCTCGTCTTGGTTTCTCTTATATTCGTGCGGCATTAAAACCGCATGCGTTTTTATTATTCCACCATCGCTACCTTATGTGTTTCTGCATTTGCGTTGCGCGCTGCCTACGAGTACATTGAATTACGTCGACATTATGTATACAATGACGCCGAAATAAATATAATATGTACGGTGTAGTATGTAGGTACTTACATGTCAAGCAATCATGATTTGTATCTTTTCAGGATGGCGCATTGTGTTATTGTTATTTAGTTTTGTATTTCACGTCGGCTTAGCCTGTATAACAAAACTGAGAAAACTAACAAACTGTATTTTTGGTTGCATATTGTTGACTAAGTACAGTAGCCTATTTAACTATTGCACAACAACATCTGAAAAAATACTTGAATCTATTTTTTGGAATTTTTAAATTTTTTGTGTTTGCGTAATGCAGAATAACCATAAAAACACAAAAAAATTTAAAAACTTAAAAGAAAAAAAGTTTTTTTGATGAGGTTATGTAGTTTGACAGCTGGAACAAAAAACATGGCTGCTTTTGGATTAAATTTAGATAATAATTAATTTAAAACAATATTTATTGGTAAAAGAGTACCCTAGAGGTAGTTATTTAAAGATTGAAATTTGAAAATGCATTCCTGACACACCAGACGCAATTATTTGGTTTACACCTTTTCAATTCATGATTGAACAAAGCGTGCAGACTCATTGTGCGGTGATGTGATGCTAGATTTGGTTTATAAAAGACGCACTCGACATTCTTCTGCGTTCACTCCTTCACAGCTTCAAAAGCTGCACTCACCCGCACCTAGCTTGAATATGTGTGAGAAAAACGTGTCTTGAATGTCACTTGCAAGCGTGCAGCTCAGATCGCTAATCAGTTTATTCAATTATTTGTTTAATTGTTTTCCAACTGCATTGTAAGTAGCTGAGAAAGAATTCCGCCCATGTTTATCTGATTTTAAATAGCTTTACATTCATAACCTCAATTTAAGTTATAAAAAATTGATAGTGGTGATGAAGTTGAGTGTTGGGTTGCGGTGTATATCCAATAGCGTGCTTTGGAAAATATTTCAATCTAAAGTCAAATTCGTTCAATACCTTCACATCCTGCGGCTATTTTTCAATAAGAGTTCAATGTGCATGCAAATCATGGATATCTATCAGACTTTACTGCGCCTTTAGTGGCTGCGGCCTCGGCATGCAAATTTAAAAATTGCCTCCCAAAACCGTGCACCCCACGAATGATTTTTACATGCGCGTAGATGGATCGCTGTGGTTATGCCTGTCGGTACAAATTTATGTTCCGCTTCGCGCAACTCCCACGAGGAGTCGCATAAAAATTTCATACTCGCATCTTTTTCGCCGCTCAGGTTTACTTCCTCGCACAATCTATAAAATAAAATAAACGAAAAATTTTGTTTTTCTAAGTTTTTAATTTGATTATCTACAGGTAGGGGAAGGGGGGGCAAAATGGGCCCCTGGGGGCAAAGTGGGCCCCCTGAAATTCAGGAGGCTTAAAAAATTGAGGGCCAAAGTGGGCCCCCTAAAATTTTTGATATATAAGATGAAGTTGCAAGAACAACTTATCCACAACAAATTCGAAGTAAGAAATAAACAAAAAAAAATAATATAAGCAAAAAATTGATACAAAGGTAAGAGCCTAATTTTCATGAGTGGGGGCCCACTTTGCCCCACCCTCCCCTACTTGCTAATAGTCGGCTGGTTTTAATTTTAATACTAAACACTTTATATTCTATCCAATAAAGTTGCAACAATTAATTTCGTAGTAAGTCGAATTAACTCGGATCTCACCAACGCGCTATTAGTTACAGTCTATTTTGAGCGAGCACGCGATCACTCCTTGCACCCCCGTGTACCCGGGGCTGGCGGGCGACACGTTTTACACAATGTTAGCCATAATCTCGTCGGCGGGCGTGCCGCCATTGGCCAACACGTAAACCTCGCCTTTTTTCCGCCTTTCCTCCACCCCTTTGGCCGGGTATGAGGCGCGCGCGCGCTCCGAGTGGGGGGCAGCGTTGTGTGAGCGGGGGCGCAAGCGACAATCGCGGCGTGATTGTATCATTGCCATAAGCGAGTAAGCGTGCCGTAAGTGGTTTATTCGATGACAATAAAGCCTCAGAGCGCGCGTCGACGCCGAACGCGTCTCGCCTCGTCGTGTCCTCGACAACCATCCCGCAGGATGATGCCAACCCCTCCGATAACAGTTGGTGCTGTGATCTTCGACGGCACGCGTCGCGACCGCCAACTTACGACGACCAAAAGTGTTAATGTTAAACAATTCATTTACAGTGATTGCAAGATCTATCCGGCAAATATTTGTGAATAGTGTAAATAATTCCTGTGCGAGTGTGCGTGGCTGATAACGTGGACGGCATCACAATTTTCGGAGACGCACATAAAGTAATTATTTTTCAGTGTGATATAAATATAGGCCAATTATTCAATTGTGTCTTAATAAAGAGGGCATTATTTATTTAGGCCGCATCATGACCATAACAATGCGAATTAATTAATTTTGTCACTTTATATAACAGCGTAATAGATTAGTTTCCTCGCGGATGTATTTATTGCTGTTGATTTAAATATTTAAACGCTAGGGACGCAATCATTTACCTGCTGATTTTATTTTTTGCTCCATTTAAGATTGGAGGTGCTGGCGGAGGCAGCGTTGGTCGTGGCATGTTTTGTTACCATTGCCCGCCGGGAGCGGCAAGCGGCGGCGGATCACATCATCCGCTCGGTGGTGCGGCGGCGGCCGCTGCTGCTGCTGCCGCGGCTGCAGCTCGTTTACCACCACAGTTAGACTATCCATTTAGTACTACACATCCTTGTAAGTTAACAAAATAAAAAATTTCATATAATTTTGATTGATTTTCTTAATTATTTAGATACTAGTTATTCGTATCATCCTGCCATTCATGATGATACTTTTGTACGAAGGAAACAACGTCGGAATCGAACTACATTTACTTTACAGCAGGTAATTATCAATAATTAATTTAAGAAATAAATAAAATAATTAATTTTTTTATTTAGTTGGAAGAATTAGAAACGGCTTTCGCCCAAACGCATTATCCAGATGTGTTTACTCGTGAGGATCTTGCGATGAAAATAAATTTAACCGAAGCCAGAGTACAGGTATGTTACATAACCTTAAAATAAAATAATTATTTAATAAAGTTTTCTTTAGGTTTGGTTTCAAAATAGACGCGCAAAGTGGCGCAAAGCTGAGCGGCTCAAAGAAGAACAACGAAAACGATGTGGTAGTGCCGGAGGCGGCAGTGAGGATGTCCCTGGTCAAACCGACATCAAACCCGACACTGAAGATTTGGATGACATTACCAAAGAAGAAGTAAATATTTTTATTTTTTGTAAAACTTTTATTTTATTTAATGCGTGGTATGTTATCTTGTGGTGTTACAGAATGAAGAAATAAATATAGGTTCACCAACGCGTAGTTATAGCAGTGATAGGGAAACACCGCCGCCGGTTATGGAAAAGGAGCGACAGCGCGCAGATGCCGACAATGAAGATGTCAACGGCGCGTGCAGTCCAACGCCACCGTCGTCGGTCGTCAGCGAACCGAGCATCGGCACGTCGCAGACTCGCTTGGCGCTGCCCGCGGCGATGAAACCATTGCCGCCCCCTAGCTTCTCGCACATATTCCCATTCGGCACGGATAGGTACGCTGATATATCTAACTAGTAGTGCTTCAATCTGTTTGCAACTTGATTTCGCCTTGTTAGTGTTGGCTTCCGGCCGATGTTGGAGCCGAGTGTCGACGTGCCCGCCTCCGGCGCTACTAATGGCAGCGGCGCGTCGAGAACACCGCCGCCGTCGACTCTATTCTTCCCGCCGCATCTTGCCGCACATGTGGGATCACAGTTTTCACCGCCACTGTTCCCATCGTTGAAAGGTAATAAAATTAATTATTAAAGTTTAAACAAAAATTATATTAATTTATTTATAGGATTTCCTGGTTTGTGTTCGTGTTGTCCGATGAAACCAATTGGTAGTTTACTACATCATCATAGCCAACCGCCAACGTCGAGTGCTTCAAGTGGACTCGGGGGTGGTATTGATACTACGTCTCCGTCTGACGCGCAGCGCACCTCAAGCGTCGCTGAATTACGCCGAAAGGCGCAGGAGCATTCCGCTGCGTTACTGCAGTCCCTTCAGCATGTCGCTAGTTTTCATCAGCATGCGGCCGCTAGCGGCCATCTTAATTCACTAGCCGCCGCTGGGTTTAATTTTCCATTGTTGCCACCGTTGACGCTCCATCAGGCACTCGCTAATAGCCGCAAAGCGGAAGAGGTCGCCACTTCCAAGGAGCAATAAAAGTAGGTTATTATTAAATAATAATAATTATACATATACCAAAGATTATTAGTAATACGGAAAATATTGTAAATATTATATACAGTTCGTAGTCAAACAAAAAGTGCAATATGTACAAACAATTATCTAATTATTTATTAATAAGATTTAAGTAGTGTTGCTTAAGTTATTTTAAATTGGTTTTGCAATAACAACAATTGTATGACGTGAAAATCAAAATGTAGAATTTAAAATTCAAACAAGTGTAGCAACAACAATAAACAAACAAGTTGATAAATTTTATGATTAATAAAGAACTATCTTCTGTCATAGCTCAAATATCTGAAACCCTCTGGAAGAGCAGCATGTGAAATATGAATTGTGCCCGACTTTATTTGCCACGATTATTATCGGATCAGATTTCAAAGGGTGCTTTCACATTTCTATTTCAATCATAGTCATTGGGACATATTGGATTACTACTGGTAGTAGGACTACACGTGTCAGGATAAATCTAATAATATAACTTGCATTCAAGGAGCTAATTTAATTGAAGACTAATTTTTCAATGACACATTATTCATGTGCGGATATCAAAATCGTGACATAACCTAAGAATCTAGTTTAAAAGTGAGGTTAAAAGTAAGGTTACATTTATTTTGAGAAATTTAATGAAAAATACTAATATTATATTTATTTTTATTATTATTGCATGTCTGGAACACACTATTGATGATTTTTTGCCACTTTTACAAAACCAATACGAAAAAAACATTGATTAATAGTTATTATTCTATTCCATCATATAAATAACTCCGTAAACAAGCCGAAATCGACTGGGAACATAGCCCGTCCTGATTGGTTACTATGATTTTTCTTGCAACGCATGAATATAGGAAAAGTTTTGAAAGGGGAGAATAACGAATGCTGAAAGGATGAAAAATAAATGCCGGCGAGATCCGCTCTCGACAGAGACGGAGGGCCAGCCGGCGCGGATGCTCACCCGAGGTATGAATAATGAATAAATTTATCGTTTACTTCATTTTATATTTTGTGTGATGTATGACGATGATGCCGTGGAATTGGCGTTGCGCTGCGAAACTTGATGGAGGTTGGGAAGAGGGAGCGCGGGCGCGCGCGGAGGCGGAGGCGTAATAAAATTTGCTTTTGTAATGGATATGATATGGTGTGCTCCCCGTTACGAGATCAAAGCCCAAACAGTTGCCTTCGCTCCAAACTGTCCATGCCGCGATGCCGCCTCCGATACGTGCGCAACTGCACGTTTTTGATTCAATCAACTTGTCACATCAAGAGCAGGCGCGGAGGCGATTTTTATTGCACACATTCAATATTCAAGCATTATGATTGCGATCAATTTAAACATAGACATCGTATTTCTAAAGTAAAACAAAACACATTTTGTAGCAATCAAAATTGAAATTTTTTACAAATGCACGAAATTCTTAAGAAATTATTTTCCTTTTTGTATGAATAAGATTCGTAATTCAATTTTAAAGAAATTAATTATATAAAGAATTGCTAGTAATGCAGATTGAAACTCAATGCCAACTTTTATTCTATAGAAAAGGGCTGTCTTTAGGGTTTTCCCGACAATTATTCGAATTTTTCTCGTCGGATGAACCATCCTTGGACTTTAACGAACATTTTAAAAAAAGAATTGGTCAAATTGATCTAGGAGTTGTTGAGTTATGCGCTTACCAACAGATTATGCGATTCATTTTTATATAGTAGATTAAATTTAAATTTCTTCCTTGTGCCGCAAAATTACAATTGAAATACGATGCAATTATTCAAAGCTGTCATAGCGTTATTGTCCTGCTAACATTTAAATTGTACGTGATTACATTTGATAATTGCATGTTATAGCCATAAAGGATATTTCCGCGCATTGGACACCTGATGCTTAAAAGCATATTGCAATGAATCAAGTAATACTCGTATTTCACACAAATTATTACTAATGTCATACAATTATTAACATCACATAAGTAAGCACCCACGATAAACACGAAATTACAAACCGAAAATAAGTTGTAAATATTAAGCGTCAAAGAATAATTGCGTTTGGAAGGGTTGCTAGGGTTGCTACTGTGTACAATATACATAATCCACCCAGTAAATTCGTAACCCTTAAATGTTACGCCCTTGCCGGCTGGTAATCACACATATGGGGAGTGATTAGTGGCTGGTCATATCCTCAGGCGTTTTTGGTGGTGAACCAAATGTTAACCATTGTAAAATATTGAAGTCTCTTCATTATATTGTGTATGAACTTAAATATTTACTTTTATTTTTCTTGTACAAACATAATTTTGTGTTATCATCAATTTTTTAATCAATAATTGATATTTTATGCAATGCGCATGTATTATGTGTTTGTAAATGTTCATTATGCGACACAAAGAGGCTCAAAGATTAATAGCGACTGATGTAATTAACGTTGGCGTTCCACTGTTCCACAGTCTCCGTTTGACAAGTAACGCGCCAGCTTTACATGAATAAATGATAACTGTTTTCGTATATCGGATTTGCATGTTATGTTCGCCGATGGAGACGAGTTTGGTGGTGGTATTAGCAGCAAGAGGTATTAATTAATCAGTTAATTACCTCGCTATAAGCTTGTTGTTCTTGCACACAAAACCATAGATTTCTGTGGCACAAATGTAGTCTTATAATAAGGGAAATCGAACTATTTATTGTTTAATCAAATCACATTTATTTTTCTTGATTTGTACTTGAAAACAAAGATTTATATTAAAATTAGGACTAAAATATCATTTCGCAGGGCTAACATGTGTATTTTAATCTGCAAAATGTACTAAATTGAACGTAGAGAGTATTTAGAGTCAATCTGGATAATGAATTTATCAAACTGTGGGCTATTTTACTATAAAATCCTCCTTTTGATGGTAACTACTTGGCAGGAATCAAATTAAACTCACTGGATTGCTCAGAGAGAGCGCCACCAGTTCTATAACTTGCATAAAATCGCCCTGGCTATATTGCGCTTGTCGGAGTGCTGGAGAATTTCGCGCGGTAACCGTCGGATACCTGTTCAGTTAGGTTGTGTTGTGATCTTTCTTTAAATAATAATTATTCAATACAAGATTGTAATAATGTGTGGTGTCGTTGTCATAGACCTGAGGAAGAGAATACTACTTAGATACATCTTTCAGATGTAAGTAAAATCCTTACTTTATTTGTCGATTAATCGGTATTCAACAATTGGCAGGTTAGGGATTATTTTTGTTTTTAGTTTCACTATCTTCCAACAACAGCGAATCTTATTTACACACCGATGTTGTGAAATAAACCCGTTTTATAATAACTTTTGCTTCAGTTTAAAGTGATTCTGCATTAAAATCTTTTACATTCACAAATCATTGAGAAATGATTTTAATTTCACATAAAACTAAAATGTTTATATCTTATTCTTCTTTTTCTTTTGACATTCGAACCACATATCGATTGCGATTCATGAAATACTTGTCCATTTCTTTCGTAAGAAAATCCTGACATGTTTTAGATTCTACCAAGCATTCATGATGACAACGAAGTTCCATTCTCATCCTGCATTCTCGTTTAGCATCGAACGATATACGAGCCGCACGAGTTGCTGCATCAGGTGATCCCCATCCTTTTCCAGGCTGTATCATACTGATTTTCTACAAAAAAAATAATACCTAATCACATCAAGTTTAACCATCACCAATTCACAAGCAAGTAAATACCTTTTTGTTCTTTCGCGCTAAATGTATTCGTATGATTGCAAACAGTACAATTGGTGTCAAAATCAAAAGTAGAGCTACAATATTAGCCCATACGGATCCATCTACAGGCATATTATGCATCTCATACATGATATAAATAGTTGAAATTGCCTACAGTTTAAAACAAATCGATTATTACTTTCTTTGGTGAATACGTAATCCATGTTGTATATTTATAAAAAATTTATTTATTAAACATTATACGTGATTTTGGATTTACAATTTTATTTTTGAGTTGACATGTTTCGGCCAGAGGGCATCTTCAAAATCACGTATAATGTTTAATAAATAAATTTTTTATAAATATACAAATCGATTAATTTATACAATAAATCAATGAGATACTCACTGATACAAAAATAACGTATAATTTCATTAAAGTATTCCAATAAGTTGGAAGCCTTCGCCCGAATGCAAAGTAAAAATCATTCGCAATTCGTAGTGGAGAATAAGAAGTCATGAAAAATGCAACGCAACAATATGTTAGTAATGGCGCGATGAAAACTTTCAAATCTTCGAAGAAGAGAAATTCGAAACCAACTCCAACAACAACTATATTTGCAAGAAACATAATCACGCATATGATTATCACCACAGTGGTTCTATATTCTTTGGTATCTGGATAGTCTCCGGTAATGGCTGTTAAAAAACCATGTATGCTTAGAAACGTTGACATTGAACCCATGTAAATTGAAAATAAAAGGTACAGGAAGTATGTTATTTTGGTAGCATCGATTTGAAGGAGTTGGTCTGGTATCAAACAAAAGAGTATTGTTAATCCTGAAATAATATAAATAATATTAAGTATTATTAAGTATGATTAAATATGATAAAATATAATTAAATTATTTAAATCACCATTAACTTCAACGCAGTCAGCATATTTAATGTTGTGGTATGTAATAAAACGATTCAATGAGATAACGTAGAAATTTGCAACTGTTGTTGTAAACACAATACGCATTAAAGCCATTAGAACCGCCATTGTTATTGGATTCATACCAGCCATTGTGATAGATCCATATGTTACTAAATCACCAGGCATGACACGCCGGAGTGATAGTTTTGCACAAGCAACCCAAAACTTCAAAAAAATAATTTATTTTTGTTTTGAATAAACATTTTCACTTACAGGTGGTTGAAGTATAGTTGAAATAGTTCCGGAGGTCTGTGCTGTTAAAGTATACGTGGTACCGTAAAATCCTTCATATAAAATAATTGTAATGAAAATCAAGCCCCACATTATAGTTGTTAATCGACAAATGGGTGCTAGTACTCTCCTGGCATACAACTCGCCCAACACCAGCAGGGTGTACATTACAAATAGGATTAAAATCCAATAGAAATTAATAACATCACCGAATTTCGAAGTGACTACGTGTTTCATAAATACATAGGTGCCAACTTGCGGCATTGACATGTTTCTCTCAGTACAGAAATTCGTCTGATTTGATAGGCATTCGGTGCCTTCTTCATACGGATAACCACACTCCAACCAATTGGTAAATGCTCCACACATGAATACGATGTGTAGTGTTACAAGCGACATGTTAAGGATACACGAAACAAAATTTAGCATAGCTACTGAAAAACTAACGCCTTTTAAGATTGGAACAGCTGACCATATTTTCATATATCCAAAGCGCGTGTAATTGCTTAGAAAAAAGAACACCATGTATAATGGCATTGCTATGAAAACGTATATGCATGCAAAAAGTAAAAGGGCCATCCCTGAAAATTTATTAAATTAAATTTAATGGTTATAATGACAATAATTCCTCACATGGGCCGAATTTTGAATAGAGAGTTAGATATTTTGTTATGTCATGAATGCTGCCCTGAATACTGAATATTATAGTAAGGAAAAATCCTGCTGGTACATCGTCACTTTCATCTCCAGATTTCAGACGAGGTATGGATAATTTGTGCTGGAGTTTAAGGAGTAAATTAATGGAATTAATTAACTACTATCATTTTTAGTTACTAGTTTTAATCTGTTTCTTATATATTATTGTATACGATTGTATTTTACCTGCCCTTGGTCGAGTTTTCTTTTTTTTACATTTAGTAAATCGGATTGTGCACATTTGTAGTGCTCTTCTACAAATTTCAACAAGTTCTTGTTTCCTTCATACGGCGTTTCCGGCACGAAAACACCTTTTCGTGTAGCGAGCGGCTTGAAAAATGTTAAACGCTGCTTCATCTTGAATTCAATTCGATTTTTTTATGATTTATCAATATAATATGCAAATGATGTTTTTATATTTGTTTGTCTTGGCAGAATGTCAACGTATAGTCACGAAAGTAAAAAATGTTGAAATATTAGTTTCGTAATTTTAATTGAGATGGCGATAGGATGTACTTATCGGCATTAAATATTAAGTATCAAGTGAGCTAAACGGCACTTTTGACACGTTTAATAGCGTAGGGAGCGTCTAATAAATCGGGTGCTTAACAACGTTTTGCGACTTACGCAATGTTTTCTAATTTCGCACTTCGTTTGTACACTACTAGAACATGTAAGGTGACCGACGATGAATGGCATTTTATAAGATCTTGTGATGCACCGTAGGCAAATGCTCTGGCGCAAGCACCACCCCATGACTAAAGCCAATGGGTTAAGTCACGGCCTTGCATGTCCGTGATTAAAGTGCCATTTTTCGTTCTCTTGTGCTCGTGACACTTTAAAGGTAGAAGAAAAAACAAATTAACACATGGTTTCTTTGTGCCTGTGAGCATATGCGGAGTTAAAAAGAGCTCATGTGAACCCACGCTGCAAAGTAAAGATTGTGTGCACAGTACTTAAATATTCTCTGCAATGTGAGTCATGATCCATAAATTTCTATTAAACGTTTGCAAAAATTGATTAAAACGTAAAATACATGTGATGTTTGTGCTATCTACAAAATAATGTCCGGTGGGCTGTAATAGTGATACATCGTGATGTCCGGAAGGGCGTGATAACAATAGCTATAAATTGAGTGGAAAATATTGCATTCGTTTAAATTCTTTGATTTATTTCATTAAATTAGACCTACATATTAAATTTAATTTATTTATATTGCATTATAATGTGGTTGTACTTTGTAATATTATTGAAGGTGGTTATACCAATAAAAACAGACTGTACAAACGTGTTCAATTCGACATATTATGGATTACGTTACGATGACTACGAAGTATATCGCCGAAACCGATATGGATATTTAATAACAACATGTTATATTACTGAAAATAATGATGCACCCGGAAACATTGGTATTCCTGAATATAAAGACTATTCAAAGTTCGAAGCAAATACAATAACAATAAATATCAACAACAGTACGTTCACAAATTTTTCTCTTGAATCAGTGATTACACCGAATGTTGCTTGTTATTATGGTAAAATTAGCATTTATATAAGCAATACTGAAATTGACAAAATTGTCACTGATGCATTTCCACGTCAATTGGACCGTGGAGATGGATTTTTGTGTAATGTGCACTATAAAGATATCATATTTTTCAATAATTCTATTAATAGTTTTAATAGAAATGCACTGCATATTCCAGCTATAGAATCACTGGATTTATCCAACAATAATATTTCGAATATTGATGAAACTTTTGGAGCAATGAACGAACTAAAAACAATAATATTATCAAAAAACAACATTCGAAATATATCGCATGCATTTATGGATTTGGAACAATTAGAAATACTGGATCTTTCTTACAATAAATTGACCACAATTGAATTTGCAACATTTATTGGACTGCAAAATTTAAAGTTTTTAAATATATCACATAATAATATTGTGGTAAACGATGGTTTTCTAGAAGGTATGCCAAATTTACAACAACTTGATATAAGTTTTAACAATATGAACGAATTAAATGTGAACATATTTAAACCCAACAGTTTAAAAAAGATTTACATTCATGGAAATAAATTTAGTTGCAATAAATTGATGCATTATGTAAAATATTTTATGAAAATGCATATTCTTGTGGGAAAGGGATCTCAACGCAAAGGATTACACCGATATGGAATTAAATGCGAATATGATCCGACCGTATATCAAGAGGATATATTTGATATTACAACTGAAAATATACAAGAAGTTACAGTTCTAAAAAATAAAAATAATGATAATATAGTCGTAACTATAGATGAAAATTTTTTGAACAGTATAAAAACTATCACGATTGTGCTAATTATCATGATATTTATGCAAACATTTGTGTTTATGTATTATAACTGGAATTACTTGATTAGATGCATCAAGAATACACTAAAGAAGTATCAGCGAAATAATTTGATTGATCAAGTTGAATTATCAACGACATAAATGTTTATTCACTTAGTGTTTGTTATCAGCAGGTATTTTAAATTGAACAATCACAATCACATATGTAACGACAAGATTGGAAAACGTAAAGATCATTTTATGCCCGATTGTGAAAAAATCCCAGGCGGTGAATTGAGGACAGCGTTGTGCAGCCTGCTGCGCCAACACAAACATTTTTTCTTTCAACACAATATTAGTATGATTTTCATAACGATGTAATATATTATATGCCAGGCTAATGGTGCGTTTTCCTTCACGTGTAAAAAGTTCGCACACATGTGCGATAATAATCCCTTGACACTACAAACAAAAAATATAATGCATATTTCTGTAAAAAATTCTGTAAAAGTAAAAAATAAATAAGAATTGACATACACAAACGTTGGTAGTCCATAAAATTATCATATAACTTTTATGGTCATCTTCTTTTGCGCCCAGAAGATATTCGATAAATGCCAACACATTAAACATTTCGTAAAATTTGAGCACAAGTGTTTCGAAACCAAATGTATCGTTGTATAATTCCACCCAGTTTGTAACTGCGTTATGGTTACCGATTATTTTAGACAATCTCCAAACTACCGGTAATCTATTTGAGTCTAAGCCTATATTTTCGATTGTGTTGTTAAGTTTTGCGAAGCCTTTTACCATTCCGTAGATTAGTATTAATCGGCTATAACTCATCACGTGTAGACAATGCAACGAATAGCATTGGAAAAATATCGGAAAAATAAAATATACGTTATTATCATTCTTTAGCATTTCAATGGCAAGACCAATGACCATTGTTGAAATTATTATGTTCATGGCCAAAGATAGAACTTTTTGTATTTCTGTCATTTTCAGATCGCTTTTCATTGGATTGAATAACATTTTTGTTAAATTTGCACACCGATAGGTATTGTTCGAAATCATCCAAATAATCATTACGAGTTGCATTGAAATGTCAGTGCATAGTTTAAATATACCATTGCTGTATAGTTTTGCTTTTACTGCGAATATATAAGTTGAATATGTTGCTGCAATTATATAAATTGTTGTATAAATAATGGCTTTAGGTTTATTAGATTCCATTCGTTTTGATTTGGGATTGTATCGCGGAAACATTCCCAAAATATACAGCCATTTTCGTAATACAGTTATGCGTTTATCTTCAACCATTTTTACTATTCACTTGCTTCAATGGTTCATCTATTAATGAATTAGTGTTGCTTTGTTTTCAGTACAAACAACTCGTCATAATTGAGAGCAAATATCGATAATATAGATTGATGTCAATTAATTAAATTGACCGAATGGCTTCCAAAGTAAATTTGCAGTCTAAAACAATTAACTCGATTTTTTTATTGCAGTAAAAAAGTAATAGTATTAATTTTGTAGCTTCCGGCGATATGATGTGTGATTCACAACTAAACAAGTTTAATTAGTCATTTTAACAACGAACAGCTAGAATGAGAAAGATAAATTCCATTCAGAGTAAACTTTACAGTTTGTATTTCACAGCATTCTGAAAAAAATCGATTAATAAAAGGTTTTTTATGACATTAAATTCCTTTTAGAAGACTGTATAAATATTGCTCCGCGATTTCACTCCGAATCAGATAGCTACTAAGCGTCCAAAGAGTGAACATTGAGTTAATACAATTATTATTAAACAAATCGAAAATGAATTTTAAAGTAATTTTCGTTTTGTTCGTTGTGGTTCTTGCGGTATTTACTGGGGAAGTTGAAGGAGGCAGTAAAAGATGGAGAAAATTTGTGAGTAGTGATTAATATGTTTAGCTGTTTTGTTATACATATTTTAAATATTATTAATATATTATTTATAATTAGGAAAAGAAATTCAAACATGCGGCTGAGAAAGCAAAAGAGGCTCTGCCGGTAATTCAAGGTTACGCTGGTGTTATTGGAGCTGTGGCCGCAGTAGGTCGAAGATAAATTGATTTAACTGAAGTTAAACATAACTAGTTTATCGCTATAGTATTAATTATTTATTCTACAATTACATAGTTTTATGTTTATTTATAGTTGTGAGTATTTATATTTTTTGTTTTTTTTTAATTTGTATTCATCACAATTAAATTGTAATGTTCCGTACAATTATCTTGATCAATCAAATTAATTGTGTTCATTAAATGGGAAGAAAAAGGAACAACAGAACACTTGTGTATAATTAACTACAGTAGAGTCCGGTTATAATGACATCGAAGGGAACTGACAAACACGTCATAATAAGCGGACGTCATACAAACCGTTTTGTGAAATAAAAACCTTTTTTTACGTAAATATGTACCTAAGTACTTTAATATATAAACATAGTAATTACAAATGTATATAAATGTATACATATATATTAAATTAAAATCAAAATTGCACATAATTACACATACAAGAGTATTTTTTACTGTTTTTTTTATTTGTATTCATCACAATTAGATTGTAATGTTCCGTACAATTATCTTGATCAATCAAATTAATTGTGTTCATTAAATGGGAAGAAAAAGGAACAACAGAACACTTGTGTATATTTATTAATTAATTATTTATTTAATATTAAATTAATAACATGTATAAAATCAAAATATCATACATTTGATTATTCCGGCCTAAAATTAAGAAAATGAATTAAAGATTAATTAAGCCTTTGATTAAATGAATATTTTACATACATATTGTATAGTGTTTCATATATTTCGAACTTGCTGGCTGGATAAAAATCCAAAATGTGACTCCAGTCCTTTAAACTTAAAGTGCAGAGAACCGATACTGAGGAGGCTCTAAATGTATGAGTATGAGGAGTTCGTTCGTATAATCCTTGTATCTAAGGAAACAAAATTAATGATGAATTATTGAAAATTTAATTATGTATTAAGAGACGAATATTTGCATAAGACAAACTATAGTGATACAGTTCAAAGCGAGATGGCGCTAGAATGCACTTATTTGATTTTGTTTGAATCAGCAAAGATGTTTGTTGGTGTCTGTGAGCGAACACTGTCCGTGTGAGCTCAAGGCTTGTTGTTATTCTCGCGGCTTATCAGTGCAGGTATGTTTACAAGTTTTTTTTGTCGTGCGCAACGAACGCGATGAAACATGCGTTTCTGCGGGCTGTCGCGACGAATTTGCCTCGCGATGCACTCAGTTTCTTTTTGCCTGTTGAGCTGCAGTTATCGTGAATAAAGCAATAATAAAGCATTGACATTTTTAAGTGTTAATAGGTGTATATTGTGCGTTGTTAAAAATTAATGCCAACTGTAGTATTCGTGATTTGCGAGATAATTATCTTTTTTTTTATCTATATCGCGAGTGAGTTGCCGGAATTACAGCAATTATTAGAAAAGACAACATTTAATTTTCAACTACGCTTGGCTTGACCGCAGAATTTCGATGGCGTACGAACTGTCGAGTAAGTAACATTAATTAAATAATTAAACATGTTGAAATATGTTAAACGATGTATTTTGTCGCGAGTTATTTATTCCGACGGGTAACTGCATTTTGGTTATGCAGTTCGAGCCTAGGTGGCATTACAATGCGCATATTTGCATTAAATAAACATCCGTATATTCTACACACGTTTGTTTTGATCAATTGAGTTGTTTGTTTGTATGTATGAAATACATCATATTGAGTTATAGAGACAGCCGTGTTGATGTGATGTGCACTCTAGAGATCATTCACTTATTTGTAAAACATTGCCGGAGAGGTTTTATTTATTTAAAATAAAAATTTCGAGATCTCTACGTCCTATCTTGTACTAAGAGGACTTTTAATTGTTCTTATTAGTAAATTACCCTCGTGCGATGATGAACTAAATTTCTAGTAAGTAAAAATAATGTTATATTTACCACGCCAAAACAATCCAGTTCTTGTATCTCATCCACCTTAATTTCTTCAGTCTCATTCGAGTATAATACATCGATAGTCCCGCTATGTACAAAATACATCGTTTCATTAATATCTCCCTGTTCACAAATCGTGTCGTTCTTAAAAAATATTTGCAAGTGAATCATTTGAATCAAATGCCTCAAGAAGTCTGGATGTGCATTCGCAAATAACACGTTCTAAAAATCTCTCGATAAAATAACCACAACATAACAAATATACAATGGAATACATACATTGTAAATGTGTTTTCCAAACGCTGCAATTTTTATCTGTTCCTTGAGATACGGCGGTGCATTTACAAGCAGATACGGTTCTTGCACGCCTTTAGATCGAATCCACAATTGTTCACAATAGTAAACGACGCATTTAACTAAATATTCCGAAACTGCGCTGCGCCGAAGAAAACTCTTCATTTCCGAAAATATTTCGTCAAAGCGTGCCAGATCAGCGCCATAGTTTTGAATGCATGCTGATAATTTAGCCACCGCAATTGACATGATAAATTTACTGAAAATTGTGATTACTATTGCGCATGAAATGCCCATTAGAGTACGTGGGTATATAGCATAGCCACTAAACGTCAGGACAGAGGTTGCGAAATAAAACGCACAAATGTATTGATTTCCACATATTAATTCCGTTGATCCGTTATCTAAAAATATAATTTCGAAATTATTTTTAGTTTTTTTTTTAATAACAATAAACAAACTATCTGGTTGATATGCCCACATGTCCTTGGCAAATTCACGTGTTCCTCTTGTTGCAACCGTAAAGATAATACACGTTTCAACGTGTAGCAATAATGTAGTATATACAATAATAGAAAGCAGTTTCATTATTAGCAGATCAGAGTTTAGAATATCATTAAATTTCTTGAAGAAACTAGTTATATTGTACTAAAAAGAAAAATTATATTACAAATATTAAATTTATTTATAAAAGGAAATTATTTAATTGGGGTACTTACAAATCGCAGCAATCGTGTCAGAAGTAAAGCCCTGTATACATATACTTGATGTTGAAGATTCATATCGATTAAAAATATAGCATCGACTGGAATAATTGCTAATAAATTCAGGTAAAATATAGGTTGTTTCACTAATCTGCAATAATAAATAAATATAAATTGTTAATTGTAGTTAATTTAATAGTAGTACCTTTTTCGTATTAATTTATAGTCAGTTATTAACTGCCCTTTGGAATCGTGATAAGGTGTAAATAATTTAATGGCGAGAAATATGCCGTGAAGTAAATCAAACAAATATATGACGAAATATTTAGCAATTCCCATTGGAAAAAAGGTTGTTACATAAGTCATTGATATAATTGAAGCACAGGATACGAATAAAAAGGTCATTGCCATTCCTAACCCATTCAGGATTTTGCTTTTAGATGATTGCCTTAAACAATTTGAAAATTGGTTATTTTGCAGTGTTAATAATTTTATAAACTATACTTTCGTTCCATGCTTGCATCCTGCATCGGAACGTATTCTAGAGCATGTTTAATATTTCGTCCCACTACGTATGACTAAAAATAAAATATAATTCAAGTTATATTATACAATGCGTTGATAAAATTGTTATTACCATATTTGTAAGTAGCATATTCTTTTGTAATTCATGAATGACGGGACCTATCATAATTTTATAGAAACGTTTTGCATCTATTTCCAATAAATCTACTGATCCACTTGATGTAAACGATACCATGCTTCTAATGTTAGGTACATTATCCAGGCAACCAAATACGCTTAAAATATACATTATGTTAATAATATGAAATAAACATTTTTTTCTACTTCCACTTATTGAGCGCGAATTTTTTTTACGGGTTTTGGACGCAAAAAGTGGTAATTTATATACGAAAGGCCAAGCCGTGAGTAATATTCATTATCTACGGGCAATATCTATGGGACGGAACTTGCGCCTGCACATTTGCATACGGATATAACCTTACATTTTGTAGTAGTACGCGAGCAAATTTTAAACACAAAAACTAAACGTGGAATTAGAGTGGAACTAAAAAAAAGCTTAAGTTTCACGTAGCTAAACGTTGTTAAATACTCGATCGCTTAAACACTCGCTCTCAATCAATCTCGTGAGCAAAGTCCCCGTTTAGCCACTTGATTCTTAATATATTATTATTAATACATACGATCCACTTTGTAGTATAACATACAATCTTCCATGGGGTCCACAAACATATATGCGCCCGCTGTGTACAATATACATGCTCGAAACGATATTGTTTAATTTAATAAATTCAACGTTGGGCAACATATAGATGCGGGTTAATTCGCGACTCAATTCCCTGTAGATAGTCGAATCGAGGTATTGAAAGATGGTTACTTTGTCAAATGTATTCTTGTATTGATCATAAAGAAAATCTTCACATAGTACTGAATGGCATTTGGTCAAAACATCGTTTATGTGCAAACCATGCATTTGCTTCCAGCTGTATTCGTAATACTGAATTGCTTCCCTGTAATTTTAAGTTAAAGTGTTTTCTGTTATAAAATTGTTTTATTTATTTTATTTATTTTACCTTTGCACGTTTTTTGGCACCTTCTCCATTTTCATAAATTTAATTATATGTTTTGTGTGACTTTGGTAGAGTGTCAGTTCGCTGTTTATAATAGTTTGACTGTTAGCAATAATTACCAACACATACGTAAAAATCATATATCCTGTAAAATATGTTATTAGAGATATTTATATGAATGGCATTATTTATGGACTCGTACCTGAAAGACATATTATTATTACAATTAAAATTTCGGCTGAAGTTGAAATTAAAATATCATGACTTCCTAGTTGCATTGCATTAGAAGCAGTATAATATAATGTAGTTGAAAATATACTTATTGGTTGTTTAGTGTCAAACATATCTAAGGAAATAAATCATTTTTAGTTTTTTAGTGTTTTTAACTCTACGGCGTCTACATTACATTCAGGTAAGTTGGACAAAAGCCACACGATGGAGTTATTTTTCGGCGTAAGAATGTTTTTAGTTCGAGTTACATCCACCTGTGTTCCACAGGCAATAATAGCGCATGTAAATGATAATAGGAAAATGATGGTTATTGGCAAAAAGTAACAGACATTGCTGTGGAATAGATAAAAGAAGTTTGTTATAAAAATCATAACTTAATTAACAGTTACTTCTTACAGTGTTATCCCCACTGGCTTCAAAACGTCTCGCTTGAAATAATAAAAAGCCATTGGTAGACGATACATCATCAAGATTTTGTTTATATTAAATATCGCATATATTCCACTCTGACTTTGTGTGACAAGTTGATAAAAGTTAACCATTGGTATAACACCAATGATATCTATGATAAATGCTCCAATCAGGTAATGGAAGCCTGTCAATCGCGGATGTGATATCAAAATACCTTTTTGTCATAGTAGCAAATGTGGAATCGAACATAACTAAAATGCATATTCAATTAGTGTTTCAAACTATGAAATCTATGATTCCAGGCGGTTATATACATTGAAACTAATTGGAACACTTCCAACGCGCGTACAATGGCGTCATAGGTCCTATTTTCTGCTGCCCAATAATCATAGCACAAAGAAATTGTTACCAGGATGAAAGTTAATATGTTGTGCACTATTTCCCAGCCAATAATAAATGCACCATCAGGCATTATAGTTAGCGGCAGCATTACGTATCTGAAAATTCCAAACTTTGACCAGCCGTAGAGAAAATCTTGATATAATGGGTCAGTTTTATCATTTGGAAATATGAAGAATGAACCAGTTCGTTCTTCAGTGTCTATATCCAGTATTTGAATAATACGCGTTTTCATAAAATGGGCATATAACTAAAAAAGAAGGATTTTTTATGTTCGCGAGTAAAAATTGGTTGATTTGTTAAATATCTTACAATAGATGTCTTCATTTCCGCGTTGAATTTTTTGCATTCAATTTCAACTTGAGGAATAGTTCGCATTAGAGATTGTAAGTGTAGTTTTGATATTCTAATGAGAGCTGTACAGGTAATACTGCGCACAAAAAAGATATTCCGGATTCCCACCATTGCTTCTAAGATGCATATATTGGAACCAGGTCCCAAGGTTTTTTCAATTCTTGTAGTTGATCCTGAAATGAGCTCGCAATAGCCCCTGTCAATTATGTACATATCTTCACAAGTTTGACTTTCGTTAATAAATATGGTGTTTTCCGAAAACTGCACTTCTTCACATTTGGTTGCGAGTAGATTACAAAATACTTTTCCAAAATTCTTAAATTGAAAATTATAAGTTAATGATTTTTATGTGTGTGTAAGTATTTTACGCACTGCAAATATTGGTATTTTTTCTAAAATAGATTCATATTTTGCAATCTGTTGCAGTTCAAATAAGGTTTCCGGACCGTCCTTTAATAATTCTTTAATTTTTGCTCCTCGGTTAAAATACCACTGTGAAGATAAATAGTCATAAATTCTGTCCATATTTCGTTTACTTTCTGATGTTTGAAATAGTGGATTCAAAGACAATTGCTTTATAGTTTGCATTGTTTTAGAATATGTTCCACTAAAATAATAAAACGTTAATCAATTCATCCATCTGTGAATGATAGTTAGAAAATTACAGTTCATAATCATTCAGGGTCATAGTTGCACTGTAATCAGCTGCTATATAGGTGAATAACATGATACCGACGACGGTGAAACAAATCATTACAAACACATCAATCAATCTTGAAAATTTTAGTACTCCAATACCTTCTAGGAGCACAACTTCAAATAGGGACTTAAATGTGTTTAAAAATATATATCCATCTGAAAGATCAGGTGAGTTTTTCTTTAAACCTGCCGCCCAGCTATCATCGCGAAAGCCTTGATCGTCACAAGCTAGTATATAATATATAGCTGTCATAATGTAAGCACAAACGATCACATACAAATTGTATTTTAAAAGTCGAAGCAGTGCCAAATTAAATTTGAACGTATTTTCGATTTTAATGAAGAAGCTCACAATCTGCAATAGTATTTAGGAAGTTTAACCATTTGTTTACAGTGTAAATTATGTTTTACAAACCTTGTGAAATTTTATCAGTCGTATAAATGGCATAATTAACATTACCCATTTTTCTCTTTCTTGAACGTCCAGCTCTACGACATTTAGCAGTTGTCGTATTGGTATTGCTGCGATAATATCGAGCATAAATGAAGAATGCACACGTTTCATAAGGATTTCCATTATTGTCGATCGCACACCTATATTATAAAAATATTATTTTTGGAACAAAATGTTTGCAGATTATATTTTTTACCTGTGTCATCTTCAATGGCAACAAATAAGTATATTACTACATCAAGAACAAAGAATGCACTCATGTAGTATTCCAAAATGTGGAAATAGTATCTGTCTTCCAAACGAAAAGCTATTACATATGGCAGAGCAATTGTAATGCCAAAGGTGAAAATGACGATGGAGAGATCCCAGTATAATATTAATTTTGATGAAGCATTTAGAATCCATGGAAATTTTGTGTTTAAAAAAATCTCATCAATTCTGTTTCGTTTTCCAAATTGCTGCAAAATTTTTGTAAGTAGTACTATAATTTGTTTTGCTCATTTTTTTTGGTTTACTTGGCTTAGCACGTAAAGTAGCTTAGGTCCATCTACACGCTGGTCGATTGCATTTCTTAGCATTCCTTCAAGTGAAACCAGGCTTCAAAAAGTTGATTTAATTTGGACATATTCACATTTGTACACTAAATATTCCAAACCTTTCAGTGCCCTCCAGTGGTTTTCCTTCCTTAAATATTCTCTTGTTTTTTGCTGAGTCAAATATATCTTTGCACTTGTTGTGTATTATCTGACCCTGCTTCAGTTTTCGATACTTTGCGGCAATTCGCCATATATCATATTTGCTCAGGCAATATGCAACGCAATAAGTCGATGCCACTATTTGTAAGGGACTCGTATACGATGTAATTAGACTTGTTTCGCCGATAATTGTACCTACGCCCAATGTAATTAACGGGCTTTCCATATCTTCGGCGGAAAGGACTTGTATATTTCCACGATGTATATAATACATTGTGTTTTTGTCTGAATTGGAAAAATAAACAGTTTCACCAGTTGAATAGATTCTTGTTTCCATAACATAACTAAGCGCACGTTTAAAACCGTAATGGGTGTCCGGCAAAAAGTTAGACTACAAACGTACGTTTAGATTATTGAAAAAATTATATTTTTGATAACGTGAACTTACATTTTCGAAGCAGAACCAATACTTGTCCAAATAAATCGCATACTGAAGAGTCATAGGAAGTTCATACACCAGTTTAGATGAATTTATAGCAGCTTCGTTGTTCCAAAATTCCAAATAGTAGGTTTTTATTTTGGATCGTATTTTTTTCGGAACTTTATAAACAGCCTAAAGATGATCGAATAACAATTTTGCTTTGAATAAGACTATTATTAAACAAACCAAATGCTTATTAACCAGTTTTAGCTTATTGTAGTAGATTGTTTTAATCTGATACATGTTCAAACGTATAGATGTATAATTGCCAAGAAAGATACCATTGACGTAAATCATACCAAACAAAGCCAGAATTGTAGCAAGGGCTTGTTCAATGTCGTTTTGCCATGATGCACTCACGCTCCTTCAAACAAATACGTTAATATGAGTTGAATTGAAACCATATATTATTAATCATTTTTACCCTAAATTTCCAAGTGCAGAAAGAACGATAAATACTTGATAAATATACAAAGAAAGTGTTTCGGTTACGGGCTGCTTTAATGTCGACACATATTCCTGATGCCAATTCAGCTTGTACCAATCTCGTAATTCGATCTAGAGTAGTATACAAATGAGATAAATCGTATATTTAAATTATTATGATACGTACCGTAAAAACTTGTACAGATATAGTGCTAATGTGAATGACCAAAAGGACAACCATTGCAAATTTTAGAAAGCTAAAAACAACCGTGTGTTTACCTGGTGATGAAGATATTAAATCTAAAATTATTATATTAGTAAAATATAATCAGGCGAATATATGATAATTACTATAAAAGACAAATACTCGAAATAATCGAAATATTTCAAAAAAGCACACGAAACTTGTCTCCCAGGATACGACAATGCCTATTAGGGCGACACCAAATTGTAAGACAAAATCAATTGTGATTATAATCCACTGAAAGTAAAATTGTTAATATTTGTTTTGTGTTAAGATGCCTTTTGAATAATTTTATACGTACATGTCTTGGGGTTAATGCTCTTTGTGCGGCAATTTTTCTACAAACGTGATGTAGGACTGACGATAGAATTTCCATGATTATAATTAGATAGCAGACAAATTGCACAAAGATTAGGTAAGGCGATTGCATTGAATCATATTTCAAGAAAGCATACTAAAAGCAAGAACAGCGTTTTACGAATTTTTTTGTTAGTTTAAAAAAATGTAGGTATTTTACCTTAAACGTATTTACTCCAAATAAGATAATATTTGCAGATGTGGCGCAGAACATAAATCCAGCATTTTGATACAAGAAAACATAATTTACAAAGACTTGGTAGCTGGTAGTCAAAGGCATATATGATTTCTATAAAAACAAGTGTGTTTCATTTCTTTATTGTAATGAATATGAATTCATTTACCTCACTGTCAATATCTTCTTCTTGTACGGATGTAGCAAAGACAACGTCCGGAGTAGTCGGTTGGTGTTCAGCATTTTTGTATTTATCTATCCACCTTAATGTTAACGGCTTCATAATACTTGATTTTTTTCTCTATTTAACGTGATAATTGTAATGACTTTTAATGTACCACTTTTTTGTTAAACAAACTTTTGTTTTATTTGCAAAGTTTACTATGAAAAATGTGTTTTTAAGTATAACATTTGTTTTTATAACAACAATAGCAATGTTAGTACTAGAATAATTTATAATCTTTTAATATGCCTGTTTGTCATGTTTTGAATACGCAAAGAGTTATTCCATGCGATTTTGAAACCCCCTGTATATACGCAGGAATTGCTCGATAGTTGTTCTTGAAATTTGATGAGTTTTCAAATTTTACTTGGGATCTCAAGTCACGCGTTCAACTGTTTGCCGTGTCATTCGTACCTCAGTACATTATTGCTCTTGCACCTCACAACGTTTCCACGTGTTTTAGTTTAATAAATCGCGGTATATTTAGTGGTCATTGAAAAACATTCGGTTATAAAAATCGTGCATGCCTTTCTGTGAATTATGATTCGTGCAACGTTGTGTTTAAGTGCAATAATGCGTGCCGTAAGTTATCTCTCAAATGTTATGAAGGAAATTTGGTTTATACTGGATTCATTTACGGATCTTTGGATGCTCTGCGCTATTAAACGAGTGAGTAGAGTACATAAGATAGTAGTTTTGCATCTTTTCTGTATTTTTACTTTGGTTTGTACCTGATTTGATTTGATTTTATCTAAGGCACCGTACGAGGATGACGGTATAAGTGACTCGTATTCAGGGCACCGTACGTTGCTGAAAGTTTGCCCTTTTTTTCAAATATTTCAAAACTTGCTCATTTCAAACTGGTCATATCTCAAGAACCGTTTGTGTTATTTTCATTTTTTCTTTGGTTTCTGTTAGTACAAGAGCAGGTCGTTGATAGGTAATATTTTAATTTTTTCTTCCGGATTTTTTTTTAGGGCAGGAGTCGATCTTGAAGTTGCAATTTAACATTATTGCGAAATTCCACCCTAACTGCTTCAAAATGGCCGCCAAAGTTTATCGTTTATCCAAATGTTTCAATACATGCAGTGGATAAAGGGTCATATCTCGGGAACCCTTCGTGATATTTCAATTTTTTTGTAAAAATCTGTTCCCTGAATGGGAGTCACTTTTACCGCTAGCTTCGTACGTTGCCCAGAATATGAGTCACTTCTTCCGTTACCTTTCATACGGTGCCCTGAACACGAGTCACTTCTTCGCTACCCTCGTACGATGCCCCGAATGGGAGTCATTTTTATCGTCACCCTCGTCACGTGAAGATTATAGAACTTCCAAGAATTCTTTATAGAACAGGATAATGAAATATATTAATTACATGAAGTAAAAGTTCAAAAATAGTCGCTAAATGTGCCAAAACATGAGTTATTTTCGGTGTTGTTTCCAGATTTTTCAATTGCGTTTATCCCCGACACTGCCTTTTCATATAGATTGTATTTAATTCTGGATTTTAGGATACATTGTTAATGTGAATAAGAGGGTACATTCAGAATATAAAATCTTTCCATTTCATTGGACTGTATCCACAACATGAATTGTTTATACTCCTAGTTCGCACTCTTGGTTTTATCTTGTTTTTATTGCGTTGCAGCGCATACTATGCGCTCACCAGTGCTCGTTCCATTTGCTACTTGGCCTTCATTTGATTTCAAATATAAAACACGCCTAAATATGCTGCAATTTTAACTGCGATTTATATTTTATATTTTTTCTCACGAAATGTCCATATGAAAGCAATATGTAAGCAATAGCGGTCTAAAAATAGAAAAATATTGTTTTTTTGTGATTTTTTGTTAATAACTTAAAAACCATAATAGATAAAACAATAAATTATAGATGAGTAAATACTACATTAAATTCTGCGTCGAACCACACAAAGAAGTGACTAAAAATATGATTGACAAAGAAGTTACAGGGCGTTCAAAATTAGGTTTGTTAAATTTTGCAAATAACTAATTAATTGCTTATAATTAGCAACAAAATGCTACAGGGAACAATGTTTTAATGCAGTCAGACTCAGAATTTAATTCTGCATCAACAAATAAAAAATCAAATTGATATGATAATTCGTTTTCCTGTAATAGTTTAAAAACTAAACAAAATGTAAGATTTCTCAATTTAAGACCGTGATTCCTCACATAGCGGTTAGTCCATATACCTATATTGCGTACAATGAGAAAACTATTAAATATTTATTTGAAATATAGCAAAATTTATCTATTCTTGAGCATTTAAAGAATTCAAATATATAACACGCCTAAATATATTGCAATTTTAACTGCGATTTATTTATTTTTTGTCACGAAATGTACATATGAAAGCGTTATGTAAGCAATAGCGGTCTAAAAATAGAAAAATATTGTTTTTTGCGGTTTTTTGTTAATAACTTAGTAACCATAATAGATAAAACAATAAATTATAAATGAGTAAGTACTACATTAAATTCTGCATCGAACCACGTAAAGAAGTGACTAAAAATATGATTGACAAAGAAGTTGTCAACAAGAGTGTTATATTCAAAGTTGAGTGTGTGCGCTGTAGTACTCGTTGCGCTAGGAATTGTAGTTTTTTTAGTATAACACGCGAACACGATATCACAGTTAGTTCGGAATAATTTTCCCTGATGCGCAATTTAATTTTGTATCTCCCTGTATCGAAATTTATTGCAAAAAAATTCCGTGACGCGAGTTATATTGAAAGTTGTGTGTATACGCACTAGTACTCGTTGCGCTAGGAATTGTAGTTTTTTTTTGATATAACACGCGAACGCGTTGTCACAATAAGTGCGAAATAATTTTCTCAGATGCAGAATTTAATTCTGTATCTCCCTATGTTGAAATTTATTGCAGGAAAATTCCGTAACGCGAGTTATATTGAACTAGCGACCTGCCCCGGCTTCGCACGGAAGTAAAAAACCGCATCAAAATCCGTTGCGTAGTTTCAATGAAGCATACAAAGAGACAGACAGAGAAAGCGACTTTCCTTCTCCAAACAAAAACATCAACCGGTCAACTTCAACCCACACGTACACACATACACACGTCTATGCTTGGAGGGGGAAGCTACGAAGCATCGCACAAAGAGCAGACGGGAATAATCGAAAACTTTGTATTTACGACATCACATTAGAAACCTAAAAAATAACAGTACTTCTCCACTATTTAATGGATGTTATTATACATACAAACCTTCCTCTTGAATCACTCTATCTATTAAAAAAAAATTGTTGTTTGTAAAGTAGGTTTACGATCGAGATGTTTACGTGATAACGTCTTATTGGTGATATAAGTTTTTGTGAAGTAAGGAATTAATGAAGATAACAATTTTTTCAAATTTTAAATTACATCTATCGTTTTATTCATAAATTTATCTGTTTCCAATCTGGGTAATTCTGTTCAGGATAGGACGATGATAGGAAAAGTAAGAAACTGTCTTTTGTTTCACATTCAACGAAAACTTAACCGCACGAGAAAATCTCCATTCGTTTGTATGCCGCTAGAGTGAGAGAGACGGAAGATCGGTCAACTCACTCGAACGCTATGCCTGCCTCCGCTCGTGTGGATTCCGCGTCACAAGTTTCACGGAATGACTGGCAGCGCTCGAGATGAGACGGGAGATCGGTCCGTCTCTCTCTCGTTATAACGAGAGGGGGGTATACCTGCGATCGGCCTCGTGAGGCCTCGCGACACAAGTTTCTGAACATGTCACCCGACTAAAACGATTTTAAAGACGTTATCACGTCAAAAAAACGGCATCAAAATCCGTTGCGTAGTTTCAAATATTTAAGCGAACAAAGGGACCGGAAAAAAAAGCGACTTTACTTTATACAGTTTATACTATATGTAGTGAAGTTGTGTGTATACGCACTAGTACTCGTTGCACTAGGAATTGCAGATTGGGAAATGCTCTATCAGATAAAAATATAAAATAATTATATTTCCTACCGTAATATTGTGCCCTGAATCGAGTAACTTCTACCGCTAGCTTCGTACGGTGCCTTGAATGGGAGTCACTTCTACCGCTACACTTATACGGTGCCCTGAACACGAGTCACTTCTACCGCTACCCTCGTACGATGCCCTGAATGGGAGTCACTTTTACCGTCACCCTCGTCACGTGATTGAAAATTATAAAACTTCCAAAAATTCTTTATAGAACAGGATAATGAAATATATTAATTATGTGAAGTAAAATTTCAAAAATAGTTATTAAAGGCACTAACATACGAGATTTGCCTTGTTGTTTCCAGATTGTTCAATTGCGATTATCTCCTAAACTGCCTTTTTATATAGACTGCATTCAATTCCGGATTGTAGGATACATTGTTTATGTGAATAAGAAGGTACGTTCAGAATATAAAATCTTTCCATTGTATTGAACTGTATCCACAACATGAATAATTTATACTCATAGTTCGCACTCTTGGCTCTTATCGATGTTAGTGCACAAACAACTTGTTTTTATTGCGTTGCAGTTTATCCGATGCGCTCAGCAGTGTTTGTTCCATTTCCTACTTAGTCGATCGTGCGCTGCGGTGTAGTGTGCACGCGTTTACTTATGCGGCGGTCTTCATGGCGACTTATCGCGTTATCGCGCGTGGAACCAAGAATTTCGTGGTTTTACAACGTACGCACCACGTGTTTTCCGTCGGCCGTCGGATATCTTCCGTCGGCTAAGCAATATTCAGGCTTGTTTCGTGTATCCATTTAATTATTAATTTGAATAAATATCATTTGTGCATCGTATGGAATATTTCATCTGCGAAAACGTAAAAAAGTATGTAACATAAAAACTATATTCTATTACAATTCGACGAGTTAAACAGTCAAATGTGGATTTATCACCTTATAAGGAAATACGATCAGAAAAATTAGTTAACACTTTAATACATACATAGCATAGTCGTCACATGGTCGCGTTCCGCCGGCTGCGTATTTGCTCTCATTTGGGACTTTTTCGTGCCTTCGTTTTGCTTTTGTAGTCATAATTCTGTCTGTGCTAATTTGTGTGCTTAGGAGTTCTGAATTTGGTATTTCTTTATAATGTGTTTAATAAATTTATAATTATTAGTAATTGTATTATTTATTATGTTTTTTTCACGTACTTATCACTTCCCCTAGATAAACAGTAGAAAACAGGTAATGAAATATTCACTTTTGATTTTGTATCACCCTGTATATAAATTTTTCTTAATGCTTTCCGAAAAATGAGCATAATTATATTGTTTTGGGGCGATTTTCTTTTTCAAGTGAAGATTTTCTTTTGGAAACACCCTGCATGTAAATTTTCCTTTATGCCCAGCCAAAAATTGACAATCATTATTGTTTTGGGGTGATTTTTTTAAATTGAAGATTTTCTTTTTATAACACCCTGTATATAATTTTCCACTGATGTCATGCGAAAACAGGGTGCAATTTGCTATTTTCCAGTGTTATCTTTTGTAATTTTGTAGCCGTTAGCATAGCGCGGCTATACAGGTCATTAACATGTTTTAAAATGACGTCATGTGCAGGTATTGAACTTGCAAGTTCTGAAGATGTATTATATGTAATTTGTTAATAAAGAAATGTTAAAGGCAATGGTAATGTCTTATGGCTTGTGCATCCCTTCTTTCTATCATTTCAGGAACAGGTCTCTAAGAGAGTTCTTTGGTGTGCGTGAATATTGTACTTGCTTCTTCACCAAACGAACTCGAAGAATTCACGAACTGTTCTCTTTCCCCGAGCCGGAGGTGTCCCTTTTATATCCCTCTCTCAGTTCCCTCTCTCAGGGGATGATCCCCACTACAAAAATTGTTAAGGTATCCTGTATGATTTGTGTGTTCCTTCTTTCATTTCAGCTACAGGTCAGAACTTGTAAGAATATTTTTAAGTGCCTCCTCTCTTGAGACGACTTAAAAATTAGAAATATTTTTACAAGTTCTTATAAGGATGTCCTTATAAGGAGTTTCCTCTCTCTGGGGATGATCCCCCACCATAAAAATTGTTGATATGCCTGATAATTTCGGGGATGAAGCGCAGAGACATCGCAGCTGTAGGATGGGCCGGGAGCAATGAACGGATCGAAGCAGTGGGCGATCGACCAGAGCGCCGGAGGCGCTCTGGGAGATCGACCGTAGACTGTCTTATAACGACACGTGCCAAAAAATTTAAAAGTTCTGTCACCCCTATTCTTTTTTCTTCCTGTACTCTCTTCGCTATTCTCTTCTTATTTCTTCTATTCTCTCCTGCTGCTCTCTCTCTACTTACTCCTTTTTCCTTACTCCTCTTCTACTTATTCTTACTATTGCTTCGTCGTACTCTGCTTTTCAAGTTATTTCTAACATTTGAATCTTGAATTTTTGTGGTATGCAACCCACATTTCTTATATTTCTTATTATTTAATAAAATTACCTTCTACAACTGAGATTCGATCCATGAACCTCCAGCATGCTAGCATATGCACATGCCACCTGAGCCACAACGCCCACTTATCAAATGTTATTCGTTTCAGGTATAAATGTTGTTGTTTTTCTCACCTTTTTAAAAACAACAACACTGTATAGCCATCATTCAAACACTTTCAGTGAAATATAACTTTTATAACTATTCCTGAAAACGACAAAGAGGATACAAAAATAAATATGCTCTTATATGCAACATTCATTTAACTAATATTTCATTGAGACTCATACCATATTAGATATACATACAGATTATTAGATAATAATTAATTATTTTGTATTCAATGTATTCACTGTTCCTGGCAATAGGTGAAAATTAATAACAAATTCGTAGCCGCTGGAATACATGCGCCGGCCGGCGGTCAACGGAATTCACGCGAGAAGATAATAAAGCGACTTTACATTGCATAGTGAAATTATATATAATAAGTAAACATGGATGAGATAACTGTTACTACAGCCACCTCATGGACAAACAAGTTTAACACATCACATGATAATTGTAAATAGAATTGATGCTACTCACATTATTTCCCTTGCTGACAATCTTCACTTCACACGGGGAACAAACAAATTCCCAGTAATTATAACACTTGCCGTCGGAACACATGTGAATCATGCCACTCAATTCTAGAATCCACACTCCGCAAACCATTAACCGTAGGACACAACCGAGTGTTATTACAAAATACCATTGCCGACCGTTTCAAATTACTACCAAATCAAAATCTCAAGAACCGCTAAAAGATGCCACGAGGGTCGTGGCGAACAGATCACGCGCGCACTGAACTACTACGCAAGACCGACTAAGGAGGAGAAAGAATTTGCAAGCAATGTGAACAAAGCAGGTGGTATGCAAATGATAAGAACTTGTCTTATAGAACGACACGCCACCAAAAAAAATTAAAAATTCAAGACTATGTGAACACATTGTTTACAAGAATGTAAAATTTCCTTTATTGACTGAACATTTACAATTATTCTAAAGCAATAACAGTAACTGTAAGATTTAAAAAGTTGAATAAAAGTAAGAGTTTTATTTGATGCTACTTACTTCTTTCTTCTTCAATCAAAGAACTAAAGCGCACAAACACGTTTCCGCAAATTGTATGTAGAATTGATGATACGCACTTTTTTACTATTCCACACGGAGATTCCAAATGTATTCACTTTTACACATGTCAAACACATAAATTAAACTTGAACTTCTGTAAGTATTAATAGTCACCGGAACATATCCGACGGACGCCGTGCACGCACTCTAAAGAATCACTCAAATCATTGTTCGCTACACTTGGCTGTTACTACTACTGCCTCTGTTTGGCAATCGATTCTAGTAATGCTACAAAATATCAAGAAACGCAAGAAATCGACATCACGTTTGATTAATGAAGAAAACACGTGCGCACCACGGAGCAGCGTTCAACCGACTAAACCGAACTAAGCAAACCAGGAAATTGATAACAGACACGCAGTTGGAGGGGAATTCTTCTATCTGCATACGACACAAATACAATTACAAATACATGGCAAGTTATCAAGTTATGAAGTGAATTTAAAAAAAATAAAATTACCTATTTGGAGAAAAGGTTTTAAATTAACGTACTGTGGTAAAATTACACTTTTGTAGTTTCCCCTAGTATTAAACACAAATGTATATGACAACTGTAAACAACTGCAACACTTAGAACGTACGCACCGCAACTCAGCGCATTAAAAACAACAAAAATTAAGTATGAATATAAACCAAATCGATGGTAGCGCCATCTGACCATGGCGGAACAAAACAAAATAGATAGCTGACACTAGCGCAATCTAGGTGTCACGGAACAAAACATAGTGAAACATAGTCGACTATTGCCATCTAGTTCTGTGACTTTGAAACAAATTACCCAGAAATCTGCAATGCGTCTGCTTATATTTAAAATTAATTTAATTCACTTTCCATTGTATGAAGCACGAAAATTATTTACGAAAATGATAAACAAATTCAATGCTTACAATCTCATGAAAGAATCGTTGACCTAGGACGTTTTGTTCGCACGCTGGACACCTAAAACAACAAAAAATTAACACATCAAAACATAAAAATGTAATTTTTGCATGTTTCCCGTATGCTAATCATACAATTTGTATATGAAGATGATAAACAAATTCAATACTTACAATCTGATAAAAGAATCGTTGTCCTAGGACATTTTGTTCGGCCGCTAGACACCTAAAACAACCAAAAATTAGCACATCGCAGCACAAAAATGTCATTTTTGCATGTTTCCCGTATGCTAATCATACAAATTATATATGAAGATGATAAACAAATTTAATACTTACAATCTGATAAAAGAATCGTTGTCCTAGGACATTTTGTTCGGCCGCTAGACACCTTAAACAACCAAAAATTAGCACATCGAAGCACAAAAATGTCATTTTTGCATGCTTCCCCTATGCTTATCATACAAATTGTATATGAAGATGATAAAGAAATTAAATACTTACAATCTGATAAAAGAATCGTTGTCCTTGGACATTTTGTTCGGCCGCTAGACACCTAAAACAACCAAAAATTAGCACATCGAAGCACAAAAATGTCATTTTTGCATGTTTCCCGTATGCTAATCATACAAATTGTATATGAAGATGATAAACCAATTTAATACTTACAATCTGATAAAAGAATCGTTGTCCTAGGAGATTTTGTACGGCCGCTAGACACCTAAAACAACCAAAAATTAGCACATCGAAGCACAAAAATGTCATTTTTGCATGTTTCCCGTATGCTAATCATACAATTTGTATATGAAGATGATAAACAAATTCAATACTTACAATCTGATAAAAGAATCGTTGTCCTTAGACATTTTGTTCGGCCGCTAGACACCTAAAACAACCAAAAATTAGCACATCGAAGCACAAAAATGTCATTTTTGCAAGTTTCCCGTATGCTAATCATACAAATTGTATATGAAGATGATAAACAAATTCAATACTTACAATCTGATAAAAGAATCGTTGCCCTAGGACATTTTGTTCGGCCGCTAGACACCTAAAACAACCAAAAATTAGCACAGCGAGGCACAAAAATGTCATTTTTGCATGTATCCCGTTCGCTAATCATACAAATTGTAAATGAAGATGAAAAAGAAATTCAATACTTACAATCTGATAAAAGAACCGTTGTCCTAGGACGTTTTGTTCGCACGCTAGACACCTAAAACAAACAAAAATTAGCACATCGAAGCACAAAAATGTCATTTTTGCATGTTTCCCGTATGCTAATCACCCAAATTATTTATGAAAATGACAAACAAATTCGATGCTTACAATCTCACGAAAGAATCGCTCCACAGTGCATCGTAGCGCCAATGCATGAATATATACCATAGGTCTGCGTCGAGCACATCTGGGATTAGCCCGCAACCCAAAAAAAAAGAGAACATAAAACTTTGTTTATACACAAACACTGTTGTTTCTTTACAATTTATTTGATTTTGATTATTGTACATAGTATATTAATAATAATAAATGTACTCATTACATACAGTCTTTGCACAACTTGGAATTGGACTAGAATTATCTTATAAATTTACGTGCGATGCATGAAACTGATTACATTACGATGATACCAAAGGCAAACTCTTTAGTTACTGAATAATTCTAATTAACATATTGTGCTAAAACAATATGTTAATTAAACTATATAAATATGTATATGTATAATAGTTATTTAAAGTATTAAGTTGCAATATAAATGAAACTATATTTCATCTACATGAAGATCCGCTTCAAACCTGACTTGAAGTTCCATATAAAGAGTATAATATCGTTGAAGATATTATATTCGTTTTGTAAATGCTTAAGGAACAACTGGTATGCTAAGCATTGTTGTCTCGAATAAGAATAGAATCCACAATTGAATTAAAAATAATATTTTATCAATTTGTTGTGGTACTGGGCACAATTTCACTCTGGGGTGCGGTGTTTGCTTGAATCCACACGCGGGTATCTTTCTTAAGAGGTTGTTTCTTACTCTCCTCAACTTGCTTCCACAAGCTGGCAATGCGACTTGTTATTTGCTTTCCACTAGCATTTAAACCGTTCAAACCGGCAGCTGCATTATTAATTGCAGGTTTCTTATCGGTTGTTTTTCGCACAGCGCCATTTTTAGGAGTTGATGCTGGAGACAATTGGGTTTTCACTGTTGTTGATGACGGTGTGACACGACTGTCAGCGCTCGGCGATCTTTGATACACACGATTCAGGGGTTTATTAGCGCGATCCGAGCTGGCACTCTTTACCAAACCACTTCTTCCTCCTAAACTGGGTAATTTACTACGTATCTGCGTACCCATTGTGGTGCCGTTCGGTCTAGCAATACGCGATGTTGATGCTGCTTTCGGTATGGCACTCGGAATTTTGCTGTTCTTTTTCTCATCTTTGGTAAATGTTCCTTCGCGTTGTAACGGTGTATTGATAGTTGTTTTTGCCTTTTGCAATTTTGGCTGCGCCATGGGTGGTTTTGCAAGAAGTTTTGTCTGACTTGGCGGTGTTACAGCACGCACCGGATTTGATTTTAATGGCCTCGAATAAAGTGGTTTTCGCCGCCCTCGAATTGCTTTATCTTGCACCTCAGCTTCAACAACTGGCTGAGGATTATCACTGGGTTTGACAATTTTTGGTTTTCCAAATGTCTTGAGATCAGTTGTGCGATTTTCTTCCGGATCTTCTTGTTCATCGTTAGATTGGTCATGATTTTCATTACGATCACAAGAAACAGATCGCCTTGGCGATGCCGCTGGTATAACTGGTATATGGCCTGAAGAAGTGCTGGAACTCTTGCGGTATGTTCTATAGGAGATAGAACATCGAGAATTCGGCTCGGAGTCGTCGTCATTTGACACTAAACTTAATGTTTCATCCAACAGTTCGTCAGTTCTAGTTTCGTTTAATGAGTTTAAGACAACTCGAGCTTCATGTTGCAGTAATTGTAACACATCAGCACTCGGCTGCCCAGCGGCACCCAATGCGATGGTGGAAGGCGCAGTCAAATTTGACGTAGTCGTTGATATTGTTTGAGTCTTAAAACGCTCCTTATTTTCGTGTCGTCTTTGAAGCAAATGTTGTTTGCGAACACCAATTTTACTTTTCGGTTGATCATCAATAGCCGGTGCAGGAGTGGTCAATGCGGTTGTTGGTTCAGTAATTACAGAAGGAACATTTGGCCTGGATAATACCTAAACAAAAAGCAATACATTACATTATGTGGATTATTACACAACACACACACAAAACGTACCTGAGTTTGAAATCTAGCTTGATCTTGTTGTCTACGTTCTTTAGGCGTCAATTTTTTTGGACTACGAGTGAATGTTGCGGTTGAATACGTTTCTGCAACAGTTTTAAAGCTATCGGGATCTGCGCTCGTAAACGTATCCGCGCACACAGTATGAAAATCTTCGGCGGCGGAATCATCATCCTGAGTCATAATTTTATCAGCATCTACCGTATAAGTCCGGTAGCGCTCTTTATCTATGCAGCGTCGTTCTCGTGGCGTCAAGACACGATTTTTCTTGGGCGTTGACTCCGCACTGCTAACATCGGATTGAATCGGTGTTATACTATTCGCATCCGAAAACTCAGTAGCATCGTCCTCAGTTTGCTGATAAGTAGTACAATCATCAAACACTTCAGCCGTTTCAAAATTGGTAGTCACATCAGCTAAAGAGTTGCACAAATCAGTGACTTCATCGAATAACGACGGTGGATTGATATTTTCCAAATTACTAATGCTATTAGCGTTTGAATGGTTCGTCATTAAATGCAGCATATTTGCCGGTTGTTTAACGTTGAAAATTGGATTCGGTTGCTCGACATGCGCGAATCTACCGTAACTGTGTTGATAATCGGCATTATCGCTCGGTATACTTGCCACGCTTATTAAACTTCCATCCATATCGTTCACTTCGGCTAAAAGTGACGGCGGATTCATCTGTTCCAAATTGGTGACGCTGTTATTACCTACCAAGCTCTCTAAACTCCCCACTTGATTCAACGAGTTACTTAACGCCCTACGAACCATTAATCCGGCTGGTAGAGAACGTTTTCGCGTTGTTCTGGGACTCCTCGGCGGTGTTTCCACCGCGCTGCTAATAGAATTCATGTGGGATGGTGGTTGCACCTGATCCAGCTCAAGAGATGCATTGCTGATTGTGCTTCTCGACATATCGGCTTCATTTTGGAAGGTGAGAGCCATTTTAGTCGCCTCCATTGCAATGAGTGTGGACTCTGTCATAGTGCTAGTGTTCAGCGATGAGAAATCATTCGAACCGGGACCATCCAACACATCAAGAATATTCACAGCCGGCTGGGGTGCGTCCGGTTTGTCGCTGAACGTAATCACGTTCGGTACACTACCAGAGATACTTGGAAACGTGACGTCTTCGTTCCAAGTATCTCCTTCATTAACCGACGTGCTGCATTTGTTTTCTTCTTTATTTATAGTCGCCTGTGAAACTAGCTCCGCAGTAAATCTATCCAAAGATTCTATCATTGCGTCAGGATCTAACATTCGACTATCAACTAGCGCTCCACCATTAGTCGACTTAATTTCTTCATCGGACTTATCCAAATTGGCACAATTATCAGAATTGGAATATGACGAATTGCTAATACTATTCTCCAAAAACTTCCCTAATGATTTATCACAGCCACTCTTCGTTAGAGCGGTCAATAAGTTCTCTTCGGTATGCGATGATTTGACCAGTGATATATCGTGGAAACTCTGATCGACTACTGGATGCGGACCGTTCTGGTCTAACAGCGTGTTGTTGTTGCCGGGCGATGCTAACATCTTCGTCGCCGCTTTCGGACTTGCGATTTCGTGACCTGGATTTGGTGTGTTTGCGCCGACGTCTGTTGCCTGGAGGGCGGTCGGTTGAGGACTTGCTTGTTTTGTGCTCCCGACAGCAGACGCAGCATTCACGTTTTTTGAAATCGACGACTTAAGTTCACTGCTCCGTTCGTTTTCCTTTTCCGAGGCAGTATTTGGGACCCGATTTGAATATTCCGCATGTTTATTGAAGTGTTTTGTCGCGACGCCAATAGGTTTGTCCTGATTTTTGTTCGGTGTAACAGTATGTTTACTCTTAGGCATACCGGACGATATGCACTGCTCCAAAAGCGCTTGTTCTGTTTCCACCGAGCCAAAAGATTCCACGCTTAAGGAAGACAAAGATTCTTGGCGCGATAATTCGTTGGTTGTATTGCAGGAAGTACCAGTTGTATTGTGCAATGCCGTACTAGGACCCGGAGCATTCAAATTCGTACTCTTTCTGGTAACTCCAGTCGTTGGACTGTTCGGATCTGTTTCGCCTTCACCCAAAGTTCTAAATAAACAAAGCAATATACATAAAATAAATATATATATATATATATATATATATATATATATATATATATATAATTACAAGTTCAAATAACTATACCTGACACCTCCAGCCACACTTCCATCGACCGTAAGATCACTCAAACTAGACCGAAGAGAAAACTGACACGGACTATTTTCGACCTCAAAGTTTGCAACTTCATCCCTCGCGCCTAAATACGAAGGAATGGTATTTTTACGCTCTGGAAGATTTTCCCTCGTAAACGGTTTAATTGGTGTGCTCGTCGATAAATTTCTTGTCGAGGTCTGTCGTTTTGGTAAGACTTGCGCAGATTTCGCCTTTGGCATTCCAGACTGAATGCATTCGGCCAAAATGTTGTCGTTGTCGCCGGACAGGTTGCTACTGTCATCCGACAGGTAGTCTTTGCGCGACTTGTTGTCAGTCTGCATAGATAACACACTCAAATCGGAGTTAGAACCCGCATGGCTTAGAACCGCGGGCGTATCTTCCGTGTAATAAGTTCGCATACAATCAGCGTTCAGTGCAGTTGCATTAGTCGCACTTCTACTTGCACTTGCGCCCGAAACAATCGATCGTGGAGTCGGAATGCCGCTCCTAGGTATCGGAATGCCACTGCCGTGCGGACGTCCATGCGAGGATTTCAAATTGTTCAACGAGGGAATTTTAGATGATGACTCATGCTGACTACCAGTTTTGGTCTGCCTATGTCTAGGAGTAATATTTTCGTGTAAATATATTATCTAACTGATAAAGTTACCCTTTGTACGTACCTATTGTTCTGCATTCCAATATTTATGCAATCAGCCAAGATGTCATCGTCCTCGTCGTTTTCTGATAGTTGTTCGTTGAACTCGGAGCTGCTGTCTGGCTTCTCCTGCACGTCTTGCTTCTCAATATCCTCCTCTGTCAGCAATGGCGTTTCTGGCTTATTTTCTCGTCGATTCTAAGCAATAAAACCAGTCTTTATCAGTTAGATTACTTGAGATTAAATATAAACTACCTCCAGTATGATTAAACATTTGATATCAATTTTTATAAAGGTAGTAATTGAAACTTGCACCAAACTCACCACAATATCGCCGCAAACTGGCTCATCTTGATCGTCAATTGTCAGACTACTAATGCTTGTAGCAGTTGAAAATTGTGCTGGCGTGCTTTCCTCTTTGAACTTAGTTACGTTATCCTCAAACACGCTAGGTTTCTGTATCAGATTTCTAGGTGCAGGTTGTGGTCGAACATCCCTATTGCCAAATCTAGACGTAGACGGATAGTCGATAGCTTTGCGTGGCCGAGGACTTGGCGGCACTGTCTGCGTAGGACTATCCGGTAATTCACTGGGTGATACAATACCGCTGGTCAAACGACTAAAGTCCGATACCACTGAACTACGATCATCGTGTATTGAATGCTGTTCGACGCTATCCAATGACGCCAAACTGCTCGAACGCGAAAACATCAACGGTGTTTGTTCAGCATAATTCACGCTTGTGCCAAACTTTACAGCCTTTGATTCTGCGGATGAAGCAGGCACCTTCTTTGTTTCTTCGTGTGTTACCCTCGGAGGTGTCATAGGTTCTTTTGGCTTTGTTTCTTGATTTACCGGAATAGATGTAAGTGATCCAAAGGAGCTAACACGCGAAAAGTATCCGGGCGTACCTTCTTCGCAATAATTTACAGGTTTTTCTGGCGACATTAACCCCGAACTAAATTCGCTGTTAGGCATAGCCGGTATTCTAGAATCGCATTTGACGTTTTCCAGATCGGTTATATCCTCAACCGAACAATGATCTTTTTCGTCCAAATGAGAGAGCGTTGGTGCTTTGGTCTCCTTGTTGCGATCTTTAGATTTATCGTTGTCTATGTCCACACATCGTAAATCAGACATTGACGTGGCCGTACTAAAATTGATCGGCGTTTCATATGGCGTACCTTCGGTGTAATAAGTTTTGATTGTGTCTTGCACAAATTCAGATACTTTCTTGCTACAGTCCGAGTCGGAATCATCTTCAGCGTATCTCAAGGAATAATCGGTAGGTTGGTCCAAGTCAGTCTCGGCGTAAATGCCATCGTAAGACTTTTCTTTTTCAGTTTCACTCTTTGCGTCATCATTTGAAAACGCTGCACCGTTGGAAGTCTTCTTTTGACTTTCTGAATACTTCCGACTGTAGTCAATTGGTTGTTCTGACTCTTGTTCCTCCGTATAATTACTAGCATAGTTTCGGTAACTTTTGTTCTCGCGATTGCTCATGTATACTAAACTCGAACTACCATACAACTGCGATTTATTAAAACTCGTTGATGGTTCGCTTAAGTTTAAACTTGCGAATCCGTCTACCAATTCGTTGTCATAGCCAAGATTGACATGCGTGCCGAATTCATGACTTTCGGTACGTGTACCAATCTTGTCTTTGGTCGCCGATCGCTGTTTTTGAAGCATTGCTTTATCGAATAATAGCTTTTCATCGCGTTGTAGTTTTGTAGGCGAGTCACGTTCAATGTTCTCAAACGTCTCCGATAGATTTTGGTCCAAATCACGCATGAGAGCTTTTTGTTTTCGCGCCCCCAGCGTAGGCAAAGCCGGTAGATCCATCGCACGAGCGGTTGAATCCATTTGTGGCAACAAACTGTGCGACGGGCGTGAATTCAGAAGATTTTTCAATGCTGCACTTGAGCCCGTTGCAATCATTTTATGTTTTGAATGATTCAAACTCCGAAGCATAGCAGGCGCTCCCATTTGCCACAACGCTTCTTGATCAATTTGATTTTTGGCCGACAAATTCCACAAAGTACCGCAAGCATTACTAACAATCGTTAAACTCGGACTTTTCAGTTGCTCTAACAGCATTTGCAAGCAATTGTGCTTTCTTAATATTTCGCGATAATCATCGCGCACTGCAATTTGGCTTGAAATATTACGCAAAATCCCGCCAGCATTTTCATTAATGGTTAATGAGGAAGACGGTGCCTTGTACGAAAGCATATTGACAAGGAAGCCCAGTCCATTTTCAACCGCGCAAATTTCCAACTTATTTTCAGTGCAATGCGCCGATAAATTCCACAACGCAGATAAAATCGATTTTAGCGTATTCTCTTTTGTAGTGGCCATGCCAGCTTTCATCAAACCAGTAACCGTGCCAACTTCTCGCAAAATCTCTTTACTGGATTGATCAGCGCGCCATGACAAATTACGCAGGACACTCGCAGTAACCTGTCGCAGTTCATCACTGAGGCTTTGCAATTGAACAACCAACGCACGCATGAATTCTCTGTGCGAACACAGAAGGGCTTTGTTACCCGAATCGCCAAACGTTAAATTTGTCAGCGCCATACAAGCGTAGCGACGCATTAAAATACACGCGGTGTTATCGTGGGCGTTACCGTGTAATGTGTGCTCGGTCTCGACTAATGAAGCGATAACTTGTATGCCGCCCAGTTGGCATATCGCTTGACGATGCCCTTCGTCGAAGGAATGCTTCATTAAATTAGCGATTATTGCAACCGGGTGTTTTTCGTCCGATTGCTCCGACGATTCGGACGTCGACGAGGAAGAACTAATGGTAAACTCTGTATTGTTTTTGAGTGCCTCCACATAACCGCTCGTCTGCTCGAGCAGTTTTAAAACTCGCACTTCTCTCTTCCGGGTTTTCTCATCAGGTTGGGCGTAGATCAAATTGTGCAGGGCCTGTGATGCCTTCTTACGCGTCTCGAAATCCTTATCTGACTGCACCAACTGAACTAATAATGGTATACAACCTGTATGAACAACACACACATCGTCAGGGTTCATGTTCAATTGTCTATGACTGCGCATTGATTATAACTCAATACCTGATTGCCTCATTGCGAGGCAGCTTTCCGGACTGGTGCTTAACGCGAGGAGGGTGTCACCCATATCCGCATGTTCCTGACCGCCGAGCATTGCTAGCAGACTGTAGACCATGTCGACTTTGGCTTCCAACTGTTGCATTGAACGTCGTGTTAAGCGATCCGGACTTCCAAGGACTCGATCTAAAGGAGCACCACCTGAACTTGATGCGAAACTCAGCACACTTGCTTGATCCTGCACATTGAATTAATATTTTATTACGAAGTGTATATACAGTAAAATTAATAATAAACTTACAATATTAATATGAGTGTTCGCTGGTCTCGGACTACCATCAGGATTCAAATTGGATGGATCCGATGCCCACATGCTGGTTCTTTCCACCGGCCATGTGCCGTGGTAGAGATTATTCTGGTGGTTTGCATGTGCCACTGGTTCGCTACTAACAGACATTTGTGTGCTAGATGTTCGTCCATATTCATCTTCACTGTGAACTCCATCAACATCATACTAAAATGAAGTAAAATTTCAATTTTACATCAGATTAAATGCTATTTTAGTACTTTCATGATCAATAACATAATATAAACTGTATAATAAAATTGTATAATCCAATGCTTTTAGTAAGACGTTACAGATTGTGACATATGACAGAAATAAAAATATTAACATCGATTATAAACTCACATTTAATTCAGGTGGTGGTTGTGTAGAAAGAATAGTAGAATCCATTTTGTTCAGTTGGGCAATCGTTGAAATGAAAGACTGCGTACCTACACTAGTACTAGAGACATTGTGAATCTGCAAGCAGACGAACAAAGAAATTAACATAAAATTGTAGGCGAAATAATTACTTATTATTTCTTATATAGACATCACAAATGTGAAGAATGTAGGAGTACAATTTGCAACTTCTGCCAAAATTGAATCTAACAATCATATTTACTTGCATTTCATTGCAAATGAATAATAAATCATGTCGTTAACGGTGAAGTAAACTTTAATTTGGCTGTAACAACTTCCCAGGTATAATAAATTTAATGCAATAGCCTTGAACCTGACAGAGGGTTGCTCTTGCTCCTGACGCGACGTTCGGGTGATATTGATCTCGCACGCTTTCGCTCGTTTTCCGGCGCGTGCCATTGCACCAGTCAGCTAATACAACTAACGGTTCCTCTGCAATATGTTCTGCATATATCCACACACACTCCGAAATTATTCGCATGCGAATGAAAACTCGCGCAACACACGCGAGTGTGAGAAAGAAGTCGCATCTATTATTAGCGCGGATTGACTTGGTGCGTGCAGCCAGCATGATAAAATCATTTTAATCGCATGTTTACGGATTTTACCAACACATTCTACACTCAAGTTCAAATAAAATGTGAAATATTGCTTGAAATACACTCCACCGCATTGTATGCGCACATGTTTGAAACAAGCGGTCAGGGAATTTCGTTTACAGCCACAAATAACGCTACTAAAGTGCACACAAAGTGCACACGATGAAAACACGCACCAGCAAAGCACAAAAACAGTACTAAGTATGCAGTAAGTAACGTTAATATCGCAACTAAGTGCGTACACTTAACTGCGGGTGCTTGGGTTTCCGTCTGATTCAGCTTCCTCTTCGCTAAGCGTTACAAATTACAATTTTAACTTGAAGAATGTGTGAGCGTGTGAGGTACATTAGTGCTATTTCCAGCGACTTTGCGACTAAATTACCGCATGTTCACAAAAAGGAGGAAAAAAATCAAAAAAGAATTTCTGCATAATTTACTCCTAGATAATAGTCAAAAGTTCGAAAATAAATTCACAAGTATTACTTGTATTTTTGGCATGATGCCCCTACGGAAAGTGGATATGTACACTCGAGCAAAAAATAATAAAGCATTAAAATTTATAGTGTACTACTAACGAGATCAATGGTAAGAAAATGTGTATAAAACATGTGTTTCTAATTTTATTCTTCTCGTTCTGGCTGTGATGCAGTCACGCGTTAATCTTTATGTATTGCCTACCGCAAGTGTATTTAATATATTTCTTAGTTCCCTGGTGGCATGTTTACGATTGCCATCTTCTGTCAGATTTGTTTATAAAATATGTTGAAATTACTTAAAATGTACGCTGACTTTCTTTTCAAGTCAGAAAGAAAAAATCACAACTAATCAACGAACATTTCACTCGCGTTAAAAATCTAAATATTCCGTACAATAAAAAAGAAACTTCATACTTTCATCTTCCATCATTTACACTTTACACTTGAATAAAGTTGTATGAGGTGTAATAATCCGGTATTATAAAGTAGGTAAATTGTCTAAACGCGACCGACGCATCAATCCGCGGCGAACAACACTCGCACGATATGCACTAGTCACTGAACCGCGCACGACTGCCGCGAGAATAGAAGCGACGAAAGACTGGATACAATATTAGCCTACTAACAACCGCTTACTAACGATTCGGAGTGAGTTTCAGAGATGGTTTACGGCGGGTAAATTTATTTACGTCTTGAAGCGACAGACACGCTGTCTAAATCAATACGCAAAAAATAAGCAAATGTGTTTTTAGCACGCAAAAAATAATATGCAAGTAAAATTTCAAAGCCTAGGCCGGGAATAAGTAGTTAAATTGCTAAAATAATCGCGTGCATCACTTCCTTAAAAGCAAACTTTTTGCCAATCGTAGTTTTAGGAATTTATTCAACCCCTGAACTAAATTATAGGGCATGTTTTGCATGACATTTGCAAAATCACGAACTATACGTCCTGACATTTCGCAAAGTAACGGGGCCAAAATTATTCCCATAAAAAAAGAACCCCGCGATATTACACTATCACGAAAATGGTTGGAATTAATTTATCAATTTTTTTTTTATTGTATATTAAATATACGAACATGTCAAGTCAACGAAACAGTGCTTAATCTTCACAAGAAGCCTGAAAACTGCGTGTTAAAGGGCTTAGACAAGAAGCCATGACCTTGACAATTGCTGCTTATCACGACCTTCATACGAAATAACCTTTTAACGTACACGCGATAAATAACAAGCACTCTAATAACTGTTATAAAAGGAATTCGATTCTTGCATGCATTCAAATTTTTCTTATTAGTTTTAAAGTTTTAATATTTGGAAAATTATTTTAGAGTAATTATATATAATGAACAAATGATGCTGAATAGTCGAATTAATTATAGATCAAACTGTGTTCGCAGCGGAATCACGTTCACAAGAAAAACTTTCTTCGGATCTATCCAGAGGCGGATCTAGCAAAAGTTGTGCCCGAGGCGCTACTAAAATACCTTTTATACGCTTTGAGGAAATCCGCCGCTGATTTGATCGAAAGCACTTTTACGCCAATACCAATGAAACAAATGAAAGTAGATTAGAGAAGGTATATTTTTATTTAAGCTATGATATAGCTATAAAGATAGCATCTTAATACCATCAAAATAACTATTCAAAATAATTTCTTTCCATAAAACTTGTTGAAGTGACATTGCTACACAATTTCTACATGTCTGGAATTGCAATTCGCAATAGCTATTAACGCTACACTGGCGTTAATGCTAATTAGTGCGTAATGTTTGGCCGCACGAGCGTGGATTTCATGAGTCATATGTAAATATGCAAATTATTCCAATAATTTTTATGGCGCACTCAATGCGAAGTTTACACAAACAAGAGGAATAAATACCTGGTGATTTGATGAAGATGTGATGGATGTGGTCGAGCTGGTTGTTGATATGACCTGGGTGGCAATTTCGTGGACCTTTTGGGCTTGTTCCACCAAATTGCGCATTTCGGCCCTCAGGGCCTCATATTGTGACACTGGTACGGATGCCATAACACAAAATCACCTGCAACAAAAAACGCAACTTGTTTAAATTAAATGGAATTGATTTTACATTCAGTAAACATTCAGTATTTGTATGCTTAAGTCGATGTGCAATCGGTTGAAATAAGATATATCTTGTGCAGTTGACCGTGAAAAGATAACTTTGTAAAGATTATAGAAAGAGCTTCGTATACACAGAAGTTGGAAACGTTTCATGCTTGTAGTAAAAAACAAAAACATACGAAGATGTTTTGCCTGAAAAAGTGAACAAAAAAGTGTTAAAAATGTAATTTCCGACGAATTTTCGTTGAATATTTTGTCAAATTTAATTTGGACTTATGAAACATGTATGAATCCACAATTTGATATCAATTACATGTTTCTAAGTAAAATGTACACAATTTTTAGACACAAAAAACGCAAAAATTGTGGATAAATTGCAATTTGCATTAAATTCCAACTGGAATTTGCAATAAAATTGAGTTAAAAGCTGAATTATCGACGAATTTTCGTGGAATACTTTATCAAATTTAATTGTGGTATATTTACCTACCCACTCTTTGATAACATTTCTATACATTTAAGTAATTTTGTACAATTTTTAGAAGCCAAGAGAAGAAATACTAGGCACTAAAATGCAATTTTCATAAAATTCCAACTGGAATCTGCTATAAAATAGAGCTCTCTCTACTCACTAATTCAAATATTATATTTCTATAGAAACACAATAAATTAGAAGCCCACAAATCCCAAAAATTAGCAAATTAGCTAATAAAACTCAATTAAAACTGCAAAAATACGCATATGCAATAAAATAATTAATTTTGATACCAAAAAAAACCACAATATAACATCTCCTGATTTCCTGATTTTCCGTATTTGTAGGTTTCAAAACTAAACTTTACAAATTCATATGTACCTAATTTGTTCGAGTAAACTTGGTTGCGTGGTAGCTTAACGAATGCAACTGCATTTCCGGATAAACAAACACCACTGCAGTAGGAAGCGACGGCCAAAACATGAGAAGCGCCGAGAACCATACTCCAAATTTAGGTGTATCGCAGATAGTACGCACACCTCGACAAAAATATCGATCGCCGACTGCTGGCAACGTGTAGGGCTGCTCGAGCCCTTACTTGCGTATGCAGGCCTGCAGCCCACTCATACTATCCCTCTCACTACCACGCACCATGCCTACAGCCGGCTTCGTTTATTTTTGTTATTTTCAACAGCGGCGACACGAGATTCGACTACATTCGAGATCTTTTTAAGTACATAATGTAATATAATATAGTCCTATTGGATTAACCCCTTATTATCTCATTTACAATAATCTCTATTGCATATTTATCTTGTATTAATAGATGTATTTCTTACCATGATTCCTGATCTCTCAATGTCGGTTGAGAAAACCCGAAACCGAGTGCGAAAAGCGAATAATTTCGCCTCTCACCTCGTGGTGAGACGAGTGTTCCTCGCCGAGAAGCGGCCCACCTTCACGAACGCACACACATTTCTAACGGTTTCGTAAAGTTTCTCAGTTATCACCCGAACGCACTAAAAACTCGGCGAATGTGCACGGCCGTTCCCCGATGGAAGCAGTAATCGCGAGTGAAAAACAAGCGAACATCGCTAGAGCAAGAGCAGTCAAGGGCGGAATGTCTATTATTTAAGACAGCTGGTTGGTAAGTTCAGCAAGTCACATACAGAGGGCTATACTATAGTCAAATATAATACTTGTAATTAAATATACACACCTTAAAAACAAAACGTACTTGAATATTATTATTATTATTATTATGTATGATATGGTGGAATGTAATCAACATTGAAGTGTACTAACAATTTTAAAAACATCTTCATTGACGTGATCTATTCATATCTAACCTAAAATGCATTCGAAAGTTCCAGAACTTCCATAACAAAGCTTGAAAGATTCATTCGTCTAGTTTTTGAGTTGCCGGCAGCTTGAACACTTTTCAGCAAATAAATAAATTAAAACTGCATAGTATTACTGCATAAAATATTTAACATGTTTGGCCTAATTGTTTCTGGACGTCTCGTAAGTAAATTTTCTGTTTTTTTGTTTATTTTTTGTGTTCAATATGATTTTAATTGTATGAAAATTTTAGGTTCAAACTGATTTCCAACAAGCAAGTGAGACACAATTTTTAACAACAATATTAGATGCAGATAATGTCAACCACATAGTCATTTTTCTCACTGGAGCTGTACCACTTCCAGAAGGATTTGGTGCACAAGGTAAAAGTATTCTATATAAATTTAATGAATTAAAAATCTATTGTACGATATTTTTAGTTTACTTCAGTTGGCCAGATCCAAATGCTCCACCCAATTGGCAATCTTTGGGGTATATTTCAAATCAGAAACCTTCAGCAATCTTCAGGATATCTACTTTGAAAAAGTTGCATGAAATGGGAGATTATAACAACACATCAACTTTTGGGCAGCAAGCTATTTGTTACAATGCACAAATTGGCATTTCTATTGGTAAGTTCATAATGCAGATCAAGAAATATAGAATATTAAAATGGCAATTTGTGTTTTAGAACCCTTGGCAAACATGCAAGATCATAGGATAGAAGAGAGCAATGCTTATGTTACATTTGCACAGAAAATGTTGAGCAACTTCATGAATTATGTGCTCAGTTTTTCAGTGACACAGTCCCAGATGGTAATTGATCCTTCAGTTACATATGTGCCTATGACAACTATACAGAACTGGTATACTAACTTCGAGCGACGCCTAACGCAAAACCCCAACTTTTGGAAAACGTAATTTATGTCTACAATAAGTTAACGATAAGTGATTTGTGAAGCTAATTCACTTTATGGCGTGTATTTATTTCTGTTGAAAGATTTTGAGATCAATAAAATCTTTTTTTTTTTAAACATCAGTATATCAGGGACTTGTGTCACCAGAAACAAACGCCTAACTCACTTATAAAACCAAAAAATCTGCTATCTGCTGTGCATGAACTCACACCGAAACGATTTTTTTCCACTTAACTCCATGTGCAATCACTGATAACAACTTCACTAATACGCATTAACCAAGTTTTAATACACCTTAGTTTATTAAAACGCCATCTATCATTGAATTGGAGAGCTAGAATGCAAATTTGAAGAAGTCTACAGTGGTTTCTTGTAAATGTTGATATTTTCTACACAATTATCTCAACTTATCCAGCCCCTCACTTGAATAATACAATATTTATTGTAATTATCTTTCAAGATGTTTACAATTTAGAATTTTTCTTAGTCACTACCTCATCCCACCATTTTACTCTGCTCATATTACCCTCCCCAGTGAAAATAGACCGTTGCAGACGCTGATAAACCAATCCGTCTGATTTACCCAACACTGAATTCAGCAAAAAATCATCAGGAGCGATAGCGTCCACTAACGTGACTGCCTCGTCCTTTAACATCGCACATAAAGACAAGATGGCTTCCTGAAGAAGAACTCTCTGCTTGTCGCCCTGAAAATATCCACCTTGATAAAGATGGCCGACATGTTTCTCAAGATGAAACAGACCAAAGAGCACCCCCAAACGGGTCAACACCAATTTCATGTTTGGATCTTCACATGGTTGGATAAACGTGTGGAATTTTAACAAAAAAACGTGCTGTAATTAAAAGAAAAAAACTTAAATTAGTGTTGTTATGAATACAGTAGAGTCCGGTTATAATGACATCGAAGGGAATTGACAAACACGTCATAATAAGCGGACGTCATACAAAGCGTTTTGTGAAATGAAATCCCTTTTTATGTAAATATGTACATATACATACATATTAAATCAAAATCAAAATTGCACATAATCAGCACATTATAACACATACAAGTGAATTTTTTACTTCAAGTAGGGTAAAAGAGGGTAATGGGGGTCACTTAAGGGAGAACTCAAATATAATTTAAATTATAAACAAAATACTTATTGCAATCGCTTATAAGCATTGTTTACTTAAATACCTATTATTTGAAATAATTTTCAGTCACTTTGACAATCAATTTTGGATATTATTAAAGTTTAAAAAAAAAACAGATTTGACTCCCATTACACCGACATGCGGGTAATGGTGGTCACCCTGGGGACAATCGGAATCAAACGAAATCTAGCAGATATCGCAAACATAATATTCCGCAAAGTCCCACCCAGTGCATTTCACATGAGCCCATAGCCCAAATGAAGTGCTATGAACCACATTTAATTGTTTTTTTTTTTTTTTTTTTAATAGTTGCACATTAGACATCAGTTTTCCAAATCTTCATCCATCGCCCTGGCATAAGTCATCAGTGCCAATATAGGAATCATAAGTTTTGTTACTTTCCTGCAGTATCGTTTCTGCATGAAGGCTATTGAAAAATAAGTCACATTGCTTTTTATAGGCCATTTAGAGCGGACTAAAGACAAAAACGTCCATTGGGAGTCGCATGACTCCCATTGCCCACAATTGCACTATTGTGAAAAAAAAAAACAAAAAAAATATTTCTTCAAAACATTAATGTAATCTGAACTGCACATCACGATTTTGAATGTTTAACTAAGACTATATAAAAGTTTCATTCGAATATTGCAAGATATTCGACACTTATATTCTAATTTGCGTGGACGTAAAATTAGATCAGCGGAGCTCAAAAATAAAATATTGGCGTATCTCAATGATACACGCACCGATTTGCATTATTTTTTGGGGGTGGCACTGGGGGGCCAGAACGGAGGTAGGAACGCCGTTTACGCGGTACTCGTAACTATTGTTTCGTGGATATATGGGTGACTCCCATTACCCGCTGACTCCCATTACCCTACTCTCCCCTAATCTGTAATTTTTGTCTGCTTTTGTTTTTTCATTTAATTAATTTTCTTGTGATTTTCGAAGCCTCTTCGGTTTCAAAACATTTGAATTGAACGATTGCTTAATGCGGTTCTTGTTTTTTAAAAAGCATTGAGATTGTCGAATGACCCACGCCAAATTCGGATTAATGGAAAATACGGATTAAGTCGTGGTCAAGGTACAGCTGCCCGAATGCTTCTATTTATTATTTAAGCATTTGGTCTTTCCGATAGTAAATACATAAAAGTAATTTGACAATCATAAAAGAAATGTAGCAATAAATATAAAAAGTTCGCCACGTGTCGAACGTCGTCGGGTATCAACGAACATTACCGGAGGTGTAAAGAATCATGTTGGTCAATATAACCGGACATAATCTGTTAAAAATGGGTCATAATAAGCGACATGTCACTGTAAGCGAAGTCATTATATCCGACTTTTTTTATACAGAATTTTATATGAAAACCAAACTTGGTAGTGTAGGTACGTCATAATAACCGGTTGGTCAATATAAGCGGAGTCATAATAAACGGATTCTACTGTATATGTATACTCAAAACAGGTTTACCTGTACGTATGCCATGCTTAAATCTTTTCCAAAGAAAGCTTGATTGTTATTCTTCGCATCAAGAGTACTTTGTCCCTGCGCTTTGTTCCGCTGATATCTTTCGTAATTCAATTTCAAAAGATGGCATATCAACCATTGAAATGTTTTAATTACATCTAAAATATATGAAAATAATCAAAAAGGTGCTCTGAACCAAAAACCAATTAAAATTTACTCTCCGGTTGAAGAAACTCCTCAATAGTATGATAGTCACACTTTTCGGCGAATAACTCTTGAGCATTGTTAAGAAAATTGACAGATCCATAAGGACCATCGATAACTTTGCGTTCCATCACTTGCGGCCATAATTTCAATAACCAGTTGCTGGTTTGTTGGATAATAACATGACCTTCACCTTCATACGTAATGGTTGCGTCGTTATCATCACGCATATCTGTCAATCCGGAAGCTTTTAAGTATCCATGTCCTCCACATGCTTCGCGGCACTCCTGAATAGCATCGCGGGCTATCCAAGCCACAAAGGGTTTAGACGCACAAGAAATTGCATGGATTTCAACGCCTCGAGCGGCGGCGTTCGGTTTCGGCTTGCCCATATACATCTCTACGATTGCTTCCACATTATCAGAGACAATGAAATACGAGAGGACTTTACAGACGTAGGCATGTGCCAAGTACGGAATTAATCTGTATTGCTGTACAAAATATAGTTCAAAATGTGGCTAGGTATTACTATTATTAATATTGATAAATATATTTACATGTAGTTGGTACTCAAGAATAGGAAGTTCATCCTCAGCTCGAGTACAATCTTCGGGACCAAATTGTTTTCGCACAGCAGCGTACCGAATACCAATGGTGACACACTTTGCAATCATAGCTGAACAAATGCAAGTAATGTTGATTCTTCCCATTGACAGTGAGTGATGGGAAGAGTTGAACAATTTTTTGGGATCTTTCAACTTCGGCAAGTATACGCCATCTTGTGAGACGTTAGCATGACGGTTAAGAAGTGCGGATTTCGGTACGCGGTGTTGATTGAACATGATAACACTAAACCACAATAGTAAGTAAAGTAAATTATTCAAGTATTCATGTAAATTTGTGTCATACCCATTATCAACACCATTCATTCCACCTTTGGGTCCCATATCAGCTATTATCACGCCTGGAAGAGGTACTAACGACGTCAAGTCCCTAATCTGAATTGCGAACGTATGAAGGCCATGACAGACGCCATCTGGTGTATAGAGTTGAGCATACACTGCAGCATGGGTTGCATGCTGGCCTGACAAACCAACCCAACACTTTGCGGCTTCAAAATCCGGTGAATGGATTACAAAAGTCTGCGTTTCCTTATCGAATGTCGCGCGTGTTCGCATCAACTTCGTGTTCGAGCCATGGCCGACTTCCGTCAGTGCAAAACAACCTAATAACTGAAAAACAAAGTAAGACTTAACCTATTTTTAACCTAAATTTAACATTTTTACCTCATTATTATCAGATGCTTCAGCAAGATACATATGTTCCGCAGTACCTTGCGTTTTGATAGCATTAGAGAAAAGTGCTAATTTAATGCCAATGTTGAGAGCAGTACTGGGGTCCCAGCTGTATAAAACCTCCATATTTGCTGCGAGGTGCGTGTAATTAGAGATAAAAGTACCGATGGCAAATTCATCAATCTCTCCAAGAGCCCTCGTGCGCAGCATGGCTTGTTTTCGTTCTTCTTGAAAGGTCTGGTAACCAGGGTTGCTGTTAAGATCAAAAAGCGGATTGCTTTTTAGCGTATCTACCATACTTTTCTATTAAAATCGAAGAATAAATTAAAAACTATTAAAACTAGTAACAAAGGCATACTTTATATCTAATGAGTTTTTCGCCCTCCATGAAAAGTCTCATTTTTTTCCAATCGAAAGTTGAACGTTTTCTGTAAACGTCCAGAGGACCACAAGGTAAATCTTCTAACACATCCATGTTTTTTAAAATAAAATGGCTGCTATAATACGCTTGCTACTACAATTTTGAAAGTTTAAATAGAAAAATTAAAAAAAGTTAGTGAGTTATACGAAAGTTTTATCGTTTCAGTTATGAATATACATAATGTTGATGGCTGATAACGCCAAATTTCCTAATTTGTAATGTAAAAATATATGGAAAGAGTAACTGATCATTATTGATTCCCTATACCGACAGAGTGATGCAATAAACTATTTACTTTTTTTGAACTAAATTTAAACAAAAATTGCTTCTACAGTCAAATAAAATTTGAAAACAGCTTTTATTTGTCGTCGGATTTTCCGCCGCTGCGATAATTCCTTTTTCATATCCTTCTTTAGAACTTTAAACAGCTGCTCAGAAGATGGTGGCAGGATACTTTGTTTTTCAGATAATATACATACGTATATACGTACATATTTAAGTTATAGCCATGTGCCCTGCAGGTCAGTTTGATGGAGTTGAAACTACGCACAAATATCGCGTAGTGCCACCTCGTGGTGAATTTTAAAACGACGCGTTTCACAGCACACTACACATTATACACTAAGGGACTACTGGACTATCTATGCTACGGTTGAACGTTTCTGATAACTCTGTTAGGTGGGTTATACACTCGGTTTTTTTTCTTCTGTGGAAGTTGCAATTTTTTTGAAATTTTAGATATCTTTAAATTAAGACGGTAAATTAAGTAAGGTGGTATAAGTAATCGATATAGATATGAACATATACGATTCGGAAAATCCGTGTTTCAACTTTGAAGATGAGAAACTTTGTGGAATTTGTGGAAACAAACCACAAGTTACTCCTATGGATTCCATGAAACAAAATATTTTTCCCGATGTATCCATACCTATATATAAAGTACTTGAATCAATTTCCAAGGTATGATAACAATTGTTTTTGGTTATAGTAAATTAAACTGCATATTGAACTCTTATTTGGATATTTGAGGTTAGTGAAACAAATATGTATAAGTTTCTGCGGCAAATCGCCGATCATTTTTTGCAGCCCTTATTTTTGTCACATTTTTTTATGTTTTAGTATTGCTTTCGAATAGCCCACATTATTTTTATCATTTTTTAAGGGAGGCGCTTGTGGGATGTAAATGTTTCTTTTTTCAGTATTTTTATTTTTCTAATGTCCGTACTTTGTGAAGAATGAGCCGATTATAACATTTTCTTTCTTTGAATTTTACTTCAAAAGTACGCATTTTAATAAGTATTATTGAAGAAAAATGTACATCGTAGTTTTACGTAATTTTCAACTCTTGTATAAACATTTTATATTAAAACTGAAAATACGATTTCAATATTTTTCAACTATTTTTATTGCAAACGTGTGCATTAGTATGTAGAAGTGTGTAGAAAAGAAAATTTACAAGAAAAACTATTCCCTATGTTACATATTTAACATTTATTTTATGAATCCGCAGTTTTTACAAACAAATAACTCAAATTTTCAGTTTAAGTTTTCCAATGATGACCCAAGATTTATTTGCGACGCTTGTTGCAACAGAGCAAGGGATGCATTTGGATTCCAACAGATGTGCAATAAGGCACAATCTTTTTTTGATACATATACCCTCGATCAACAACAACTCCAGAAGAAGGGTCATTCGGACACTGAAGAGACGAACGTTGACATAAAAACCGGAATTGAATCAGAGACTGAAGCTCTCGACAATAAACTTGTTGTGCAATCATCCAAACGAGTACAGATATATCCTACGGAAATATGTAAAGTGTGCAATAAAAGTTTCCAATCCAAAAATATGAAAAAACACATGCGTAGACATTCCATCAGGGTATTCAAGTGTAACTATTGCGAAATTAATTTTAGGTAAGCTTGTCCCTAAGGATTTTACGTTCAATTCTAACGAAATGATTATTTTGCAGTTCACGAGCGAAAAGGAGATGTCATGTTAAAACAGTACACTATCAAATCGCACTCATCAAGAATAGACGCAAGTTCAAGTGTAGATTCTGCCGCAAAATCTTCTTTAGTAGGAAATTGAAGAGCCATCATGAACATCAAAAACATTATAGCGATAAGGAATATAAGTGCATGTATGTATGCATGCTGGGAAACAAACTATATTTTAATGACATATTATCTTTGTGCAGATACTGTGAAGCAATATTCTATTCAGAAAAGATGCATACTAGGCATCTTGCAATGGTGCACAATCGTTTGGCGTTTGTCTGCGAACTCTGCGATAAGAGTTTCAATTTTGATGCCGAACTAAAGGTACACTTGAAAGTTCACGTCAACCCTAGGTCACACGAGTGCCAAGAGTGTGGTGAAAGTTTTACTCGAGCATTGTACTTAAAAGAGCATATAGCAGCTTATGAAGCAACCGGAAATTGCCTTCGTGACTGAATATTAGCGAGAACAGCAGTGATAGATTAATCAAATGATAGTTTTAAGTGTAAAGTTTTTCGGGAGTGTTGAAAAATTCTTTGGAATGTGATATTCCTTTTCCGCATTTCAACTTTGCCACCATGTACCTTGGCAACTCGTGCTGTCATATTGAAAACTGCTAAATTAGCTCAACGCAATGCAAAAAGTCAAAAATTTATGTTTCGACTATAAAGTATAAGTAGTAACAGAGTTAAGAGCGCTATTTTTTAATTACAACATCCCTAGTAGATATTTCTATTTAGTTTATAAAATTAATATTTGAATATTTTCAGCGTGATTTTCAAATATAACTTTGTTTTGTGTAATGTTGGTTGCCGATAGTATGCATTTTACTTTTTCTGTAAATATAAGGTTAAGGTTAACGTTTTTCGTCGCCAAGCACGATAATCTGCTAAACTTTGGCTATAAACTTTAAAATGAAGGTAATTTAATATAAATTTTTACCTAATCTACAAATATAATTTATTTGTATAATTGATATACAGGATGAAGTGTCATGTCCACTTTGTACCAAGCATAATAAAGACACAAAGTTGCAACTGAAACAGATCAACTTTGATGCTGCAGTTTATCTATGCCCTCGGAAAAAGTGCAAATATCCGAAGGGTTATCCTTGGTTGGTCGTACAACGTACGTTTGAGGAGTTTACCAAGCAACTTCCTGAGAAAAAGCATGAGGTTAAAGTTAAAACTGAAAGAAAACACAAAGACACTTTATTACATACAGTACTGAAGAAGAAAGCACATGCATCTGATAATACTGAAGCTTTTAATAATATACTTAATGATCTTCAAAGTATAACCGTTGAAGTAGGTGCTAAGACAGAATTGTTGGATGTACAGCCAACTGTCACAGAAGAGACTGATAATAATGAATTATTGAACTTTACAAGTACTTCTTCAGAGGATACAAATGAAACTTGCCTTCAAAGACCAATGAATTGTCAAAATGATAGTCTACTAAATGGATCTTTATGTAGTGATAGCATTTTTTCCACCTCAGTGAATGATGTCCTAGAGGAATTCATGGAAAGTGATGGAATTGCAAATTCTCTTGATTTTGATATTGATGAATTACTTATTTGATGACATTTTACAAGGTATTTATATTGTAAACATTTTCTATTGCTTGTCCTTTAATACTGTGTACAAAGTTTAAATGATTGGTCAATATCAAAATAAAATTGAAATTATTTTGGTCTATAAATGATTTTATTAATACTAAATGCTGTTCAACAGTCAAATTGAATTACTGTGAAATTTGTTTTTCAAGTGATATATTTGTTCAAAAGATTTTCAATCAGTTGAATTTTTCGGAATTGAGGAAAACACTTTAGCAACTTCCTTTAAAACATCTATTTCGTTTTAATTACATATAATGGGACTTCGTTTGTGGTTATTTTTTTTATTGATGTCAAAGCGTTTAGTTAGATTAATGCATTGCGATGATACATATTCGTAGAAAGATTTACAAAATTGCATCACGATTTTTTTGCGGAGGGAGTGGTTGTGAAAATCATGTTGATTTCCTGTCTGAACGCGCAGGTGGGCACAAAAAGTAATTTACTTCCTATAAATTAATGACAACTAGTGCGCTGACAAAAGGAATCGCACGAATTGCGCGCACAAAGAGAAAGAAGTGAATTGTAACTTAATAATTTGCTTATAAAATAAAAGTTATTTCACTCCAAACAAATCCGCGTTTGCTTCTGTGATGAAAATGAAAGTTTTAGTTCTCTGCGAGAAGGTGTGAATGATCGCGAACAAAACGATGTGCTCAGTAGTGACCATTTGCAATATGCGGAACACTTGAATGCTTTTAAGCGAATATTAACGATTGTTTGACATTCGAATCGATTGCCACCTTGCTGAATCTCTTGTATCTCATGGCGATCGCGGTTCCTTTCAGCTCCTTTCTATTTGACTGCGCTGCATGTCCGCGTGCGGTTCTTTTTTTCGTGTCGTCGCCGTCAGGAACTTTCCCTGATGCCGTGCTTAGTTCGGATGCGGTCGGCGCGTTTTGTCATTGTTAATAACAAATTTCGTGCGAGGAGTGCGTGTGGGCCCGCTTGAATACACATGCGTCATATTTATTCGTCGGTGTGTATACTGACATGATTCGCTTTTTTATTCTTCAGATATTTCAGCTTTGCTACATAAAAATTATTGGAGTACTGCTCAGAAATCTAACTTTTGCGACACAGGTTGACTTTGATGAGTTCCGCGATAATCTACCTATAATTATACGACATTCCCACCAATAATAATACCTAACACTAGTAATTATCGCAAATTGTTAATTATAAACGCAATTAGAATCGTTTTACAAAAACAAACATAAGTCGTTGGTTCTGTTTGATGGTTTGCGTTTATTGTAAGCTTATAATTGCATACAATTGCATGTTTTCCTACTTTGTTTACCCTTTTGATTGATTTGATCAATAGTTTAGGTACTTTCATGTTCAACAGTTGAGACTATCGTTGAAACGCACGATAAACGCATAAAAATGTGCAAATTGTATGCATCGTAGATTGCCACAACGTGTTTACCCACCCGCCAGGCCAATTTCTCATTGTGTTTTGTATATAAAAGCTTGAGTGCATAGTATTTCCATCGTCAGTCGTTGGACAGACATCAAGTCGTGCGCTTAGTAAAGAAACTTACCAAAAATGTTTGATTCAAAGGTAGTTTTCATCATAAACAATAATTGTGATTGTATAATATTAAAAATTTTAAGTTATCTAACGAATTGTGGTATCATTACAGAAGTTTTGCTTATGCAGTGCCTTTTTCTTCTTGGAGATTATTACTGGGACTTTATCATATCCAACTTTTGGTACGAATTTAAAATTTAAAGATTTAGATATTTTTATTATATTTAATTATTTGTTTAAAGCTCATCCAGATGCTCATTTGGGAGGCAGTGGTCTTGGTGAATATGGCGGCTATCATGGCGGCTTCCAAGAAGCACATCCTTTGGTGAGCAGTGATCATCATGGAGGTGTTAGCATCATTGGTGCTGGCGGCTCAGCGCAAAAAGGCATCACGCTGGATCTAACAAAAGAGCACGGTGAGTGACACTCGATAAAAACAAAATGGCCGCCTCTTAAAATTACTCTTATTATAATTAGGTGGCGGCCATACTGGTCTCTTTGGCGGCAGCTTTATATCAACCGGATCACATGGTAAAAGCGGTGGGTATTACCAAGGCGGTGATGTGGAGCACGTGCAAGCGGATCACTCGGGCCTTGGTTCCTATTCGTCTGCTCTATCCAGCTACGATGTAGGTGGCGGTAGCAGCGGAGGCGCCACACATGCTCTCACATCGTCCGGACATGATGCCGGCGAGATCAGCCCCGTACTTTTCTCAAGCTACAAAGAGGACGAGCACAGCTTCGGCTTGCACTCTGCCGCGCTTCACTCAGGCGGCGGTTTTGATGGCGGGCACTTTGGTAGTGGTCTGCAGCACTTTGAACATTCAGGCGGCTTCAGTCATTAAGACGATGAATGCGCCTGGGAGGAAGTATTTTTTATACCAAATATTATTTTAGAATAATGTTTTTCAATAAAATGTGCAGAAAGTGATGACATTTTCAAAATGGCGTCACAATCAAACAAGATTAGCCTATTTTACATTTCAACGTCTAGTTTGTTGGTTAACATCTGTAGATATTCAAAATTCAAGTGCATTCTCGCAAGATGTGATGACTAGTATCTTCCTGGAGGTTCTGCGCCATCGGAAAACAATCCGCATCGTCATCTCTAATACGAAAGTACGTACAAAACAAATCTTTATTAAATTATTATCGTTAAAAGTGGTTTAAAACGCGCAACAAGAAAACATCTTTAAATAATGATATAAAAATAAGAAAAACGTAATGGTAACCTGATATACTTTCTCTCTTTAGTATAATATGTAAAAAATCACCCATCAAGCAGGTTCAGTCTTTGCTGTGTCTCCAACGGTTGAACTGGGTGAATTAGGCACACTCGGAAATTTCAATTCATCTTCTTCGTTTTCCACCCGGGTTGATTTTGGTTTTGGCGAAATATTTGGTGTATCATTACTGCCTTCCTCCATTAGTGCTGCCAGCTCAGCTTCCAAATCTTCCTCGGAGCCTGCATCCAAGCTTTGTCCCAATGCAGATTGAATATCGTTGTTGGTATCGACCAACTCGCCCAACTGCGCCATTGTCTCATCAACGTTGTCGATATTGAGCTTTTCCAAATTCGCTTTTAAATTGGCAATCGCCATGCGGTAAGTTTTATAAACGGCGTGGTTATGTGCGGTGTCTTCGAGATTATGCAGCAAGGAGGAGACATTGTGCGCGTTTTTCTCAAGAGACTCGATTGACTTTTCTTGCAATTTTTTCTTCCTTAATACTGTTCTTGCCTGAAAATAATAAAAAAAATGGTTTAAATAATTCTTTTTGTACAAAATATCCCTCACCATATGTTTATTTCCCTGTGTAAGATGTTCCTTAGCCTCTTTATGCAGTTCCTTAATTCTATTCTCCAGGTATGCCACTTTATTTTGTAATATTTTCTCTTCCTTGGTTAAAATATAGATTTGTTCATCAATATCCTGCAGTGCTTTTGGTACAGTGTTGAACCTCAGCAACATTAGTGGTTTCCCATCATGGCAGCACTCTCTTATTGCTACTTTTTCTTCCAGGGACAGTTGATGTAATAAAATCTTAATACTTTCCAATTGAGGAAAATCCATCGCTTTAGCAAAATCTTTCAGCTCCAACAGTGTGTTGAGAAGATTATCTGGGATGGCATCAAGTAACTTTGTAGCCTCCTGTTTTACAACTGTGTGATGAACATATTCAATGTTTGCAGTGTTTGTAGTGACAATTGAACTCTTCATTTTGTTGAAAGTCCATGACAGTGGCTTCTTTACCAATGTACTAGTGGCCCATCCACTCCAAGTAGTTTCTGGTTTTTGCAAAAAGTCAACTAGTGGTACTAAATCACCAGTTTTAATCAGATCTTCAAAGACGTCTTTGAGGCAAGCTGGTGTGCGACGATCGTGGAGGAAAGCTCGTTCTAAACGAGACAAGTTGAAAGTGTAGAGTTTGTTATGTGAGCAGTGTACTTCAATTGATTCTTTCCAAAACTTGCGTTTGTTTTCCCAATCGAATGAATTGACGTATTTGTTACGTACAGGGCCAAACAGGACATCGAGGCGATCATTTTGTTGCCACTCTGCAGGTAGTTTATCGAGTGGCAACGATGACACTTCGTCGGAGGGCATTTTTCGTTTCAAAACAACGCACAATCAAATTATTTAGACGTAAATAACTTCAACGATGTTATAAGTAACCTTAAATTTAAAACGCTGGCTGCAACCTTCAATCTTAAAGCGGTAAAGTACAAAAGTGAGTGGTGATAAAAATTTGCGTATAATCCATTATTAACAATGCATTCATTGTTTGAAAGGCAAATTATAAATTATGCTGATTCAGTAGAATTGCAGAAAGAAGTTTACATGTGTAAATTCATTTTGATGTAAACGATTGAGCTGGCGTTAATATACTGTTTTGTTATATAAATTAAAATTGCGTAACAAGAATTTATTTAATTGTTGTGTATAAACTATATGACAGATGGCGCATGTGCGCCACACACATTTTTGTAATAAATTAATTGTTTTGGATTGGTCCGTAAAATCTTCCGATTCATTAGAACTGGCCGCGTATTGGCTGTCAGAACCATTGCGGAAAAATGGGAAATATAATGGGTGTCCGAAAGATTCCTTTCCGTAGAAGTATTGAAAATTACCGCAGTAATTTTCCACGAGAGTGTACTCAAATTCTAAACTACGCTATTTGTGCTTCTCAACGATTTCTTACAATTAAACCTGGTCATAAAAACCCAATAACAAACTGGAACCGCTCGAAATAAAAAAAAAACTACCGCAAGCATGGCGATGGCGCCTATCTGCATGTATGGGATATGTGACGGTGACTTGTAAACATTCGTACATTCGTGCACGCACACGCAGTGCGCGCCGAGTTAATGACGCAGGTCGCGTGTCCGTGGTGGATCCGAATCATCCGAGCCGCGCCGTGCTTCAATCGCGCTCCGATCGTGTGCGTGCTATCTCCGTGCATATAAATAGTCGATCGCCGAGTGTCTGCCACCGCCGCCTCCGAAATGGCTAAAGGTATGTAAACTATATGTAAACTACGCGAACTTGCAGTGAGTGGTGGGCGCAATCGTCGCCGCCGTCGTCGCGGTTTAAGGTTAGATATTTGCATAATGTGGATGGATCATGATCACGGCCGCGACTATCACGCATCATCACGTTGTCTTAGCATTGTGGTCATTTGCGGCTGACAACACCGGACACACAACTCGTCGGTGATCGTAGCACCCAGTGTGCACGTTCGCCGTCGGGTGTATTGCCTTATGTAATTACTCGAATAGTAATCGGCGATTGTTGTTATGCGCACAAGTGTAGTATAACGGTCTGAATGAAACATCCCTTCCAAAAACATCCGATCAAATAGAAAACACGTCGCTCTGCCTCTCTTTCTATACGAAATTTAAATTACGCAACGCAACGAGAAATCGCTAAACTACCGAAAAAAAAAATAGTCCACTATTGTAAGTCTGTTTAGTTAAGCAGCTTCGTGCGCAAGTCGCGGATCGCGGTCGTAACTCGTAATTGCGCATTGTTATAAGTTGTTTCACTCATCATTACCTTACCGAAATAGGTGAATAAGTTCAAGGCTCTTCTCGACGCCGGCGTGAACTTTGTCCTGCGCTCAGATTTGAATAATATACATATATTCATCGCGCGATGCTCCCGTTCATTTAAATTGAATACTGCGCTTAGTGTGCGTGCATCCGGATTCGCGTGCGGTTTGACTTTCCTGACAAAGTTGTGAACTTGTTTCGCAGTATCCCAGCTGGACGATGGCGCCGCATCAGTGTAAGGGTTGCCTGAGGACACGCATTGCAAGAATGGCGCAGATCAACAAGGATACGCCAATGGAGGTCGCCACCAACGGTTGTGATGTCGCGCTTGCCGAAAATCCGGTGATGCCGTGGTTCGGCATGGATATCGGCGGCAGTCTCTGCAAGTTGGTGTATTTTGAACCGAAAGACATCACTAAGGACGAAATCGAGTCGGAGATTGAAGCGCTGAAGAATATTCGGAAATATCTCACGAAGAATTCGGCGTATGGCAAGACTGGTCATCGGGACACACATTTACAAGTATGTTATGTTTGTTTTATACACTTTAAACAAAAAACTGCGCTGGCCAGACATATACACAAATGATTAAGCAATTTACAGACAAACAAATTTTGTTTTTTATAAACAAACTGTTATAAAACACTTTTTTTTCTTAAATGAGTAGTAAACTTTGATAAATGCGATAAAAAGTCATAAAACTATGATGAAAATAATTTCATAACTTAAACAATAATGAAAAAATGTTATCACGTTGAGATTAACAAGATTTCATGAATATTGTGTGCATGAGGTATGCGTATAGCATATGTTATGATAAATTACTAGCGAATGTTTGCTTTAGATGGAAAATGCATCGATTCGTGGACGGCGAGGAACACTTCACTTTATCCGTTTCCCAACAAGCGAAATGGGTAATTTCCTGGCGCTTGCACGCAGTAAAGGAATGGCGAACCTGGTAACCACTGTTTGTGCCACCGGTGGAGGTGCCTACAAATTCGAGGAAAACTTCCGCAAAGTATGATTAAATTGTTTTTCTAACTACGGTGAAATTTTAAGTGTGAATTTTTGATTATTTTCAGGAAGTAAACATGAAGCTTGCAAAGTTTGACGAAATTGACTCGTTGATCAAAGGCATGCATTATATCGAAGCGCAGAATAAGAACGAATGCTACTATTGGTCCAACCCGACTGATGAGGCAAATTGCGTCAAGGTCAACTATGATTTTTCAAATCCGTATCCGTTTCTCTGCGTGAATATTGGCAGCGGTGTGAGTGTGCTCTCCGTGCGAGGTCCCAACGACTACAAGCGTATTTCCGGCACGAGGTAAAACACACTTTCTGACATCACGCGATGTGGCAATAAAGATTTGACATTTCAGTATAGGAGGCGGTACGTTTTTGGGTCTTTGCTGTCTGCTGACTGGATGTAATTCTTTCGAGGAGGCTATTGAGCTGGCTACCGGTGGTGATCACACCCGAGTGGATAAACTTGTCCGCGATATCTACGGTGGCGATTACGAACGCTTTGGTTTGCCCGGCGATTTGGTCGCGAGCAGGTAATTAATGTCATCTAACATTCAACTATCATCTAACACACCAACCCAGCATATTTTTTTCTCTCATTGCACTCTTCATCTTCATTCATTTACTTGATCTTTAATCGCATCTTTTCATTATGATTTTTAATTTGAATTTTGTTTGGCATCCGAATGCAATTGGCTTTTTCTTTTCTCTTTCTGCTTTCCGTTTCGGTGCACACTTTTGGTCACCGCTTCCCAACCCCCCTCGATTATGTGAATGTGTTATGTTATTGTGGGCACCACACTGAAGTTTCTCGGCTCTCTGCAGCTTTGGTCAGATGAATTCGCGTGATCGCCGCAGTAAGGTGAGCCGCGAGGACCTCGCGAAGGCGACGCTCGTCACCATCACCAACAACATCGGTAGCATTGCGCGCATGTGCGCCCAACAGGAGCATATTGATCGGGTGAGTTTTGATAGTTTAAAATTGAGGTTATACACGTGTTATTTAATTTTACATTAGTTTTACTCATTTTACGCACTTTCCTAGAACGAACTAGAACATATTTTATCAACACCTGAATTTATTCGCGTCGTAACTCTGAATAATGTTACAAGGTCGCGAGTATTTTTAGATAATATTTAAGGTCCGAGGTTAACGATACGAACTATTTTCCACTCGAGTCTATAGAGTGAGCCGATTTTATTTTATTTTTTCAAACATTTGGCACGAGTGGTTCTTAATTAGGAGCACGTGCACTTTGGCTGCCACTGGCGCCGATCAAAAAGCAATTTGAGCCGCAAATCGGCAATATTCCCATAAACATCAGGATATTTACTTTATCGATGAACTTGTTTTCATATTTTACAAACGCCGTCCTTGATAACACACTTTAGTAATCAAAAATAAACATAGTAATGAACAACGCAATCAAGTTGAAAATTGATCAAGTTCACGGGTGTGTAGCAGTTGAATGTTTAATAAAATATTGAAGAACAAGGTCGAGCAAAGTTATTGAACGAATGTTTTCCTTTTCTAGGTATTATTCATCGGTAATTTCCTGCGCGTGAATCCAATTGCGATGAAGCTGCTGGCGTACGCAATGGACTACTGGTCGGGCGGCACAATGAAAGCGCTCTTTCTGGAACATGAGGGTTATTTTGGCGCAGTTGGATGTCTGCTGAAGTTCAACGAGTCGACCGCATTGTCGCCGATTAGCTGATTCACTACTGATCACAAACACACAACGCTAACATTCCCTCTACGACCTCTATAAAACATTACATTTTTATATCCGCACGAGGAACATGGTGCAAACTATAGCGGGGTTTTTATAAGCCGATACAGTGCGAAGTGAAGTGTAGAATGAAGTGCAATGGCGATTGTTACGGGAAGTTTTAAGACACATTTCTTGGCTGCCGTCGGCGGTGTTGTTCTCAGGCTGTATTTTTTGCCCTGGGCAACGTTGCGATTAATCTAGCATAGAAGTTGTTTTTTTATACAATCTTAAATGATTAAGGTATAAACTATGGTACGCGCCGTTTTTGGGAAGTAGTGGGATAATAGTCATTTTATTTTTTAGTTATTTTCTATGCTGATAACACAAAATAATGAAAGACAAAGCACATGAAAACTATCACACAAACAATGCTAGCATACACACACTTGGCTTACCTCCAGTGAAATAAGTAAATTTATTGTGAATAATGTAGGAATTAGAACAACGAAGCGTTATAACGGTGAATGAAGTTATAAAAACAAGTATTATTATGCGCGTGCTGCCGTGGAACGTGTAAAATTTCCGAAAATTTGCATTTAGCCAACGTTCGCTTGAAATAGAAAGCGAAAGATTTACTTTTAGCTGCGCTGATTGCGAGCAGAATTGAGATTGTTACACGCTCAATGGTTCTTTTTTTTTTATATTAAGCCCAAGGATATATAATATATACATTTATAAAGAAAGTGTTTGGTTGAAAGGTAAACATTATATTTTATCAAATGCACCACATTGAAAAGCATTAGCTATTATTAATAAATAAAATATCTTATCACGGGACGTATTCAACCCACACATTTGCACATATAGAGATGATTAAGGTTTGCGATAGAAAAATATCTTCATTCAAATGACTGAAGCGCCTCAAGCTCAAGACCTCAGCCTTATTCGTATTCTATGAAATTGTTTTCATTAATGTGCGTGTTCACGTTGTATAAATTAGTCTAGCGAAAATCACTACCTACGAATAGTCAGAGTTATAATTAATCTATTAAGCTATGTACAACGTCTCTTTGGCTTTAGTTTTATTTTCACTGGGTTGCTTGACTTTTATCCGCTGGAATGTTGCGTATTCGCGTGGAATGTAAATTTGCGTTATTCGGAGTTTCGGGCGCAGCAACTACTGCGCGTGTCCAGGTTAACTTTTCGCAGGTCGACCGTGTCGTTGAGCTCGGCATTCTCTGCTTGTCGGTCGGCACATCGCTCTGCTTTCATCCAGTGTTCCACGGCCATGTGGAATGCCTCCTGGACATTGGACGCATTTTTCGCCGAGGTCTCAATACAGCTGGCGACATGATTCTCGGCACACCATGTTTCTAACTGCATTTTAGTTACTTCGCGTTCTTTAGCTTCTACGTCACTCTGGAATTTGAATACAAAACTCATACATTTTACGGTATTGATATTTTTATGAACTGGTTTGGTGTAATGTTGGTTGCATATCATTGAAATGATTAATTTAAATTAGAATTACCTTGTTCCCAACAACAATAAATGGAAACTGAGCACTCTCCTTGATATCAGCATAATGTAAAAACTCAGTCATCCACATGCTGAGATTCTTAAAGGTATGCTGATCATCAATGGCATAAGTTAAAAGGCAAATATCACTGCCTCTGTAGAAGGGTGTTCGAAGAGTTTTAAATCTTTCTTGACCAGCTGTATCCCAAATCTAAACACACCCAACCTTTCTTAGTATGTTTATGCTAAAGTTTAAACAAATTCTCACCTGAAGAGTGTAAATGTTGTTGTTAATCTCAATATCTTTATTCAGGAATTCAACACCAATGGTGTGAAATGAATTCTCGTCGAATTGATTGGAAACGAAGCGATTCATGAGACAACTTTTGCCCACACCACCATCACCAAGGATCACCACCTTCAGCAGGGGATTCTTACTAACGGGACGCATATTAACACGGCCGGACATTTCACACACACGCACGTTGTCCACGTTTCAGTCTGAGTATCATACCAGTCGATGCCGACACCGTAACGATCACATATTTGGAGTGGTTCCCCTTTTGAGGATGTCTACAACCTACGAGTCAAGGAAGTCGAAAATGTAAACTACAAATTGATTGTTCTTTTTGGCGATGAAATTGTAAGGGAATGCGTGATTCATGCTTACCTGCCGAACCTGCGCACAAACCGGTTCTTTCTTTTTGTTATTTAACATAAATAACAATTAATTAAACGCTAACGCGCGCTCACACCTTCGCGCAACGAATCCACTACCTTCACTAAATAAATTGGTGCGCGGCGGAGGGATCACACAAGCGGCGAACAAACAGGGACTGACGGAGACAGCGAGAATCAACAACATGAATGCGAATGAATGAATGGATCGACGAGTCGATTCGATGCCAGCAAGATGCGTAGAAGTGAGCTGTGTGCACAGCTGTGAGCAGGGTAAGGTTGATTCGGCGCATTTTCTGCTATAAAAATTAAACAATTCATGTATACGTTGCACAAAATACAAAAGCGTGGAAAACTACAGACAGCATAATTTATTACATGATTTATTCAATTATTCACTCTAATCTTGCATGAAAGTGACGAAATTTTGAGATTCCTTTCGTTTTTGACTGTTTTTATTTTACTGTTAACTACTGTTAACTAATGTTTAACTATTTAACTGATTAGTAAAGTAAATAAGATGCGTATTCTACTAAAACACTACTAATACCTAAAACAAAATGAATCATTTTCATCAACTTCGCTAAAATGTGTAGATATGAAATATTTAAACTCTAATATTTATTTATTGTAGCACTAAAAGTTAGTTCTTTACGCACGGTTAGTGCGCGTGTGCGATAGTCGTAAACAAAATGTAACCTGTACAGTAAGTAGTAATCAATCAGTTTTTGACAGTTTCTAGATGAGTAACGTAAGTAATGTCCAAGTATTATTCAAATCTCACGCTATAAAATCTAGTTCACTATTTATCGTTGGCTTTGGAATAGTTAGCGTTTGCAGTTGTTTATTTGTGAAGTAATTTCATTGGCTGCTCACTGTAATTCTAAACTATCTACGCGACAAGCGTTAATTAATCAAAAATAGTTGCTTGAAAGACTTTAATTTGTTTGTGTGCACTAATGGAAGAAATGAAAGAGAAGAAGGCAAACGATAAGGAGGGCAGCCATTCGAACATCGGGGCAGGCGATAATAAAAACTGCGAGCCGAGAAGTAAGCAATGTAAATTAATCTTGTCCGATCATATTTAGACGTATGACTGATGTGTGTTGCTTTTGCTTTCTTGTGGTGGCGATGTATATTTAGTAACTCAAGAATGGGTTCAGGTGTTGATAAATCTGCGGATGAAGCATGCGAAATTATTCACACGGAAACGGCATTCAGCGATGAATGCATGGACGTGAGTGATGTATATGATCTTGAGTAAAAGTTGTTTAAAAATTTGCTAAATTTAGGAGCATTTACGATGAAATGATAGACTTAGGAGCGCCAAAACACATAACCGTTGACAAAATCAAGAAGAAATGGATGAATTTGGTAGCTCGCTACAAGGTAAAACGCAATGAGCTCTTACAAAGGGCCACAAATATTAAAAACACCAAATCGCAGCATTTTAAATTCGTCCTAAACGCCAGCGGTACAATATCATGGCCGTACTTCGACCAAATCGATCGCGCGTACGCCAGGAATCCAAACATTATCGAATTGCGGAAGAACTTTCGAAGCGGCAATTGCAGTCTTAAACTTGTCGAGAGCGACAGCGATAATGAGTCTGTCACCGCGTATGCTGATTCTATGAGTAAGCACGGTGTCTTCACGTTATAATCCTAGATGTTCATTTTCTTTTATTTACAGTGAAGCGTCAGCAATTCACGAGCATCCTGATTCAACTGCGGTGCGCCTACAAACACTTGTTTACTGGGAAGAAATATGCTGCACAACGTGGATGGATGTAAGTGTTTTTTCATTTAAATTTCAATTCAATTTAAAATTTGTGAATGTTACTATAGGGTAGTCAAAAATATGCATCCAGATGGTGAGAATTACACTGTTGATCAATTCAGCAAGTGTTGGCAGAACCTAACACAACGCTACAGGACACTAATAGACACGGAAAAAGACCACAGTAAAATCTCCTGGATGCATTTCCCCACCATGCACAAAGTAATGGAGCGTTTAGAAGCGTATACCTCTGAAAAGTCCTCCGTTAATCCACCCAGTCCTGTTTCACTACCATCTGAAGAAAATCATGAAGATGAACTCTCCGAAGGTAAAACAAATGATTTTTTCGATGAGGAAGAAGACAACGCATTTGTCTTTGATCAATTAATACTCGAGGAACCCAAGAATAAACGTCGGCGTACGTGTTGCGAGAATGGCGACAAAGAAAACGAAACTCCCATTGACGATCTTCTGAAGTATTTGATTCAGCGCGATATTCGACTGGATGAACAGCATGACCAACTGATGAAGGTTCTCAATAACATCCACAACAAGTTGGGCGAGTAATAATGTTAATTTCCTGTGTAGATATTAATCTTTAAACTAACGCTAGTTACAACATAATTGGCTAAAGAAAAGTTTTGATTTCGAGCGCTATTACTACATTTGTAGCGCGCTGAAGCATTCATTGAGCGCCGTGACGTCGGCTTGCTTATTCGCGTAAATGCTTTGTACTTTGGTCATCGCGTGTTTTGCTATCGCGGCGTAGGTGCTCTTCTTCTCCGCTGATGATTTCGTGAGCGCTCCTAAATTAATTGCACACTGAAACCAAGGAAAATTGTTCATCACTTCATTTTTTACATTTTTTGAATGATTTCTCACCAAATATAGTCCATAACAAGCTCGTAAATTCTTTGGACAAAGTTTCACCGCAAGATAATAGTACTTCATCGCCGACTCGAAGTTTTCCGCACCACCTTGCGTGTACTTAATCTCGGCGTAACGCTGATAAAGCAGATGATTGTGTGGGTTGTGTAGAATCAATTCTTCAAGGCAAAATGCGGCTTTCTGCCAGTCACACTCGCTAATATACAATTCTGATAACTCTTGCCATCCTTCAGCATCTGCTGCAAATCTTAAGAATACACAATAGTTTAGTAATGATGTATTAGTGTTGAATACTAACACTACTTACATTTTTAAATAGTCAGTTAATTCTTTAATTGCTGCCGGAATTCTGCCTTGAGCTTTATAGATGGCGACCTTCCGCTTTCTGCAAGCACTATTGGCCTTGTCCACCTTGATGATGGAGTCCAGAAGATCCATGGCTTCTTCATACTTTTCGACGGCTTCCAGCTGCATCGCGCCTAATTTTTTCACTCGTAAACTGCCCGGGAATTCATGCGAGAGTGCTTTATAACACTCATTCGCAATATCCATTCGTTGTGTGTCTAATGCAGCAATGTATGCTTGTTCTATTACAGCAAATTCTAATAAAAAGAGTAAATTAAATCAATAAAATTTAAAAAATGCAATAATCTCTGAATGTAAATGGTTTTTAACATGATTTTAATATAAAATTATGTGAAATTAATTACTTAAACAGTTTTAGTAGGAATTATTGATGCAGTTGGCCAAATTAACAAATAATTTGATTGTTTATAACTTACTTTCACTGCCTAGACTGTGAACATTATCCTTCATTACATCCTGCCATAGCACCACCACTTTGGTACTGTTGCGGGTATTATTCTCACGATAAGTTCGTAGTAAATCGCGTGCCTCTAAAAAGGATGTAATTAATATTATTAGTCAATAGTATTTTTGATTGTAAATACGCGAGGCTTACCAGTTGACGACATTTTTCTCCTCGACATTTTTAGGCGTTTATAAGAACTGTAAAAAGTGACTAGAATAAAAACTATGTGTTACGAATCGATTCAGACGAATTAAAACGAGGGGAATTTAATTATTTAAATTGTTCTATTATTGATATCATTAAATTAACCAAGCAGCTAGATACACATCAATGTGACAGTCATCTACGTGCAAGGTTTTGTGGTTGCCTATCTAAGCAATATAGTAACATTTGGTAACTAAAATTCCTGTTCATGTAATTTTAAAATTAATATATTTCTTCTTGTTATATACTATAACTTATTACGTGCTAAAAAGTTTGATTAAGGTATTGGGTTAAGTCATTTATTGTTTAAAATCATTTAAAATCTCCATAAATATATCGCTCTTTTAATTTGACGTTAAGTTTTTTGCATGGTGGTCATACTGATATGAATTGCGTTTTACTGCGCATGCGTAGATAGCAGCGGAGATGCCTGGTAGTAGAATTTCCAACACGCACATTCACGAATTAATTCACGATACAAATGTCGGCCATGAAGGACGAGGAACAAAGCGCAACGCAAAAACGATTTCTTCTAGAACGGTGTACGTAGTACGGAAAGTGAGGCTGTGATCGTTTTTAGCAAGTTAAACATAACGTGTAACTCGTTCCTAAACTAAGCGGGCAGAAAAGGAAATAATGGAGTCAGCGCAGCAGACCGTCGCGGAGCTCAAGACTGTCGAGCACTCAATTCCGCTCGACATCTTAAGCGATCTTTTATCGTAAGTAAACTGATTTAATGTTGTTCGGACACAATTGAGCTTTATGATGGAAAAAATTGTTATTGTTTTTGTTTTGCTTGTTCTAACCTTACCAATCAATATACTGTGTGTTATTTTTATTGTTTGGGATGTCATGTTGTTGGGTAACGGTGTAACTTGTTGGTTTTGTTGCAGACGTTTTATAATTAACGTGCCCGCAGCGGCAACAGAAAACCACATCAGGCTCTGCTTTCAAATCGAACTTGCCTATTGGTATTATTTGGATTTTTATGTCAGTAATGATGCAAAATTGAAAGGTTGTACATTTAAGGAGTTTGCATCTCATGTATTTAAAGTAAGTATTCTTTTTGAAATATGATATTAATTTTGCTTATCTTCAAATTTTGGTTTGCATTTGCTTTGTTGGTGTTTATTGTTTTATCTCTTGTTTTCAAATGTGTTTTGTTGTTTGGCTTGCAGCACCTGCCAGATTTGGAAGTACACTACAGTAGATTGCAAGAAATATTGGACGAATGGCGCGACTACAAGCAAACAGTGCCAACATATGGGGCAATTCTTCTTTGCGAAGGCAACACGCACGTCCTGCTCGTCCAAAGCTACTGGGCCAAGTCCTCCTGGGGCTTTCCCAAAGGCAAAGTAAATGAGGATGAAGATCCAGCGCATTGCGCGATTCGTGAGGTATATGAAGAGACGGGTTTTGATATTGCCAGTTATGTTGATCCAGAGAGCTACCTCGAGTCGGTAATCAACGAACAATTAGTGCGTCTGTACGTCATTCAGGGTATTTCGCGCGATACGAAGTTCCAGCCACGCACGCGTTTTGAGATCAAGGCGTGTGAATGGTTTGCCATCGCCGACTTACCCAACAACAAGAAAGATCTCACGCCCAAGCTGAAAATTGGTGTGAGCGCGAACGCGTTTTTTATGGTTTTACCATTTGTAAAACGTATTAAGGCAATATCGGCGGGGTCTTCCAACCTCAAAGGTAAGCGCCAACGCCATAAGTCGTCCAGTCTCAGCGAGGGCGAAGCTGTCAGTTTTAACAAATCGCACAATCCACAACTGACACAGTCGCAGCCAGCTGCCAACGGTGGTGGTAACAACAAACCGCCAAGCGCGAAGAAGCGCGAGAAAAAGCAGTCGAAGCGGCAACTCTTCAATCATCCGCAGGAAGAGTTCAGCGCGCCATCTTGGCTGAACTTTAAATTCAACAAGGCCGAGATTATGGAGTGCATTCAATAGGCGCCCATACCTCCATTTTCATGGCGTCGAACCAAAATTAAACCAAAAGTACGTAAATGGTGCTCAAAAAACGAATAATATATTACAGCAAGGCAACGTGACGAATCTTAAATGATGGTATAAATAACAGTCCGAATCAACGGCGTTCAAATGCAGGGTTATTTTGAGTATTTATAAAAAAACAAATAATCCATTTGCGCCGGCGGACTAGCAGGAATGATGCAGTTGAGTGCAATCGATCGAAACCACGTTTTTTGAGTTACATTATCTTTCTATACCTAGTGTTTCTCACTAATGACGTTCAAACAAATAATTTCTGCCAGTACTTCACTTAATCATTTACTTTTCATTAGTTTCGTTTGTTTGAAACACTCGGTATACATCTAAAGCACCGCTAATTCTTCTCAATTCTTAAAAATATTTTATCTAGCAAACAAAATTGTGATAATGCGCTTTTATTTCTAAATTGTGTTTATTCGAATTCGAATATTGATCTGGTACTTAACGATTTACGTTTCGACCGTATTATTTTCTTACTTTTTACAAAAGTGCGAAACATTTTATGAAATTGACTAAATCGTAGAATGACCTATTACTTTTTTTCTTTTTCATCAATTGTATTGACAAATTTAGCTTTGTTGATGAAACGCATGCTATTTTTTTTGTTTCACTCCAAAATGATGTGTGGCGATATTTATTCGGTGTGTAATTTTTAAATAAGTGACAATTGAATGTTTATGACGCCACGAGCACCAGAATTGTGTGCCACGATTTGTTTCCAGAAAGCGGCCTAACGTATTTTCTCTTTATTTTCGAAAGCATGCATTCACAATGGCCGCTCTGTCATGAATTTTTGTGTTTAGTTCCAAAACGAGAAGAAAACATTATCAAGACAAGAACCAATAAAAAAATCAGGTGCAAACTATTTGTGTTTTTTTTAATTAGAGTCACGAATTACAATATATATGCATACAATAGTTGTTATATGCATCTTCTAAATTAATTTCTCAAGATGGACAAAACTTGGAAAGGCGGAAGAATACCAGCGGCTCTGGTTCTAAAGTCGTCAACTTCACAACAATAACCAAAACCTGACTTTGCATTCTGATTCCATGTAAACCAGCTAATTTGATGGCAGATGTCTGTGCAGAATGGTGCGTATGTGGCAAGTGGATTATTAACGGCAACAAATGCGACACCAGACTTGCTTGGAATGTGATAAACGACTTTCCAGAAGTACTCGGGTACTGGAATTGCTGAACTTGCGCTGAACGAATCTTCGTATAGATAGATGGGCTCATCTATTCCTGTATTTCCATTCGGCAATTTTAGCGTACCTAAAGTTCCGGTGTAAATCTGCAAATCTTTCGTGATTGCTAAATCTTTTACACTATTCTCTAAGCGCTTCCAATTGCCATTGTTTAGTGTCTGCCATTGGGGAGCAGCGTTGATAAAATTAAATGTCAATCGTTGTTGGGAACCAAATACGAAATCGGTTTTAGCTGCCAGATGACCACGTGCTAGGTAATACTCACCGCTGGCATGGATGTACTTGTAGTCATTTGGATTAAGTCCCAATTTTTTGTTGATTGTTGCCCTCTGAGTCTCTCTTTTGTATAAGTCTTCCACTTTGGCATCAAGCCGGTAAAAGCCACCTTCGGCAAAGGGGACACGTGGGTAGTTGCTTTGAGAGCCTCTAATAGACGCGGTTATTTCAGAAATCGCATAATGTGCTGCTCGAGCAATCGGATCGAAGCACACCTTGATTTGAGTGAAGAAACGAGTACTATCTAAGTTGAATCCCATTACTACTTCTTTGCCAGTATTGCCACTATGGCCACCGCAGAGGTGGCCGGTGTAACCAAGGACTTGAACAGGTTGTTTACTGCAAACGATATCCTCGAATTTGACGGTTTTCCCTTGGATGGAGAAATCTTTGCCTTGAACGCATGTTGCCGTGGAAATGGTTTGAGAAGTAGACACACCCTGGAGGCTGATTTTACTACCCGGGCAAGATATAGTGAGTTGTTCGTTTGGTCTGAAGACAATGGTACCGAGATTATCTATGGGCTGAATAAAAGCATTATTTCCGGTGAGGGTATTATCCGGCTTCAGGTAAAGTGGTTGAGGATCCTTTAAATCGTCGTTAACAAAGATTCTACAATCTAAATAAAGACAATTTATCAGTCATCTAATAGGTTTTGAAAGCATAGAAGACTTAGTGCCCGCATAATTTTTTTTTCTACTCACCAGCATCAACCTTTTTAAAACTTGTAACCGCACAAATAATCAAATAAATTAATTGGTACCCAGTCATTGTAATATTTAGCGCAAACGCAAGAATAAAATCTTATGAATATAAATTTACTTTTCAAACAATTATATACATATTGCTCCCACCTAAATTTGCATATTTTTCAGAGTTCTGATAAGCATTTGCTTATAGAAATATCTTAACTTTTGATTAAACTAGAATTTTCACCACACTGTGGCATCATCAAGTAGATGAATAATATTTCATAATATTCCATTATCACAGAATTCTTTTATTGAATATTATTCATCTGCCTGATAATGCCACAGTGTGGTGAACAATGTTGCAGTGTGTAATAAGTGTAATAAGTGCGTAATAAGGGAATTCCCCTTTATCGCCTTCTTGGCGGATATCAATTTTAGTTCTTTTTATTGACCACATCAATCATAATATAATTAATTGAACGGGAATTTGAACAGGAAGTTTATCAACAACACTTAATTCAATACTTAATTTTAGTTTGTATCAGAAAACTGAATTTATCAACATCGGAGCAGTAGGCGTAAGCTGACATTGTTTGCTGACCTTACGAGTAGTACTTAAACTATTAAAAAACTACTGAAACCATTTTTAATTTTGCTTGGATTGAAATTTTGAACGTTGTTTAGTAAATAACTAGCACTATTTTTAAATAAAACAATGCTCAAATCATAATTTTTGTTTACATTTTGTATAATTTTTACATAAAACATTTGCAGCGACTCAAAATTAAGCAATCAATACGGATTGAACTTCGAAATTGGGCAGGATGCCGGGGGCTTTGGTTCTAAAATCGTTAACATCGCAGCAATAACCAAAGCCTGACTTTGCATTCTGATTCCACTTAAACCAGGTAATTTGTTGGCAGATATCATTGCAGAAAGGTTCGTATTTGGCTTCAGGATTATTAACGGCAACAAATGCGACACCGGATTTGCTTGGAATATGATAAACGACTTTCCAGAAATACGCAGGTACTGGAATTGCGTTGTTTGACTCTTTGTATAGATAGATTGGCGTCATTGCTTTAGTGATTGCATGTGGTAAGCTTAGCGTGCCTAAAGTTCCGGTGAAAATCTGCAAATCTTTCGAGGCGGCTAATTTTCTAATACTCTTCTCTAATTCCTTCCAATTGCCGTTGTTAAGTGTCTGCCATTGGGGAGCAGCGTTGATAAAATTAAAGGTCAATCGTTGTTGGGAACCAAATACGAAGTCGGCTTTAGCTGCCAGCTGACCACGTGCTAGGAAATACTCACCACCGGCTTGGATGTACCTCAAGTCATTTGCTGCAAGTCCTAATTGTTTGTTGATTGTTGCTCTCTGAGTGTCTCTTTTGTATAAATCATTCACTTTGACATTGCCGAGATTGTAGAAACCAGCTTCGGAAAATGTTATACCCTGGTAGTTAGCTTGAGCGCCTCTAATAGCCGAAGTCATTTCAGCCACGGCATAAAGTGATGCTCGAGCAATCGGATCGAAGCATACTTTGATTTGAGTGTAGAAACGGGTACTATCTAAGTTGAAACCCATTGCTACTTCTTGGCCCACATTGCCGCAGGATGAACCAGTTTTACCAAGGACTTGAGCAGGTTGTTTACTGCAAGCGATATTTTCTAATTGGACTGATTTTCCTTCAATGAGGAAATTTTTGCCTTGAACGCATGTTGCCGTGGTAATGGTTTGAGTGGTGTCGGTGATGGTACCACCCGGGCAAGATATTGTGAGTTGTTCGTTTGGTTTGAAGATAATGACGCCCTGCTCGTCTCTAGGCTGAATAAAAGCATTATTTCCGGTGAGGGTTTTATCGGACTTCAGGTAAAGTGGTTGAGGATCCTTTAAATCGGTGCTAATAGAGATTGAACAATCTACAAAATGACAATTTATCAGTAATGTAATAAGATTATAAGCGTAGGAGACTTTTCCTACCTACCAGCATCAACATTTTTAAAACTTGTAACCGTGCACACAAGCAAATAAATTGATAAGTGTGCAATCATTGTACTAGCTTAGAAGGGAAATGAAAAATTAGCGAAAACGCAAATGATCTAAACTGGTAAATATATATTTATTTTTCAAACAGTTATATATTACAAATTCCCACCTAAATGTGCATATTTTTAGTGTTTTGATAAGCATATAATTAGAAAATTGCTTAATTATTGGTAAAACCAGAATTCTTACTATTTACTTTACTTTTATCGCATTCTTAGCGGGCAAAGTTTTTAGTCTATCGCATTAACAATAAAATAATTGATTGAATTAGAATTTTAACATAAAGAACATTAACAGTCAAGTAATTGCTTATTAATTAATTAAAATAAGTCTTGAGTATATTTTTGCACTAATTCTAATTAAATCATGGATATACTTCTTAATTTTGCAGGATTTGTCGTTTGGGACATGGCAAAGGGATAATAAATTTCGAAATAGTAAACAAATCATAATTTTTGATATGCGAATATATATTTTGTTAAACTTTGTACAATTTTTGCATAAAAACATTTGCAACTGCTTATAATTAACCATTCAAGACGGACTTGACCTCGAAATCTGGCAGAGTCTGCACTAGAGTTCTAAATTCATTCACATCACAGCAATAACCAAACCCAGACTTCTGATTGCTTGGATCCCAAGTGGGCCAAGTGACCTGATCGCAAATATCCGTGCAGATAGGTTCATAGTTGTCTGCGTAAGGATTATTTACAGCGATAAATGCCACACCAGATTTACTTGCTGGGTGATAGACAACCTTCCAAAATAATTCTGGCACTGGAATAGCTTGGAAATCCTCAGAGTACAGATACACGGCGGTTTCTTCCCCGGTTTCTGCATGTGGCAAAGTAAGTGTACCATCAGTACCAGTGTAAACCAACAGATCAAGTGCATTTTTGCTGGCGAAGTTCCTCACGCTGTCTTCTAATCTCAGCCAGTTACCAGCATTGAGTGTCTGCCATTGTGGAGCTGCGTTGACAAAGTTAAAGGTCAGCCGTTGCTGGGAACCATATAAGAAATCAGTTTTAGCTGCAAGATGTCCACGTGCGAGGTAATAATCATTGGTAGCGTGGATGTACTTGTTGTCTGTGTCTGCAAGTCCCAATTGTTTGTTGATGGTAGTTCTCTGTTTGGCACGTTGGTATAAGTCATCCAGCTTGGTTTTGCCAAGATTGTAGAAACCAGCTTCCTTAAAGTTGGGACGTGGGTAGTTAGCTTGATAGCCACCAATGGACGGAGTCATGTCAAAAACGGCATAAGGAGAGTCTTGGAGTTCATCATCGAAGCAAACATTGATTTGAGTGTAGAACCTGGTATCATCCAAGTTGAAACCCATTTCGATTTCTTTGAAGTAATCAGCATTGCCACAGGAATTGCCGGTGTAGCGAAGGATTTGTTCAGCCTGTTTGCTGCAGGTGATGTTGACCAATGGGACGGTTTTACCTTCAATCTTGAAGTTGGTTCCTTGTGCGCAGGATGCGGTGGATAGGGTTTTGGTGGTAGCAACACCTAGGAGTTTGATTTTACCACCAGGGCAAGAAATTGTAAGTTTTTCATTTGCTTTGAAGTTAACAGTGCCGACATCATCGATGGGTTCAATGAAAGCATCGTTTCCGGTGAGGGTATTGTCGGGTTTCAGGTAAAGTGGTTGAGGATCCGATAAATCGGAATTCAATGAGATTGAACATCCTGCTAACATCAAATATTAAATTAATAGTAAAAGTCTCTTTAAAAAAAATAGAAAAAACAAAATGGCGGAAGCAAATTTTGTTGTTTCCTTATACTTACCAGCTTCAACATTGGTAAAACTCACAAAACCACAAACAAATAAACAAATTACCAACTGCGCAATCATTGTAGGTACTTGTTTTTCACTTGAAAATTTATTTTCGGATGCGAAAACACAAGTAGCTCAACTGTTGATAACATATCCATTTTTTAAACCTTTATATATAACAATCTCCCACTTATACGTGCATATTTTTAGTGTACTGATAAGCATGCTGACTTAATTACCAGAAGTGACCGAAAATAAATCATTGTGAGAACATTTGTTAAACCTACATTGTTGGAGCTTCATTAATTTAAAAATCAATCAACTTTTAACTTTTTGTGTTGCAACCGACTACGTGAGTAGGCACATATCAGTATCTTATCTTAATGAACACATTTATTGATGGGACGGTGTCTATCAAACAATTTATCATTTTTTATCTGCATAATTTGGATTAGGTACACGTGTTGAGGATTATTAATGTTTGAACAAATTTTGCAAATAATGCGTAAGGATTATTGGGTTACAAAGATCACAATTTTGTTATATGTTAAATGCATTTATTTCTAATCATTGTCTTTGGTTTATAAAACTTTAGACCAACATTCCTGTGACTTCAAAGTCAGGTACATTGGTGATAGTTTTGCGGAGATCTTCGACGGTACAGCAATATGAGTATCCTTGGTCGATCTCCTCACCCTTCCACTTGAGCCAGGTAAGTTTATCACAGACGCTCTCACAGATGGTCTCAGCCTCAACATCGTAATGGTAAGGGTTGTTGATACCTACGAAAGCAACAGCTTCGCCGGTTTCTTCGTTGCGCAGCACACGCCAATAATACTGTGGGACAGGGACGAGTTTCTCGTCACCGTTCACATACAGATAGATTGGTACATCTTCTCCGGTTTCCTCATGTGGCAGAGTGGTAATACCATGAGTACCAGTGTAAACAGTGTAGCGGGTGTCCCACGAATCGGAACTAGCCACGTAGTCACGAACATTCATCTCCAAAGTATTCCAGTTGCGACCATTGAAGACTTGCCATTGGGGAGCAACGTTAACATAGTGGAAAGTGGCACGCATTTGAGACCCATAGATGAAATCAGCCTTGGCGGCCATATGTCCACGGGACATGAACCAATCACTGGATGTAGCGACGTATTTGGTGCTTCCGGATGAAAGACCCACTTGACTGTTGACTGTGGTACGTTGCTTGTTACGAACGTAGTAACTGTTGACGGAGAAAGGATAGAAATCATCTTCAATGAAGTTGGGACGTGGGAAACCACTCTGGTAACCAGCAATGGATTTACTGGTGGTGAATTCAGCGTAGTCGGTCATCAGAGCCTTGTCATCAAAGCAAATCTTGATGAGGCGGATGAAACGATCGGTAAGATCAAAACCGATTTCGATTTCTTGATGGTCACCATTGCAGGTGGCGTTGGTGTAGCGAGCTGTGTGGTATGGCAGTTTGGAGCAACTGATCTGCGAGAAGGAAACAGTTTTGCCTTCAATCTCAAATTTACCAGAGCTGCAGACGGCCTCAGCAGATTCGGCACCAGTATTACTGCCAGAGACTTTCACGGTACCACCAGCGCATGCGACGACTACAACGTCACCGTCAGCGAGATTAATTTTTTCGTCCTCAGTGGGCAGATGGAAGGCTTCGTATCCAGTTTCACTGCCGGGTTTCAGAACCAACGGTTGGGGATCACCCAAACCACTCTGAACATCAACAGCACATCCTGAATAAAAAATAAACTATTAATTTTATGTCCTGAATATTTTTTGAAGAATTTTACCTGCACGTGGAGAAGATGGCAGCGCAATGGCGGCGCCGATGGCCAGGAAGCAGATGAAAACGCTGATGGAGTTCATCGTGGAAGTGAGTCGCATTCGCAACTTGAGTTTGCATCATAAAATATACCGTTTATATAGCTTTCGCAGCCGGTGTGGGAAATAACTGTTTTTTCATCTTTTATCCGATTCGTATAGCGTGATACTTTGATTTTATCGATGAGATTAAATTTTTTCCAATTAAAATTGCAGTCGGATTTGAGTCAAAGTGGTACCGCATGTTCATTTTGATTCGGATCATCTTTTTTCCTTTGTTATCTTGACAAACTACTTAATTCCATAGAAATGTTAAATATGATTGATTACTATCATCGGAAGTTGTGATAATTGTGATGATTATTACTAGATCGATGTGAATTTCTGTAATCTACATACTTGACAATGATATGCGAAAAATTAGGTTGAAATAACTTAAAAATGTTAATTGCATCCGGGTTTTTCATTTGTTTTAGATTTTGCTTTATTGAGTGTTGATAAATGAGAATCATATGTTCATTTCGCAGAACTTTTTTGTTTGAAGTTGCACGTTTCATTATTAAGTAACCAGCTTTTTGTCTATTTTAAGATGGATAGTTTATCGCATGCCAAGATAATGTTGTTTTAATTTTTATCAATTCAAGTACTTAAAATAAATATATTTGCATATGAAACTATTGATAAAATGCGGAACACACTGAATATGTAATTGTTAAAAAAATTCCAGGAAATTTATTATAATGTAAAGTAAATGCTTATAATTTGCATTATTTAAATTGCATAACTAACCGTAGACGTATTTGAATGAAGCATATTTAAAACCAAATACTAAAAGAATTTTAATTTTATACGAAAATGAAAAACGTCAGGGGGCGCTAACATAGTTTGTAACATCCTGTATAATAGTATTTTCGATGGTGTCGCCCTCTCGACGCTTCTTGCTATGCAAATTGTCTACCTCGAATTGTAGACAATTTTCAATCGACCGCAAGCGTGTGTGAGCGTGCAGAGCCATTTTGTATTGTTTGTCAGTGTTTGTAAGGCAAGAGACACTTCTTGTGCTCGTTTCGCTCGGTTTACACAACAATTACGCGATCGATGATGTAAATCGTGTGGCAAGAGTGAAAACAATCAAATAATTTGTGCAATTTAACCACCTAGAGATGGCTGCGGAAGACGAGACGATGGAGTTTGACGAGAGCAGCGCGTTAGAACCGGCGGCTGCGGTGGTGGTCCCGGCGGTGGCTGGCGACGAATTTGCCGAAGATGCGTCGGCTCTACTGCCTGTTGGTGGCGTTATTTCATCTGGAAGCGGCTTTGAGAATGATATTGATATGGATGAAGAATTCCGTGGTCGTGGACGAGGTTTTAGGTTTGTTATTTATTGGTTTTTTGTTTTCGGTTTTGCTTATTTGTGAACGTTACAGAAATTGGAGTGGCCCTGGTTCTGGACCGGCGTCTGGACAGCAGGTGCCTCGTGGAGATAGCCCACGGTTTAGAGGTCGAGGTTATGGGCCTGGTGGACCGCCAAGTTTCCGAGGACGAGGCGGGCCGCCACCAATGTTTGGACGTGGTGGTCCAAGAAATGGCAATTTTAATGGACCGCCTAGTTTCAACGGTCCCAATGGTCCAAATTGGGGTCCACCTGGGCAAATGAATGCACCACCTAATATGATGGGTGGGCCTGGACCTAATTTTGCACCTCCAGGATTATTGGGTGGTCCTCCTAATATGACTGGTGGGCCTCCTCCTCTTATGGGCAGTAATCAATTTCCTCCAGGTGCACAGCAACCACCTCCAATTGTAAGTTTTATTAAATTGATAACATTTGTGTGGATTTTTATTAATTTGTTTTATAGGATGTCAATGCTGAAATTTGGGTGGAGACAAAATCACCTGATGGAAAGCCTTATTATTATAATGCCAGAACAAGGGAAACAACATGGACAAAACCTGAAGGTCCCAGTGTTAAGGTAATACTGCAAGATCAAGTTGAGGCAATGGCCCAGGCTGCAACCGGTACTCAAATGGCGCCAGGTACAACTACAGCTGCGCAGGCAGCGCTTGCTCAAGCAAACATTACCAATAAACCAGAAGGTAATATTTACATTTATAATGTTTATGTTTTACTCAATATATGTGTAATTTTTTGTTTATTAGGTGATGATGAACCAGACAAACAACCGAATGGAATGCAGGGCATGATGCAGGGTCCTCCACCCGGCATGGCACGTTTCCCAGTTCCAGGACAATTTGGTGGTCCGCCGTTTGGCATGCCACCTCCAGGATTCCAGGGAAATTGGGCTGCAGGTGCTGCTCCATGGGGCGCTGCACCACCGGGTCCGGCGCCATGGGGAATTGCCCCAGGTTTAATGCCAGGTATGTCTCCTCTTGCCGCCATCGACGAAGCGGCTATTATGTCGAAGGTAGATCCGGAGATTCTCGCCAAAGGAACGGAATGGACTGAGCACAAGGCGCCTGATGGTCGTGTCTATTACTACAATGCCAAAAAGGGTGAATCTGTTTGGGAGAAGCCACAAGAGATGAAAGATTTGGAGAGTAAGTTGATTATTAATTTTTACATTAGAGATTGGTAAATGTTTTCTGTGTTTACAGCTGCCAAGCTGGCCGCTGCTCAGGGTATTTCGACACGGCCGATTGAAGGTCTTGGTGAGGACGGCGCAGGTAAGCAGGAACAGGTAAATGGCGAACTTGCTTCCGCACAGGATGCCCAGAAGGATGACGAGCCTGCTGCCAAGGAGGTTGAGGAGGGAAGCAAGAAGGCTGACGAGGAAAAGGCGAAGGAGACTAAGGTGCAGGACAAGTCACGACCAGTATCTAGTACTCCTGTTCCTGGCACACCATGGTAAGCAAACTCAGAAGATTGCAAAAGCGTCATGGAATTAATTGATTATTTTAAAAGGTGTGTTGTTTGGACCGGCGATGGCCGAGTATTCTTTTACAACCCGTCGTCAAGAACGTCGGTTTGGGAGCGACCTGATGATCTATTGAATCGTTCGGATGTCGACAAAATGGTCGCCAATCCACCGGACGCGATTTCACCTGCCCCATCAAAGGAAAAGGAAACGCCAAAAGCCGGGTCGACGAAACGCGGAGGCAGCGACGAGAGCGATTCGGAGGAAGAGGAGATTCCAACTAAAAAATCAAAAACAGATGAAACTGGTAAGTTTCTTAATTTTGTTAAATCATTGTTGGTTTGAATTTCAACGTTGGTACTTTTGCTGTAGGTACAAATGGAACAACGTCAAGCGCGACACCGCCCACGGCCAAGAAAATTGATATAGGTAAAGAGGCGGCAATGGAGGCGGAAGTGCGCGCCGCTAAAGAACGCGCCGTAATTCCGCTAGACACACGCATCAAATCGTTCAAAGAAATGTTGGCCGAAAAAGAAGTTTCTGCTTTCAGCACGTGGGAGAAGGAGCTGCATAAAATCGTGTTCGACCATCGTTATCTGCTGTTGACGTCGAAAGAGCGTAAGCAGGTATTCGAAAAGTACGTTAAAGAACGTGCCGAGGATGAGCGCCGCGAAAAGCGCAATAAGTTACGCGAACGCAAGGACGCATTCAAGAAGTTACTGAGCGAGACTCATCTACATGGCAAGTAAGTGTATTGGTACATTACTTTTTAATTCTTCTATTGGTACTAATTACTGTTGTTTTTATATTTTGTGGTCTAGATCGTCATTTAGCGACTTTGCGCAGAAATACGCGAAGGACGAACGCTTCAAGGGTGTTGAAAAGATGCGCGAGCGAGAAAGTTTGTTTAACGAATATCTCATCGACGTGCGGAGACGTGAGAAAGAAGAAAAATCGCAGCGGCGTGAAACGGTAAGTGCACTTTTCGATTGTATTCACCACTCCCATCTCGTATTGCCAAGCAGTTATCTTGCTTTCATTATGTTCATACTTTGAAGCGATTATCGTTTATTTATCGATGCATTCTTGCCTTTCTAGCGTATGTGTGCGTTTCTTACAGGTCACGTAGTTAAGGTATGTTCACTAGGTAAATACAAAACCTCTACCTACTTTTATAAACATAGTTTAATACGCCTGCTTGAAAAATATTCGAAACGAATTCAGGCACACTGAATTATGTCCCAAAAATACATCATATGTTTGACGCTCATTTAGTTTTTGAATTGCATTTTCAAGTTATTTCCCGGTACGATTGGACGAAATCGAAAGTGGTCAATCCATCCTGCGCGGGTGTTGCTCCTTGAGTGCCTCTTTTGGCTGGCAACGCGGACACGTGTGGCGACGTTTACATGGTATTAGTTTTGCTTTGACGGTACTTTTAAAATCAAAATGATGGATCAATGCTAAGTACAAACCAAAAAAATTGAAGCCAACATTTTCAGTGAAAATGTTGGTTTATGCAATCATGGAAAATGTTAATTACGCTTTCATTTCAATAGAGAATTAGGTCAAAACAACACAAGTTAGACATTGAGTGTCGGAAATGGTGGCGAGTCGATCAACGCTTAATCTTAACATTTCTTGCAGCGTTAATCTCGAATTTACTTTCAGATTTTCAGATCGCCCAACAGCAACCGAAACGGAGCATTTGTAATACCATATATATTATGCACGTTTCCAACGATTCATTAGTTTTTAGATTAGAAACTGTGGCGTAATATTTTTGTTAACCCGTTATTAATATGTTACAGATAAAGAAAGACTTCTTCGCGATGCTGCGCGAGAACACTGACCTCGACAGACATGCACGCTGGTCGGAAGTGAAGAAAAAGTTTGATAGCGATGCGCGTTACAAGGCTGTTGATTCCAGCGGACAGCGCGAGGACTGGTGGCGTGAGTATTGTAAAATCCTCAAGGAGGAAAAGAAGCGCGCCAAGGAAAAGGACCGTGAACACAAGAAAGACAAGGAGAAGCACAAAAAGAAGGATAAGGATCGCGATGAAAAGCGCGAACGCAGGAAGAGCGACAATCACAAGGACGAAGCATTGGTTGATGTTGATATGGAAAGCAACAAGACTTCAGAAAAGCCTGACGAGTCCGATGATAAAAGCAACACTGATAAAGATAAAGACAAGGTGAAAGGCAAAGATTCTAAAGAGGAAGGTGACGGTGAAGGCGACGTTGATGGTGATGGTGACGGTGAAGGTAATACTTCGGAAGTCGATGAAGAGAACGAAGCTGCGAAGGAAAAGGAAAAAGAAAAGGAACGGCAGGCGCGCGCAGAAGTAAGCATGAGGGAACGAGAGAAAGAAGTCCAACGGACGTTGGCGACACACATGCGTGATAGAGATAAAGAACGCGAGCAGCATAAGCGCGATGAAGCGATTCAGCATTTCAACGCATTACTTGCGGATTTAGTGAGAAGCGCCGAACTTGGCTGGCGGGAGGTCAAGCGCATACTGCGCAAAGACCAGCGATGGGATCTGGCGGACACATTATCGCGCGATGAAAAGGAAAAACTGTTTAGTGATCATATTGAAACCATTGTGCGGAAGAAACGAGAGAAGTTTAGGGAATTATTGGATGAGACGCAGGAGGTCTCACTGACAAGTACCTGGAAGGAAATAAAGAAAGTAATCAAGGAAGATCCAAGATATACGAAGTTTGCTTCCAGTGAAAGGGTAAGCAATAATTTAACTTTCACGTTGTATTTTTATGTTAATCATTAAATTACAGTGTGAACGAGAGTTCAAGGACTACTTGAAAGATAAATTAATTACTGCCAAAGGACAATTTAAAGAATTATTGCAAGTAAGTTGATATATTCATAAATATTCGTTTTATTTCATGATTATTTTTTAATTCTTATTTTACAGGAAACAAAATTAATCACACACAAATCCCTCTCGACACTTCGTGAAAATCAAGCCCACATGTCGGAGATTGAAGAAATTCTAAAGAATGACAAGCGTTACCTGGTGTTGGACTTTATTCCGCAGGAGCGCACCCAGCTGATTCTCAACTATTTGGAAGAGTTGGACCGGCGTGGACCTCCGCCACCTCCAACTGCAAGCGAACCTAGTCGACGGTCCATGAAGTAAACTAGTACTACTAGACTAATTGATATAATTTAAATTAATTCTTAGGCTTCACTTCCAACTGTTATTATCGTGTGCTCATGCTGAGCAGCTATTGATTGTAATTATTTTTTAAATTTATTGATTGAATGACTATATTATGACTTTCACATTTTTATTTGTAAAAATAACAATATAACGAAGAACAACAACGAGTGATATTATATATGGACCACTATCACTCGGTATAAATGTTATAGTATGTTTAGCGTATTTACAGCCTTAGTTCAGATATTGATTGTTATATTATTTAGTTGTAGGTTGTGTGAAAAGTGGAGGAACGCGATGATTACTAGGTGAGATAGATTCGGTTAGTTCTGGAAGGAAAATGCGTAACCAGCCCCAAAGCTATAGGGTTTTCCAGGGGCATCGTTATAAACCGGTGCTTTTCCAACCACATCGGACTCAACAGAATTCGAATACTGTTCGTGTTCGGTCGCTGGCGCTTGCACTTGAACGGGTGCGTAGTGCCTTGGTTGTGGCAATGGATGTCCTTGAGGTATGTACGCTTTTACATAGTGTGGTGGAGCGAAGTTTGGTTTGTATTGCAGTTGCAACTGTGGTTGTGGATGAGGCTGTGGGGCCACTTGCTGGTGGTATACAGGTGCCCGATACGCTTGAAGACCAGGTTTGTTCGCAGGATTAGTGTCATCGTAAGGATGCTCATCGCGTTCGGGTTTGTACGATCCGTCATCGTGTTCATAGTGTGGTTGGTGAACAGGGCGGTCATTGGGATGAGCGTGTACTTCCCGTGGAATGTGCTCGCCTTCAAGGATACGGAAACCGTCCTTTCCGGCTGTGTACTTCACTGTGATGGTTTTGCCATGTGGGTCCACGTAGGTATAGCCGCCGTTGCGGCTACCATCCGGAGCGATTACTTCCGTTTGCGCTAGGCCATTTTCAGCGGCAAACGCGAATTTGAAGCCGCCATCATGGTTTTGTGTTTGTTTATGTGATAATATCCTTGGGGGTGGAGGTGTACGGTAATATTTTTCGTCTTCATACGCTGCCAATGTTAAACTTATCACTGATAACGAAAATATCTGCAAAGACAAACACTTTTAATGCGTTGTTGTTGATACATTATACCAAAATATTTAAAAAAAATATATTTTTTGTATATGTTTTGTATTTATATATAACTTACGGTTTTAAGTAACATTGTAATCCACACAAGATGAAATGAAACAAAGTAAATAAGATTGAAAGAATCACCGCGAGCGATTAAGAGAAAATGCGTCGATATGAGGAACGCGCTTGCTTTTATATACTGGCTGTGGGTGTGCGTTGTAAAGTGTGCTTTGGGGCATTAGGGGACCCTTGTCGCCATGTTTACGCTCGCGATTTAGCGGCCAACGCCGGGCATTGGTTTCAAGAGAAAGTAAATGAAATGGAAACGCAACTCTATAACTATCACGTTACGCAATGACGTCGTTAGCGAATGCAGAAAAACTGCATGTTGCAAACTCTCTAAATGATATTCAACACAAAAATGTCTCGCTTTAATCAAGTTTATAATAATTTACAATCGATTCACTTATATTTTGTTATTGAATTTTGTCTGGTTTGTTATTGTTGTTAGTTTTCTTTTGTTGTTTGTCTGGGACGCACAGTATAAATGTCATTAAGAATTTCCGCACTCGTCCGCCAGCGTAATGTGGGCAATGAGAAATAATCGCGACTTGCACTTGCACCAATTATTATGAACCCGCGCGGTTCTGCATCATACGCCATGCTCATATATTCATAACTATTACTGCCGTATGTGCTATTTTGTCTTGTTTTATTTTTGTTGGAAGTGAGCGTTCGGATTGATTTCTATGTCGACGTATTTCCTGCTCGAATAACACAAATCGCGCAAAAACGCCGAGGCGTACGAACTCCATGCAGGAATTCGATTTATTATCGAAAAGTGTAATTAATTTCTAGCCAAGAAATGTTCGTAGATTTCTATTGTATATGAAAGAAAATTGAATTTGTTTACATTTATAATTTTTTCAGCGTGTTTTGTCTTCATCTTTAATAGTTTTTATATTTTTTAAATTGATTGATTAATCAAATCGAGGAACTTGTTATAAACCGGTAATTTGATTGATGTATGCACGTATATTGTAGTTAGCAACGTTTGCATACACTCCTGGATATCCTGGCGTAGCGCATCCATTACCGAAAGATGTAACACCATACAAATAGTTGTTAACCACTAATGGGCCACCGGAGTCGGCTTGACATGTGTCTCTCCCCGCATCAGAGGCGCATATCATACGATCGGTTAATGTTGGATACGACCAGCTACATTGATTGAAATCATTAACGGTGACTGTGACCGCATGAAGATACTGCGGAGATGATCCACCGGCCCATGGATAACCCCAGCCGGAAGCCAACATTTGTGTACCTGTTGGCGGCGGGCGTAGAAATTGCCCGAATGGTGGCAACATAACAGCTTGTACTCCACTGCCGAAGTTGAAACTACTGCTCACTGAAAGAAGCGCGATGTCGTAATCTTCAATCTGCGGGTTGTAACTGGGATGAGAGTAGATTTGACTGATGTAGTAGATGCTGCCGCCTTGAGTATAGTCGGAAGATCCGGCACGGATTCTGATGGTGCCGGCATTCTCGCTACGAACACAGTGCGCAGCGGTAATGATCCACCACTGGCTGATGATTGATCCTCCGCAGAAGACACCGCCATAGTTGTTTAATAGAGCCACTTGATATGGGACAAATGTGATATCGGTTTGGTAACCACCTACGATTTTACCATCGATTTCCTCAGTTGAATTATCATTATCGCCTTAAAGAAATGAACAAATAGAATATAACAAGCGAATATCATTTAAAAATAGGTATTACCTTTAACGGCGATTATGATTGTCACAAGATATAATAGGATGGAGTACTTCATGATGAACTAGCGTGCTTTGAACTAGTTCGTTATTTATGAGAAAAGCAAATGCTAATTTTTGAATGCTAGTTTAAATATTGCATATTTACTGGTTGATAATACAATCATAGTTCTATTTAATTTTCAATAATGGATCTGAAGTAATTACTTTATTTACTTTTGGTTACAGATAAGAAGTTATTTTCGAAAATGTGTTCTGCATTTCTACACTTACCTAAGTAGACGTTATTATATGACATTGAAATGTTTTTAATCAGTGCGCAATAATATTTTATCAATATATTTTTTAAATCTTTTGAAGGCCCTATTTTGAAACATATTCGGTGCCACCCAAACAATAACATTGGACTACATAATAAGTGCGAATTCCAACAAGACGAACATCAACGGTTCTTTTCACCAGAAAATAAATGATATTATAGAAAAATATAACACATTTCTTTGTGTTTTATTTACATGTATTCACTTCTTTTCCTTACCTACTAAAACCAATAAATAGTAAAGGACTTTAAAATCTAGTTCCATGTTAAAATATTTTTGCTTGAATAACAGGGTCAAACTTTTTAGTTAAAATATTTTTGCTCGAACAACAGGGTCGGACTTTTTTTGTTAAAATATTTTTGCACGAATGACAGAGCCGAACTATTTCTTAAAATATATTTACCCGATCAACAGGGTGGGACTTTTTTTGTAAAATATTTTTGCTCGAATAACAAACCATTTTTAATTTTTGGCCATTAAGTAAAAAAGTGGACAATTTGGTGGAAGCGCCGTTTCGATGGTTTTCAATGCGTGGGTGTACCGCTTCAATATCTTTTCTGATGAATGGAGCTGTCGTTTTGAACTTTTAGGTAAGTTTAAGTAATTATTAAATATTTGGCGGAGGCGCCCGGCATTATAACTTGTATTTTAAATAATAATTAAAAGCTAAACATTGTATAGAGGGGCAATTAAATACCTTAATAAGACAATCATACAATTAGTAGTACCAATAGTGTGCCCTGTAGGGATCTTTAAGTTAAACATGAACTTGTGGCCACACTTAATTATCAATTATATCAAAAACTAATAAAGATATAGAAAAATCGTAAACGGTATAGAGTTCAGTATTAAATTCAATACTAGATAAGATTTTAATATTTTCATTTTTCAACTGGCGAAAATGAATTTTCGGAAACTATAAATGTTATACCAAAACTTTTTGCATTTTTTTTTCATGCCATAACAAGGATCTAAAAGATGGCCGATTTAGTTTTTCCATTTTCCGAAGTTGACCAAAACAACTAAAAATTAGTCAAGAGGTTACACTTGACTCTTTTTAGACCTAAAAATTATTTTTTAAGCTAGAAAATAATGGAAAACGCCAATAGGTAGAGAATCTTTATGTGATGAAAAATATGTAATCAGTTTTCTGATAGCATAATTATTTCGAAAATAACTGGTGAAAATTGAAACTGACAAAATTGATCCACAGCTCAGATGTTCACGAAAATTTGTAACATGGTGTAGGCTGATGCAAAGAATCCATTACTGTTATATTTGTTGCAATATCTTAATTAGTTTTTGAATTATGGACAATTTTCAATTATTACGTAAATCTAGAAATTTAACACGTTTTAAATGCTATATGACGTAAGATTATACCCAGAATACGTATCTACAAACGGTTTTTCTTTAAGTCTAATAATCTTTGATAAAACGCTGAAAAGTGTATTTTTAAATTTTGCTGAGGTTACTTATAGCAAATATATAAAATGAAAATTTGTAATTTTTATATCGCTAGTTAATAGAGAACATGATTCAAAATCGATTATTTAAGTACATTTTTTCGCAAAAATCAATTGTTTAGATAATAATCAACATAATGCTATTAAGTTCTGATGAAAAACTATTTCCATTAATATTGCAAATAATGCCAAAACTGTCATTGATTGAAAAAATTATACTTAAATAATTGATGTAGAATTAAACAATCTATAAGAATCAAAAATCAGAATTCAAATTTTCCAATTTTTAATTTTCGACATAAAAAAGAGAAATGTTTTGCCTTTTTTATGACAAAATCTTTTTATTTAGGTTTTGCAACATTTGTAAAAACTTGAATTTTTAAATTCTGATTCGAATTCAAATTCGGAATTGTAATTGATTTTTACCTAAAATAATTTAAAAAAAGAATAAAAAATAATAAACGTGATATGGTTGTAGAATCTGTGTGTTAACAATTTTCATAAAATTCCCACAATAAGGGTGCTTTACAGTTTGAGAATATTTTATTGATAAGAACAACACAACAGTTTGCAACATTCCAAGTTTCAAGTCATCACATCATAAAAAACTAATATATTAGCATGTTATGTGACGCAATTTGATGTTTTCATTTATAACAATTTAAGTGTTTATAGTCCTGTATGTGTGCTAATGAAATGCCTCATATTCGCGTTAGCAACGTTGACGTACACGCCAGGATAACCAGGTGTCGCGCACCCACGACCAAAGGAAGTAATGCCGACTAAAGTACGAGAGGTGGTAACCACCAAGGGACCACCAGAATCATTCTGGCATGTATCTCTTCCAGCGGTTCGAGCACATATCATATTTCTTGTCAGATTAGGATATCTCAATCGGCAGAAGAATCGGGCGGAAATCTGCAAGGATACAGCTCGCACATGGCTCGGTGATACGCCACCAGACTGTTCGTGTCCCCATCCCGAAGCCAAAACGACAGTACCTTGGCTTGGTGCTTCTCCAACATTTGGTAACCTAACAATGCCCACAGTATTATCGAGAGTCATAGGACTTACTTCAATAACCGCAATATCAAAATCAATGGTTCTGGGGTTGTAGTTGGGATGGGCAATGATGCGGACAACTTCAAGCAATTGGCCTCCCGATGCAAAGGTGGAAGAACCAACTCGCACGCGCATGTTCATCGGATGTCGGCCGGGAACGCAATGAGCAGCTGTGACAATCCATTTTTCGCTAATGATCGAACCGCCGCAGAAGACGCTGTTCCAGTTGGTTACTAATGCTGCTTGGTACGAGATATCCTCGATATTGGCTTGGTAACCTCCGACAATTCTTGATTCTTCGGAAGAAGTGTCATTTTGGCCTAACAATAATAAAAATAAAAATGATTGCAATATAAACTTTTAAATTTAAATTTACCGTTAGCGATGGCGACGAGGGCGACTAAAGGAATGAGTATTAGGAACCTCATGGTAACTGGAATGCTTTGTGCCGAAATGGATCGGCTTTTATATTCATTCAAAAAATATTGTAATCTTGTAAACATAAATATTGCATAAATATTTTTTATCTAAGTAGATAGTGTTGTTTTCTGTTCTGCTTGTTAACAACTTCATTGGAATTAATTTCAATAAAATTTAAAATTGCATGTGAACATATTTTCACAATTTGAATGTGCCAAATTCGTTATAAAATTTTGCTATGACAAAACAGAAACACTACATAACTTTTAAAAATTCTGGTAATTTGTAACTTAGGAATTAATTTAATGATAAGAAACATACGTCATTTTTGTAACGCTTAATGGTTCATGTAAACACCAATTTACAAAATAATTGTTTTGCACATTTTCGGGACATTGTTGGGAATTACATGCATTCGATTTTGTTTACTTTGCATTAGTATGTAAATACGAACATTTTTCATAATTATGTTAGTAATATTGATGAAAACTACCAAACTTTGAAACACAAGTTCAGCTTTAGGTACAAAAATTAATTGGAGAAAATGTATGAACACTTCTTGATGATATATCATCTATAATATAAAAATGAATCGCAAAATCTGTTGGTAAGCGCATAACTCAACAACGCTTAGACCAATTTGACCAATTCTTTTTTTTTAATGTTTGTTAAAGTCCACGGATGGTTATTACGGCAAGAAAAAATCGAATAATAGCTTGGAAAACCCTAAAGTTGGCATTGAGATTCAATCATAGTTATAGTTAAATAGCTGAATCCGAGATGGCGCGCTGAAGTGCATTCTTAGCAATTCTTTATATAATTAATTTCTTTAAAGTAAAATTACGAATCTTATTGATAGAATTGACACATACAATGTCTAGAACAAGAGAGTAAAAACAATTTACATTTTTATTAAACACTACCGCGAAGTCGGGCGCAAAAGCTAGTATAATATAAAAGACAGTGTTTAGATTATAATTTTTTGTACCATTTATTTTGCACCACAAATTATACATTAAAACATTGATCTGCAATTTCGTTATAACTGAACGTTGCCTTACCGGATTTCGCACTGCGTTTGCAATCACGATTCTCCCAAAACTTCCGATCACTAATAGTTTAATACTGCATGTTTCAATACAATGTAGGTATAGATATTATGAATAATATAGTACGGAGTACATTTGTTAGGTAACAATTTGCGACTAATAACAGTTTGCGCTTTGTAACTAGTAATTAATATCTAATTATACATTAGGTACTATAATCATATTACAGGTACCAAAAATATGTCATATCCCTTTTGGTCCTGTTAAGTATCATCATCATCATCATCTTCTTTGCAACGCACAATATAAACATTGATATCATATGTGATATTTTCTTACGCAATATATACGTGGACAACCGCGCTCTTGTTTTGCATTACACAGTACTTAAATAGTATTACACTTCCAATATAAGCACACGATTACTATTTATAGACACAAATTAGTGTTAGCGGTTGTCTTAATATGTTGTGTATTGTTGTTCGGACCCTTACCAGCTTGAAAACAAAGTTTTGTTTATCTAACTGAAAACAAACATTTTTTATTCTCGGTGACGCAATTAAGCACTGCCGTCACAAAGTGTCTTTTTATTTGTCATCAACCAAACAGTTTACAGCAAACATTTACTGTTTTGTGTTTTGTCGGTTACTTTGACTTCTTTTGCTTCAACCATTTATTGGTTAAATGAAACAAATGTTTCTTTCTTTTGTTTCGACCACATTTCTTTCGTGATGATTACAATGATGATTATTGTCTCCTCACAATAATCTTCTTCTGGGAGGCGGTGCGCCGCACGCCCGCGAAGGTTTCAAGAAAACGTGTATGAAAATTTCCGCGCACTCTCATCGTTAAAAAGTATATCCCGCATGTTTGCGTGCTCGTTAATCAAAAAACCGAAAATATATTTGCTTTTTGACGAATCCATCACGTCTTAATATACTTATAAATGACAAACGACCGGCACAATTAGTAAAGCAACTATCGTTAGTATTTTATAACTATAATTAATTCTAATTGCTGATTACGATACGTTTTTTGATTATATTTGTTGTTTTACCTTTTTTGCATCATAATAAGTGCTTATCTGCTAATGGTATAAGTGTACAAGTTGCACAGTAATATTTAGGTCCCCATAGCTTACCGGGCTTATACTTTGTTTTTAGGTTTTGCTTGTTTGTAATCAACTCCATCAAGAAAAAGACTTTTACCACTGATGACGTTACTTTTGATTGGCTCAGCAATTCTCTTTAAATGTTTCTGTCATGTGTTTGACGTTCGTTTGCTTAATTGTTCTGAGCTTAAGTTTAACTAAATCTTATTTACACATACAGACACTCACACACAATGACTATGTCTGGTCGGGCAAGAAGATAGAAGCGCTTAAAATGTTCATCATTCCAATTAAATTTTATATCTTTATTCCGAAATGTGAAAGATATCTTATTGCCACGTCTCCGCCATATTTTTTTTCGTGGGGACAGGATTACGTGCAGCCATTCACGATAATCCAAACGTGGATCTTTCTATTTTGTAAAGATTTTGAAGTAAACTTTGATTTGTCTCGATGCGACTTCTATCCGAATGTTAATGTTTTGTTTTAACGACAAGATTATTGGTTTTGATTTTGATAAATGTTAAATATCTTGCAACATTCAATACAATTACATTTTATATATGTTGTACTCTCTATACAATTATTTAGTTTTAACTAATATCAACTAATAAGTTTGTTTCGTTTCATTTTTGGGCTAAAGATTGATTTACTCGTCGTCTTCCTCATTCTGGTACGTTACGTAGCGAACTGATGGCTTATCACCAGTTAACAGCGACTGAAAGTACATATTTTCACATTATAATACAATTAATTTCCAAGTGTAATTTGATCACTATCCATAATATTCGTTCGTTGAAGCGGAAGTTTATAAGTTCCGACTTACCTTCTTTTCCTCCTTCGTCGGCGGACTCTTGAGGAACCAAAGCAGCGGCGCGTACAAGAAGTTCAAAATTGAGATGCCAATAAGCATGTGCTTGAAACCAATATTCTTCACCAGCGTGCCACTCAATGCCGGACCTTAAAACACACAATTCGCATTCTTCATCAAAAAAAAAACAAAACCACATTACTCAATACGGTCAAACGCGTTGGTGCATTAAATGTAAGAGCACTTATCTAATTAAAACCAGTCTAGATGTAAAACACTGAGCGGAAGTGGAGCGTACGTGCCAAGATATGTAATGTATATGTGATAAAATTCGCGAAAGCAGGAAGCGTTCGCAGCCGCGAGAAAACGAAAACGAATTTGAGAATGCGAGCGTTCGCTGCAAATCATTGTGATTGTGATAAATGAATGCAAAGCAGCACAGCGCAAGACCGATTCGCGTTTGAGTTATAGCCGTTTCATTTCATTAGTGTTCATTAAGATTTTTACTATTGCTGCGCTCATAAATTGTCGATTTGTTACGTAAGTAATTGTTCCTTGTTGTAAGTACGTCAATTAAAAATCTATGATTTCGCTTACCAACAGCAAATCCCAGGCAGAATGCCACATCACCAATGGCATAAACACTTCCATAAACAGCTGAATGTCGAATATCCACTAAGTACCCCAATTCGGGCATCATCGAGCTGTCCACCATTCCAATAGCAAATCCTAAACCAGCATTCGGTAAAATCAAATCATTCATTGTGGTAGCGCTGGGTATCTGAAAGATTAATATGTGTTTGATGTAGTTATAGTCATAATTTGTGATGTAAGCGGCTTACGCTGATTAAACAAATGCCTATCACGACCAAGCCGATTAATGAAGCCAACCAACGTCCAATGCGATGTCCAAGCGGTCCAAACAGGTTCGTACCGATCAAATAACTAATACTTGCTGGAAGAAAAGTAGCTCCTTGTTCCCAACGCGCCGCATGCATAGTGTCAATCATCCAAATTGGTAAAGATGGTTCCAACATTGCAATACCCATATTAGCAAAGGTAATAGCACCCGCGGCGATGATAATATACGGATCGGTTACCAACGCTTTCATTGATGGTGGGTCGCAGTCCTGACGCACCACGGTCGGTTGCAGCATGAGCAGCTGTAGCACTGCACAAATTTAAAATCAAAACACGTGTATTGCTTTAGAAATAAGTTTTCCTACGTCCGTCTCCAAGGGCAAGCGCTGACAAGACCAAGAACGGTGCTGATTTCCCAACGAACTCGTACATGATGCCCCCGAATGGTGGTCCAATGAGAACCCCAAGCGCAAGACCACCAAGCGCAATGCCCATCGCATTACCACGCTCCTTATCGTCGGTGTAGCGCTCAGCGAGCATGCCCATACCGGACACACTCGAGCAGGACGATCCAACGCCTTGGAGGGCACGGGCCACGAACAGCACCCAGTAGCTGCGACCGAACGCGAATACTAAGGAAGAAGCGAATCGTCATAGTAAATCGGCACATACACTTCAGAAGATATGTATTTGAAGTGTGATGAAAAGAGCACCACCATTTCAGGTTGCTGATCTAATTAGCGCGGACACTTAGGATCACAAGGGACCTTTTAGAGCACGGCTAATTCACGTTCCGCATACGACAGCGTGAAGCAATGCTATCAATCATCAAAGGAATCAAATTTCGAATGCGAATTTTCCAATTTTAATATTACTCAATTTCGTATGGATTTACATTTGACAGTGTAAAAGTTGAAAAAAACTTAATACTTACTGATTGTAGACAGAAACATAATGAGGAAGCCCGCGAACATGGGGATGCTGTAGCCAATTCTGAAAGATTACATTCGTGAGTTGTCAGTTTTTGCAGTGTTGAGTTGTGTTTACTTGTGAGTTAGTGGTCCGACGAACGGATTCGTCAATAACTGCACAAATGCCTTCGAAGCTAACAGCAGCCCCACGCCGACCGTCTCGTCGATCAAATCCTTGTGCCTTAAGTCCTTACACCAGCCTTCCATCGTCGTGCCGTTTGCGCTTATACAGTTACATTCTATAATCCGCAAAACCAACAAATCATAACGTTTTATTTACTGATAAATCATCATTTTACTCATATAGTATTCCATCGGCGCGACGGTGGTGGCATTGAGTTCCGTATGATTGCTCTCTTGCCGCATCTCGCACAATGGCGGCGTTGTTGGTGCCACCTGCGCGTCCAGCGGCGCATCCGGATGGTTGATGTCATACAGGAATTCCGGAATTATTGGAACTGTTAAACAAGTATCAATATAAAACTAAACACATTGTATGAAGGTTAATATTGCGCCAACATTGATAGATTGTTTCGAATGCAGGGAGTAATTGCTGGTGTAACTTTAGTGCAGTTTGCTAATCGTTGTGATGGCTTAGAGACGAGCGAGAATAATTCTGTTTGGACGTCCAAGAGAAGGTCGCTTAACGTTAATTTGAAGTTAAAACCGCACCGCGAGCTAAAGTGGGACAGATTGCCTTCGTCGTCCCCGAGAAAACGAGGAGCAAAGCACAGAGAGCCAACTAGATGACGTTCTGACGCAAATCATAAGTTGCACAGCAACCCGAGACTGATGGGCAATGAAATCAGCCCGAACTAATTGCGCGAGTTAATAAACATGCAAAATCTAGGTCAATATAGGTAAATTATTATCGTAATAAATATTTTTAATGATTCATCTAACTTAAAACAATAAACAATACAGCAATAACTGCGCCCTTGATGAGATATTAAATTTGCGCAAACATCAACCTTGAACTTGTGCTACTTGTTCCGCATCCGCTGCTTTTTTCCGCTCGTCGGCAACCAACTTTGCGCGAGTCAAGTTGAATTTCGTAATTCTATTTAACCGCGCAACATGCAGGACGCCTATTAAATTTTCGAATCTGACATTGACGAGCCGAGCATCCATCGAAATTTACTAGTGGTTGGGAGTACCATAATCGCTTCCGGTTTTATCCTTTGTCCCGTGGTCCAACACAATGCAACTGCGCACAAAAAATTACGCTCTTAAAGTGCCATATAAAATTATAGCGCATTATATTCGCCACTTCGCCCACTCACTCTCCATTCAAGCCTGAATAAGTTGTAAACGCGCAGGTCTATCAAAAAGAAATCCTTAGCGGGTGGAAAAAGTGGCAATTTTCAGAGACGCATTAAAATCCGCTTTTTATTGCACTTACTTGTTGCACAAGTGCTTCACCTTTATAGCCACGATTAAAAATAGAACTTAAATTATGCGATAAACTCGTGCGAGCCGTGAAGAGGAAATTCGAGGAATTGTTTAGAGACTGATCGAAATCCCAACCGGGATTGTTGTGGTGCCATTAGAATTACAATACCGACGTGCTGTTTTCATGCACTGCTTGGTTTCTTAGTTAAACCGCAAGTCCGGTGGGTACGCCGCAGCCCTAAAGAAACAAAGAAGCAGAGCATCACAGCGCGCAGCGCGCCGAACAAAAGGACTAATTATCCTTATCGCCCACTGGACCCCGGTAACGACAACTTCAAATTGAGACCAAGAGGCCGGAATGAGAAGATCAGACAATATGCGAATCAGTTGCCAACAGTTTCCGAGGACACGAGTCATTACAATACGTTTTCCGCATGGTGAATTCTATTGATATCATCTTTGGAACGGTTAATGATGATTTTGTCTTGATTTGAAATTATTCTAAATACTTTAACGTCGTTTATGATTGCAGCTTGCATTAATTGCAATGATGGCATTGATAGCAGACGCAGTATCGTTTTACTAACGTTTTAATTTCGGGCGGTTCTAGGAACGAACTCGTATACGTCGAAATCGAGCGGTACTGCAAAAGTTTAATTAACGAGATTCGTCATATCGTCGACGCTCCCACTTTGTTCGAAAGTTCCTGGCTGCATGGCGCTTCCGTTCTTCCTCGACTTATTAATTATTACTTCGTTTCGCGGTAGGTTTCACTAAGAGAGAATCAAGGACCAGGGAAATTTTATTCGAAATTTTAGTCGGTTTAAATCGTTAAAATATTTTTAGTTTGAAATAAAATATTTTCATTGCTCATCCATTTATTTTCCTTTCATTTTAATATTACTATGTAAGTTTTTACTGAATATTTTGTTGTTCCACCATAATTTCTAAATTTTTTAACAAAATTTTTATTTTTAAATTATTACTAGCATTTGCTCGCGACTTCGTCCCGGTAGTGTTTAATAAAAATGTAATTCATTTTTACTCTCTTGTTCTAAACATAGTATGTGTCAATTCTATCAATAAGATTCACAATTTTATTTTATAGAAATTAATTATATAAAGAATTGCTAATAATGCACTTCAGCGCGCCATCTCGAATTCAACTATTTAACTATAACTATGATTGAATCTCAATGCCAATCTCAATGCCAACTTTTATCCTATAGAAAAGGGCTGTCTTGCCCTTGTTGTCTTTAGGGTTTTCCCGGCAATTATTCAAATTTTTCTCGCCGGAAAAACCATCCTTGGACTTTAACGAACAATTTAAAAAAAGAATTGACTAAATCGGTTGCGGTGTTGTTGAGTTATGCGCTTACCAACAGATTTTGCAATTCATTTTTATATTATAAACTAATATTTTGAGGCAATATTGATTTGCCTTCCTGGACATTAGTTTGCAAAGTTGGTTAAAACAATAAAGTAATAAGTTAAAGTCTAAACACTCTATAGATTGATTCCACATTAAAAGTATTGGTAAATTGAATTAAATTCAGTTTGAAATTCCATCAGCCCTAAAACACTTGGTGGATGAGATTGGTCCTGCCATTATGTTTAGTGCGGTGTGCGATGTGGTCGGAGGGTGTTTAATGAATGCACTCATACATGTGTAACAGCCACCCTGGTTCGGACTGCACGCCAGAGCGTTATTTATCTACACATCGTTCTTTCGGACCACTTCGCTAAACGCGTTAGAAAATCCACTGATTATTCGTCTAATGAAAGTAAAATTTCCACCCACCGTCCGGCTTAAACAAAAGAATAGTGATAATAACAAGGTCAACCCTTCCATTTATTATATTCTCGAGATATGTACCGAATTAATTAAAAGATTTATCGCTGGCTGTAGTTGCAGAGAAATTTCGATTCAAAGCTGGATTTATTCAAAATGTTATTTTTTCAACCCTCTGCGCGTGATTTGCCCTCGGGAGTGGTTAAAATTGGCTGAAATTGTTATAGTAGGCACCCAGTATGCGGTGTTTTCCCGACGGCTCTTCGATGCGCGAGCGAGGAACGTGAGAGAGCATTATTCAAGTTATCGCCTCGCTGCCCCCTAAAAGCCACCTTCCCTTTTCATGTTTAATGCAGTGCCGCCGCCGCCGTCGCCGCCACTTGTCTACGCCCGGCATCCATCCGACTGTTAGCGCGCCAACTGTTTCGGAAAAACGAAAGATTCGAGAGCGGCCGGCGTAACGTGTGAAATTCAAAATGTGCGGTAGTTGGTTAAAGACGAATTAAACCATGGGGGTTTGTATAGTACTCATATAAATAGTATTTAATTATTTTTATAATATTATATTTTTATACTAAAATAATATTTCACAACAAAGCAATTGGCTATTTTTTAATCTATTAATTTCCTTCACTAAAGTTGAATTTTATTTTTCCTATAGAATATATGATATTTGATATTGATGTAAATTGATATTGCTGATATTGCTGGGTACATAATTAAACGCAATTTAATTCATCCAAATATATATGACTGAAATTAAATGGTTTGGTTTTGATTAGTAGCGAAATCAACACCCAGAGTTAATAATATTCACTAATTAATCAGTGCAACAAGCAATTGAAACCATCACACAGAAATAGAGCGTCGACGACACGCCAAACGCGCGACAATCAAAGGATTCCTCATATCCACACGCTCGAATGACCCAACACCGCTCGCGCTCCCGTCCCCGGAAACTGGGGGTGTTTTTCAGTTATCGGCGCGCCTCCCTTTGGGGCCGCTCTCATTTTCAATCCGGATTTGTGTGTAATCGAACGGGCTGACCCGCACCCGAGTGTCAACACACTCTCCACGTATTTATTTATGGAATTCCCACATTGCGGGGCTCAACCTATTCACGATCTTGCGATTATCGAACATGTGTGAGCGAATTTAAGCCTTGATGAGGTGAACTCTAATCGATAACTTTGATTTGTGTTCAAACATAGGAAAACTAATTTATCTCATGCATATTTATGGTTATGATATGTTAATTTAATAACTTTGAGGTTATTTATAGAAGCAAAGCATTGGTTCACATTGATAGACATACCTACGGTGGTCAAGAGCATGTTGTCCAAGAGAAGCGCGATGGCGACGATGACAAGCACCAATCGGCGCGACTCGCGACACTGCTGGACCCAGCTGCCCAGCCGCGTCCCCGCCACCCACTCGTTCACCACTGTCATGTTGTTTTACTCTGCAAAGAAACAAATTAAAAATTTTAAATTTTAAATAATTTCACGTCTTAAATTCCTTTAATTAAATTCGTGCAATAACAGTATTACCCTCTAAAAAGAAACAAGTGAACGACTAAATAAATACGCCGAAAATTAATTGATGTCGACGTCAAATAAGTCGTCGGATTTTCGGAGAAATGTAAAAGCAAATTTAATTAAATGAAAATATGGTTTGCCATTTCGCTTTTGTTAAACTTATATTTTAAATGGTACTGATAAAATGATTAATTAATTAATGACTGAATAAAATTATCGACGAATGTAGAGAAGTAATTGATGCTTACTAGTTTGCATATTTGAATCAATTTGAATCAAATTCTTGGAGGGTAATCCTGTCCCCAGGGATGCGTCAAATTGAAAAATCCTACTTTTGTGCTTATGGTCTCCAATTCTACTGAGTTATTAAGGAATAATCTTTTGCCATAGCAACTGACTTTACTCTCGATATATAGGTTACCAAATTGCATTTCTATTTAACAGATTTCTTAAAAATTTACTTCTTCTATTAAAAAAACGTGTTATGGTTATATTTACAATGAAAACTTTATTCTACCGCATAAGTATAACGAGCAAAAAATTTATTTTTCATTCGCGCGCTGATGCTGAACTTTGTGATGCTAACTACAGATTCCATTCAGAGTCGAATTTCGTACGCATCGCAACGCCAAGGCAATAAATTTACAGATAAGTGTTAGGAGCTACTTGTTGAATCGCGGAATGAAAGGCCCGACAGACACTCTCAAGACGAATTGTAAGATTAACGCTTTCCCACTCTCGGCGGGTCTTTGTCAAATGGCGCGGAAGCAAAAAAAATGCAAGCGAGAGAAAACTAAAAGGACATTGGAACGACCAAAGAAATCGGAAGTAACCTGATGCGTCCTTCCACTGAACGCAATAATAATACATTTAAAGCTTAGCGCTCGGTTGAAATAAAAGTGCGAAAAAATGTCGCGCCGTCGTGGAAAGGAGAAACCAAAACCACTTTGGATATAAAATCATTTAAGCAATAAAAGCTGCGCTCGTAAATTGCAGCACGTTCCGTGCGTCGCATCTCTCATAACCTTCTACATTCTGTAATCGTAAAAATATTCGCACGCAATTTTCCTTATAAATTGGTGGCATAATTTTCCGGTTTTATGGGTTTTACTGATCGGCAACCAAAGTTACAACAATTGATTTTGGTTTTAGGAAATATGAATCTAAAATTTTTAATTTTTTGAGAAATAAAGGAAAAAATATTTTGTTTTTTTTTATAAAATAGGTTTTGAAATTAAATTTCTAAGACTTAAAACGTTAATTGTATTTTTTTCTTCTTTTAAACGTTTCAATAAAATAAAATTTTGATTCATTATAAGAGCATTATCTGCCATCGTGTTTTCTTTTTAATTTCAGCAATAATACAAGAACAAAAACTAAATATGCCCGCTGCTATAAGCTTCGTTAGAAAGTTCATTCGTTGTCATCAGATTTTTCTATGTAGTATATTTTTTTCATTACGTTATTGCGTCGATTCGCAGCGTCGGCGCCTCGCTTTCCGTCTTCAAGTTCGACTCTCGACTTGAACACACAATAAGCCCGACGACTTCTTTTCCGTTCCGACAGTTTCCCCAAGTCTCGAAGTGATTCGCACAAAGGCGTTTTCGCGTCTCTCTGCGGAGAGTTGTATTAATTACTGGTGCACGCCGCGATCACGTCTCGTTTTGTCGTCGGGAAATTGCGGAAACTCTCAGCGTACTAACCTCTCCAGCGCCAAAGCGAATATTGTTATCTCCATCAAGTATATGCGTACAACATTCTTCACACACAAGCGTAATGTTTTCACTATTTTATTGGCATTCAAGATCAACAAAACTAACTCGAATAATAAGATTTGAAGCTCACGATGTAGCACGTACGTGCAATTAGTGTAAATCTCATTCGATCGTTTTCCAGGATTTCGACGTAAAGTTGTCGCTCGCTGACGCTGGCGCTTCCAATGATACTAATAACTTTAACTCAAATTGAATATCGTAACTAATTACGCTTCTATTCATGATCTCGCTAGAATCCGTGCGTTCATTCGTACATAAACGTATAACGTTACATCCCTGTTATTTCATCATCGCACAAACTCAACATCTGCATTTCGGTGTTCATTTCGGAGTCGGCGGCGACTTTTGGTTGAAGTTTGCGAATGCGAATCGGACGCAAATTTCGAAGCTTCCGTCTCATTCTTGTAATTTCATTACATAATTCATCGCGCATGAATCTAATATGAAGAACAACAAGTAAGTTGCAACCAATTTCACAGTCCACCAAATTTCATATAAATTTATATTTTAAACAGCAAAAAACTGTTTTAATGAAATTTTTTTGCCATAGGTATCGGGTAGATTTGAGTTAAACGTGTTAAAAATTGATTCCGAAACCCTTCCGTTCTCACTGACACATTCACTAACGCAGTTACCGGGACGCGGCGTTTGCGAGTTATTAAACTTAACAGAGCGTTACGAAGCGCAATTAACAAGACTAACCGAATTACGCTCGCGCGCTCGACTATTCGTGCTCGTCTATTTCGCGCTCGTGTGACTTTTCACCAACCTCCAACCGATGCGATAGGGGCGACATTGCCATTTTCTACCGGACGTATTAACTCCCTTAACCTAATCGCGTCTCGACGCGCGTCCGTACGCGAAATGAACCTGTTGCAAACATAATGCATGCCGCTTATCCACGTCTTTCTATACGCGTATAACACAACGCGATCGGAAAATACGTATAGCGTGCAGGGTGTAGAAATTCCTCGGCGAGTTTTCTTCGCCGAAACGGAAACTATGCGACGCAAATCGTTTTACACCTAGGCACAGTTCGTTTTTTTTTCGACAGGCGTTGCTTAGTTAAAATAGAATGAGATTTTGATTCAATAAAATTCCATCCCAAAAGGGAATATCCCGATTCGAAATTACGTTGTAAACTACTGAAAGTTGCACAAAATTGTTTCGCGCGTTCGGGGCTTTTTTTTTCGATCATCAGCCGGTTATCTCTGCGTCTGACGACAGGAAATTAAAATATCGTCTGGCCAGTCAAACAAGAGACGTCTTGTCAAACAAAACGGAAAGCTTTTGTCCTTCAGGCTACACATTTAAGTCTTGATTCGCCGTGGGAGTTTCAATAAATTAAACGGCGTTTTTATTTCGCGCAGACAGATAACGTGTAAATCTTTTCTTGACGCAAGATTTTATTACGAGAATTTCGTTCTGATTTTTACGATTCAGTAGGAAAAAAATACACAGAACAGTTGCCGAAATGTTATTTCGATTCGATATACGAGTAGGTATATTGGTACGTGACTTGACGAACGACAAAAACGCGCAAAAAGCAAGCGCACCCGAAAATAGCAGTCAAACTCTTTTTATGATAACGTTTTATGATCGATTATAACAAAGATGCCCGAAACAGAAGCGTTTCATCGCCGGCCAACCGAAAAATCTGATATTCGGTAATATTTCTTTCTGATGTGGCGGTTTTGCAGTCGATTTGTAGTGTTTGCCAACAGAAAAGTGAAAATATTTGTAAAAAGTTGTAGAAAAGTTTATGTGTACTTACACAGTAGTTGAAATCCGCGCACGTCGAGACTCTTAGAAATCTCTAATCACCGTGAATTAAGCTAACGCCACTGGCGGCGGTACGTTCAACAAGTAAGTGCGGCGTGTAGCCGCCACCGCGTCCGTCATCGGAAAAGTTAGTGTGGGCGCAAAAAGGGTTGTAGGTGTATGTGTTGTGTGTGGTGCACACTTACTTGCGGGTGGACAGGTGGCGCGGCTCTGGCGCTCGTCCAGCGCTTCGGGTGCGATGGTACCGACGCTGCCGCCTCGCCGTGTGCGTCGCCTCTGACTCCGCAGCAGCGGCGCGTTCGCGATGGAAGCGGTGTGAACGACGGCGCGGTGGCAGTGGAAGGCGCGCGATGCACGCCGCCACCGCCACCGCGACAGCCGCCGGCGAGCGCGCCGCGCGCGCCTGCTCGCCTGCACTCGCCGGAGAGCGCTTCTGGAGGCCGCGCGGACGCCTGCATCCCAGCCCCCCACATCGCCTTCCCCCTCGTGCGCTCGCCGCGAATTCGGCGATTGCGCCGCCGCCGGCTTACTCGACCCACCGCGCATAGTTTCCTTATACTTCACCGCATACCTTACGTTTTACATTCGACAATAAACATTTTTATTCTATAATGGGAATTTTTCTCTTGGAATATTTTAGTCCTACTTATTTATATAAGATCTACTTAATTATACCTACTTTTACTTTATATAAATTTTAATGTTTTTATAATTTTATATGTTTTATATTTAAAGAGGAATTTGTGTAGTCATGCTGTCATGATAGTGGTATCAACATAAATAATTACACTTGATTAATCGATGTGGACGGGCAACAGGCACTTGTTGATGATTGCGAGCCGCGTTTTCACTGCGCACCCTTCCGTCTGCCAGAAAGATAATTAACGAGTTTATTCTTTTCGCTCGTTGCACACGAAACTGACTGGATTGTTTTAGTGGTTTTTCGTGTTGCGCATTAGGTATTTAAAACTCGACAGTATAATAATAAACTTGAAATTCAATTGTTGCATTGCCAGAATTGTTGTTTACGTTGAAAATTATTGAAATTACACGAAAATCTATGGTATTACGGCGTAATTAAAAATTGTATATTTTGCTACAATACTGTAATCCAAAAATAGACGTACGGTGCACAATTAAGCTTTTATTTCAACAAAATTTAAGTAACTTAACAGAGTTTGAGTGCAGTGCGCATGGGTAACATGATTTTGTATTTTTTTAATTCAATTTGCATGCTTTGATAGGTTTTGAAATGAAATAAACTTCCAACATTATAATAATTCATCGATTTCATCTCATTATCACATTCAGCACGCGCTGGCGAAGTAAATAAAACTATGTCCTATGCATGACCTCGTTTTCTCATGCCTGCGAACTTTTCCGAACAGCCGCGCCTGACAATGAAGTCCTCCGACGTGCATCATCGCATCATGAAAAGTCATTAGGTGTCCGGAAATATGCGCGGTATGCCAGACGCCCGCCGCCCACACGGCGCGCGGTTTTCAATAAGGACTCGGGCGTGTTTCATAGAAAATTCCAGCGAATATGCGGTTCGCTAGGTCGCTAGCAATAAGGCAATAACAGGCATCCCGAAACGCGCTCAAATCGCATCGACGAGTTTATTGCGTATCGTCAATTGAATGCTGAAATACCTACAATTCTTGTACGCAGTGAAAGTATAAATGAAATCTAATAAATTTTTATATGAACTGGTGTATGGAACGTCGTAAATTTTAAATATAAAAGTTAAAAAGAAAACAATAAATAATATCAATTATAAGAGTTGAAACTTTAGCATCATAGCTGATACTTCTGAACTAATAAGACACGTGCTGAAGATGCAACCGTGGCGAGGAGAAACTAACGTAACAATGTAGCGAACGTGTCCATTGGCATTTCGAGCTAATCAAAGATGCTCGTGTTTCTTCAATTGCTGAGCATAGAACAAAAAAGAGTGCATAAAAAAATTCTGCGATTATTGCAATTTTTCAACGACGTAATTTGCAGAATTATTATTTCTAATGTTTAAACTTTAATTTGATGTGAATGCAGCATCGACAACGGGAACGTGCCGCGATCACAATCATAAATCGTAATCGATGCCTTCGATGGCTTGACAATTTAATTTGCACGAGCCCTCATGCTAAATTGCCCCCATCCGCGTGGGTAGGCGGCGGCGGCAGCGAGGTCGGCGTGAATTGCGCGCAAACACAATGCCGGAAGCCCCGCAACCTCGCGGATACCACTCGAGCGCGTCAGGTGGTTGTGGCTGGCGTTGGCGGCGAGCCCCTTCAGATCGGTCCAATTTAGTTCGACCTCCGCTATCACCATCGCGGTATTTATCAGGGCGAAATTCGAATCAAACTTTACGCCCATTACAACGTATTATTGCAAAAAATCAATTTGCTCGAGGTCATAAAGCGGATGCATAATTGCGTAATTAAATTTTGTACTTATCCAACATTACTAAACTAATAAACCATAATCTAGGTAATTCTAATAACTTTTTACTACAGTACTGCAATTTTTTTAGTGTTTAGAACTCAAATTTTTGTTTGAGTGATTATAGTTTAGTAATGCATATAAAAAATAAAATTATTATGTAAAACTAGTATTAGATAATTATAATAATGTTAAAAATTAGAGAAAATATATTTGTTTCCCATTCATTCTTGTTTTTAATTATATTGTTTTCTTTGATGGAAGCACAATCAAAAACCAAATTTTATTTGATAGAAAATATACTTTTTATAGGCAACCAAATAACCTCAAAATTTTCAATTTCACGACAAATACATGCGGTTTTTAGCGGTTTTTTTCTAAATTATTGGTTTAATTTACACTTTGATGTACTTTTGTTAATAAGTGGCATTTTACTGTGCCCTACATTTTATTTAAATCGTCAATCGAATATAGCGTTAAAAACGCGGAAATAAATTGTTAATTACTACTCCAGGGAATTTACGAGTTGCAAAGTTAATAAGTTTGTCATTGACGCTAAATGTGATTGCAGACTAATTACAAACACCGTCATTTCAATTAATATAGCAAAATTGTTTTACATACCTTAATGTTAGAGTACGTTAACTTAATTATTAACACTTCTTATTTTACTGGTACAGACAACACATGTTACTTGTTCTACAACTCGACCAAGACTAGATTTATACATTTTTAATCTAAACAAATGTAAACAAACCAGGGATAGAATATAGTGCAGTTTGTTTACAACAAGAAACTGGTGGCTTCGAACAAAAGACGTGTATGTTTTATCAGTTGTTTGCTTATTGCATCATTCCAACTACAAACTAGCTGCAAACTATGTTACATTAGTTAATTAAAATTAGCTGTGGCGTAAAATTAATTTTTGAAAAGTATATTGTGTGCCTAGGATGCGAACTGAAAGAATAATTGTGAAAATTGCAGGCGTTCAAATTCAGAAAGCCCGTGTAGTAGTGATTGGGAGTTCATTTTCCTAAGCGCGCCACAACCAAACCAAAGACCTCAAAAAAGAGAAGAGAAGAGGAACATAGAGAACCTTTCATTCTAGTGGCAACCCGTAAAAGAGGGTGGGGGTGCGATAACTGACGCAAACGCAAAGTACCCGCAGTTCTACCACAACATTCTGGGTTGGCCGCAAGGACCACTAGTTTTAGTTTTGGAGAGACGTTTAACTGTGAAAACATATTACTTACCTAAACAACCTTTTCAAAAACGTATACAACGTAATATCGTATATACTGCTTTTCATTCTGGAGTGATATCATGCACATTCGCCTGCTAGTACAGCCAGTACAGCCGTGCCAGTTTAGCAGTAAATTTAGATTTTACTACAGGCAACCCATTCTACGTAAAAGGAATTACAACTGAATTCAGTTTTTATTATTTGGTAGTTGTCTGGCTTTAACTCGAGAAGGGGCATTGTCCAAGGACAACGATTCTTTTATAAGATTGTAAGTATTGAATTTGTTTATCATTTTCATAGACAAGTTGTTTCATTAGCATACGGGAAACATGCAAAAATGACATTTATGTGCTTCGATGTACTAATTTTTGGTTGTTTTGGGTATCTAGCGGCCGAACAAAATGTCCTAGGACTACGAATCTTTCATCAGATTGTAAGTATTAAATTTGTTTATCATTTTCATAAATAATTTGTTTGATTAGCATACGGGAAACATGCAAAAATGCAATTTTGTGCTTCGATGTACTAATTTTTGGTTGTTTTAGGTATCTACCGGACGAACAAAATGTCCTTGGACAACGATTCTTTCATCAGATTGTAAATATTAAATTTGTTTATCATTTTCATAAATAATTTGTTTGATTAGCCTACGGGAAACATGCAAAAATGCCATTTTTGTGCTTCGATGTACTAATTTTTGGTTGTTTTAGGTATCTACCGGACGAACAAAATGTCCTTGGATAACGATTCTTTCATCAGATTGTAAATATTAAATTTGTTTATCATTTTCATAAATAATTTGTTTGATTAGCCTACGGGAAACATGCAAAAATGCCATTTTTGTGCTTCGATGTACTAATTTTTGGTTGTTTTAGGTATCTACCGGACGAACAAAATGTCCTTGGACAACGATTCTTTCATCAGATTGTAAGTATTAAATTTGTTTATCATTTTCATATACAATTTGTTTGATTAGCATACGGGAAACGTGCAAAAATGACAATTTTGTGCTTCGATGTTCTAATTTTTAGTTGTTTAAGGTATCTAGCGGGCGAACAAAATGTCCTAGAGCAGCAATTCTTTCATCAGATTGTAAGTAATAAATTTGTTTATCATTTTCATAAATAATTTGTTTGATTAGCATACGGGAAACATGCAAAAATGCCATTTTTGTGCTTCGATGTACTAATTTTTGGTTGTTTCAGGTATCTAGCGGGCGAACAAAATGTCTTGGGACAACGATTCTTTTATCAGATTGTAAGTATTGAATTTGTTTATCATTTTCGAATACAATTTGTTTGAATAGCATACGGGGAACGTGCAAAAATGACAATTTTGTGCTTCGATGTTCTAATTTTTAGTTGTTTTAGGTATCTAGCGGGCGAACAAAATGTCCTAGAGCAACAATTCTTTCATCAGATTGTAAGTTTTAAGATTGTTTATCGTTGTCATAAATAATTTGTTTGATTAGCATACGGAAAACATGCAAAAATGCTATTTTTTTGCTTTGATGTGTTAATTTTTGGTTGTTTTAGGTGTCTAGCAGCCAAACAAATTGTCCCAGGACACCGATTTTTCTATAAAATTGTATGTATTGAATTTGTTCATCATTTCCTTAATTAATATGTGTGATTAGCACACGGGGAACCTGCGAAAATGTTCGTTTTGAGCAAATTTTTGATGATTTTAGGTGTTTAGCGGGCGGACGAAATGTCTTAGGACAATGGTTCTATCAGGAGATTGTAAGTATTGAAATTGTTTGTCATTTACATAAATAATTTCCATTGTTCATACAATGGGGAGTCAATTAAATTGCTTATTTTATATGTCGGATAAACCTCCTCCTCAACTACGTGAACAACACTCCAATTCAAATTACGCTCCATTTATTACAAAGTATGTCTTAGATTAAACCAAACGAATCTCAGAGTCAGTCCTTCACACATGATTCTTAACGTTGTATATAACGATTGTTATATACAACATTTGTGTTTAATACAAGCGGAACCCACAAATGTGGTATTTTTCCACAGTGCGTTAATTAAAATCCCTCAATAATAATCCTTTTATAACTTCAAAATATTTGTATTAGCATTTTTGTCGTGTGCACATGGAAGAATGCCCCTCCAACTGCGGGTCGGTTATCAATTCTCTTACCCGCTTAGTCAGTTGAGCGCTGTCTCATGGTTCGCACGTGTTTTGTTCATTAATCAAACATTGTAACGATTTTACGCGTCTCTTAATATTTTAATTCTGTAGTAATACTCGAATCGGTTGACCATCAGAGACATTTAGTAGTAACAGCCCAGTGTAACCCACAACGAGTGATTTGAGTGATCCTTTAGGGTGCGTGCGTGGCGTCCGTCGGATATGTTCCAGTGCATATGGATACTTACTTATTGGAGTTTAAATTAAATTTATGTGTTTGATGTGAGAACAAGTTTTCAATTTGTGATATCTGCGTGGAATATTAAAGAAGTGCGTATCATCAATTCTACTTACAATTAGTTGAAACCTGTTTGTGCGCTTTAGATTTTTTATGGATGGATGAACAAAGGAGTAAGTAACATCAAGTAAAACTTTACTTTTATTTCAGTTTTTAAATTTTACAGGCACCGTTATTGCTTAATAACAATTGTAAATGATTCAGCAAATAAAATATAATTTAGTCTTACATTTTTGTTTACATACATTCCTGGTGTTTTCTTAGTCGTTTTCAGGATTGGTATTACGTCGTGTTGCACTGTAAGAGTATAGCACACCATAGTATAGTATAGTGTGGTGCACGTATACCGTTGTTTTATTTTATCATAAAATTCTCAGGTGTGCAGCACATGCTGCTATGCCGTAGGTCGATGGTTCGATCTCCAATTATAGAAGGCATTTTTCTCAAATATAAAAATAAATGGTGTAATCTGGGTTGCTTATGTCGATTCAGTAAGCAACGCAATATAAATAAGATACTCAAAGAGAAGATGCAATACAATATAGATATAAGACGAGAACGGAAGAGTAGAGAGAGGAGGTGAAGGAGAACAGAGAGTTAGGAAAGAAGTCACCAGAAGAGAAGAGGAGAAAAGAGAACAGAGATGAATGAATTGAAAGTAAGGAAAGCCACCCTGAAAGAACCCAGGAGCAGCTCAGATTTTTAATTTTTTTTTGGCGGCGTGTAACTATGAGTAATGCTATACGCGTATAGTTTTATAAAGTTATAGTGTTGTAAACATATAAACCAGAAACAAATAGTGTTTGATAAGTGAGCGTTGTAGCTCAGGTGGCATGTGTATATGCTAGCATGCGTGAGGTTCATGGATCGAATCTCAGTTGTAGAAGGCAATTTTATTAAATAATAAGAAATTTACGAAATGTGGGTTGCATACCATACAAATTAAAGATTCAAATGTTAGAAATAACTTGAAAAGCAAAGTACAACGAAGCAACAATAGGAATAAGTAGAAGATGGTGGAGGAGCAAGTAGAGCAGCAGGAAAGAAAGTATAGAAGAAGTAAGAAGAGAAGCAGAAGAGAGTACAGGAAGAAAAGAGAAGAGAATAGGGGTGACGGAATTTTTAAATTGTTTGGCACGTGTCGTTATAAGACAGTCTACGGAGCCGGAGGCGCTCTGGGAGATCGCCCACTGCTTCAATTCGTCCATTGCTCCCGGCCCATCCTACAGCTACGATGTCTCTGCGCTTCATCCCCGGAATTATCAGGCATATCAACAATTTTTATGGTGGGGGATCATCCCCAGAGAGAGGGAACTCCTTCAAAGGACATCCTTTTAAGAACTTGTAAAAATATTTCTAATTTTTAAGTCGCCTCAAGAGAGGGGACACTTCAAAATATTCTTACAAGTTCTTACCTGTAGCTGAAATGAAAGATGGAGTACACAAATCATAGAGGATACGTTAACAATTTTTATAGTGGGGATCATCCCCTGAGAGAGGGAACTCTCTTTGAGACCTGTTCCTGAAATGATAGAAAGGAGGGATGCACAAGTCATAAGACATTACCATTGCCTTTAACATGTCTTTATTAACAAATTACATACAATACAACTTCAGAACTTGCAAGTTCAATACCTACACATCACGTCATTTTAAAACATGTTTATGACCTGTATAGCTGCGTTCTGCTAACGACTGCAAAATTATAAAAGATAACACTGGAAAATAGCAAATTGCGCCCTGTTTTCGCGTGACATTACTGGAAGATTATATACAGGGTGTTACCAAAAGAAAATCTTTAATTTAAAAATAAAATCGCCCCAAAACAATAATGATTGCCAATTTTTTACTGGCATCAAGGAAAACACTCATACAGGGTGTTATCAAAAGAAAACCTTTGATTTAAATAGAAAATTACCCCACAACAATAGAGATTGTCAATTTTTCACTTAGCATTAAGGAAAATTTTTAAACAGAGTGATACAAAACGAAAATCAAAAGAAAATGTTTTATTACCTGTTTTAGAAAACTAATAAATAATATAATTGCTAATAATAATATTTTTAATAAGCATCTTTTAAATAAATACTAAATTCAGAACTCCTAAGAACACAAATTAGAACAGACAGAATTATGATCTAATTTTTCTGATCGCGGTGATAAATCCACATTTGATCGTTTAATTCGTATAATTGTAATAGAATATAGTATTTATGTTACATACTTTTTGCGTTTTTACAGATGAAATATTCCACACGGTGCACAAATGATGTTTATTTAAATTAGTAATTAAATAGATACCCGACGGAAGATATCCGACGGCCAACGGTAAACACATGATGCGTACGTTGTAAAACCACGAAATTCTTGGTTCCACGCGCGATAACTCATTAACTATAGGCCACACTGGTCTGTTAATTCTAAATCTTCTCTTTGGTGACTGATTATAATTCAACTACCAACTTAAAATCACAAGAAACGTGATAGGTCGCCACGAAGACCGCCGCGCAAGTTAATGCGTGCACACCACGCCGCAGCGCACGATCGACTAAGGAGGAAATAGCACAAGCAAGAATGAGCGCGGCGGACGAGCTGCAACTCGATAAAAAAAGCAAGTTGTTTGTACACAAACTACAGTAGAGTCCGGTTATAATGACATCGAAGGGAACTGACAAACACGTCATAATAAGCGGACGTCATACAAACCGTTTTGTGACTTTTGTGACTAAGTACTTTAATATATAAACATAGTAATTACAAATGTATATAAATGTATACATATATATTAAATTAAAATCAAAATTGCACATAATTACACATACAAGAGTATTTTTTACTGTTTTAAATAATCTGTCATTTTTGTCTGCTTTTGTTTTTTTATTTTATTGTAAAAACAGTCTCTAATACTATTATGAATAGAGGACATAGCTATGGTCAAATTATCATTTGCAATATTGCTGTGCATAGTAACAAACACAAGAAACACAAGACACAAATAGTTAAACACAAACAATAAATTCACCTCCGGCAGCGTGACGAGTTGTGAGAAGATAAGTAGGAACTGTTCTTAGATTTCAAAGTTGTGAAAATCGGTCATGTTATATGGTCTGCTAGAACAGGATTGGTTAAGATTTAATTGGTTTATGAGGGTGAAAAACAGACCAGAAAGTTAATTTGGAAAATACGGATTAAGTCGTGGACAAGGTACTGCTGCCCGAATGCTTATATTTATTATTTAAGCATTTGGTCTTTCCGATAGTAAATACATAAAAGTAATTTGACAATCATAAAAGAAATGTAGCAATAAATATAAAAGTTCGCCACGTGTCGATCGTCGTCGGGAATCAACGAGCATGACCGGAGGTGTAAAGAATCATGTTGGTCATTATAACCGGACATAATCTATTAAAAATGGGTCATAATAAGCGACATGTCACTGTAAGCGAAGTCATTATATCCGACTTTTTTAAAAAGAATTTTATATGAAAACCAAACTTCGTAGTGTAGTTACGTCATAATAACCGGTTGGTCAATATAAGCGGAGTCATACTAAACGGATTCTACTGTAATTAAAAGATTGTCCAATGTAATATTTTGTTGCAAATTATAAGCAATTAATTATTTATTTGCAAAATTTAACAAACTTTATTTTTAACACCCTGCAACTTCTTTGTCAATCATATTTTTGATCATCTCTTTACGTGCTTCAATGCAAAATTTAATGTAGTATTTATTCATTTAGTATCTATTGTTATCTATTATGGTTTTTGAGTTATTAACAAAAAACCGCGAAAAAACAATATTTTTCTATTTTTAGACCGCTATTGCTCACATGCTTTCATATGGACATTTCGTGACAAAAAAGAAATAAATCGCTGTTAAAATTACAGTATGTTTAGGCGTGCTTTATATTTGAAATCAAATGAAGGCCATGCAACTGCAACGCAATAAAAACAAGTTGCTTGTGCACTAACACCGATAAGAACCAAGAGTGCAAACTACGAGTAGGTATAAACAATTCATGTTGTGGATACAGTCCAATGCAATGGAAAGGTTTTATATTCAGAACGTACCCTCTCATTCACCTTAACAATGTATCCTAAAATCCAGAATTTAATACAGTCTATATGAAAAGGCAGTTTCGGGGATAAACGCAATTGAAAAATCTGGGAACAACACCAAAAATCACTCATCTTCGCATATTTAGCGATTATTTTTGAACTTTTACTTCACGTAATCCCTACTAATATTATAAATGCGAAAGTCCTGATGTTTGTTACACATTCACGCAAAAACTACTTAACCGATCATCATGAAAATTTGTACACATATCTATTCTTAGTGGTCCCCGAATGGTTATAGGCAACTTTTTATTTAATAAAAAAAATATTTTTTAAATAAAATCAAGAAATTGTTTAGCCAATAATACCTCTGCATCTGGTTATTTGACTACCTTACGCCATCTAGCATTCCAGCAATGAAGCTCAAACCTAAGTACTATAGTACCATCACACTGTATTATCACACTGTATTACCGACAGCTACGTGAACATCAAATCCAATTGACTACACTATGGAGACTGCACACTATACTTTCAAAGACTATACTTTCAGCCATTTTGAACTTCCCGCCATTCTACTCGTACTTCATTGTTACTTCTTTTGTGACTACAGACGCGTACGGAAGCAACTTCATTATTTTAGATATTCGCGAGCGAAGCCGCGGGTTAAAGCTAGTATAATATATTTATTAAGTAACTCGAATCAGGGCATCGTATGGGGGTAGCGGTAGACGTGACTCGTATTCAGGGCACCGTATGATGCTAGGGGCAAAAGTGACTCCAATTCACGGTATCGTACAAAGCTAGCAGTAGAAGAGACTCCCATTCAATGTACCGTATGAAGGTAGCGGTAAAAGTGACTTGTATTCAAGGGATCGTATGAGGCAAGCGGTAAAAGTGACTCCCATTCAGGGCACCGTACGAGGATGAATCCATATCTGACTTTCATTCGGTGCATCGCAAGAGTATAAATGCACGGGTGACTCTAATTCAGTGCATAAAAGTTAAAAATAGTAAATAATAAATATTTTATTAATATCATAACCTCAATGTTCACCTCCCATTGAAAAAATTATTCCTTGCGGATAACAGAAACAGAAATATCTGAAATACAACAAACTACTACCACCCGAGGGAGAATTTAATTCCACAACTTTTGACGTCCCGCTAAAGTTACTGAGACACCCAGACTGTGCGCAAACTCCAAAAAACAATGAAAAATTTCAATTTTATGTCAATTTTTGCGAGTTACAAGGGGAGTTCCTACAACAAACTATAACCACCCGCCGGAGAATTTACTTCCACATTTTTGACGCCACGCTGAATTTACTGAGACGCCCAGATTGCGCCCAAACCCCAAAAAACAATGAAAAATTACAATGTTATGCCAATTTTTGCGAGTTACAAGGGGAGTTCCTGCAACAAACTAAAACCACCCGAAGTAGAATTTAATTCCACATCTTTTGACGCCATGGTGATGTTACTGAGGCACCTAGATTGCGCGCAAACCCGAAAAAACAATGAAATATTACAGTTTTATACCAATTTTTGCAAGTTACAGGGGGAGATAGAATATAGTATTTATTTGACATACTTTTTTACGTTTTCGCAGGTGAAATATTCCATACGGTGCACAAATGATGATTATTCAAATTAATCAAATTAAACAAAACCACCAGAAAATCTTCACCGACGGAAGATATCCGACGGCCAACCACAAAATTCTTGGTTCCATGCGCGATAACTCATTAACTATAGGCCGCACTCGTCTGTTAATTCTAAATCCTATCTTTGGTAACTGATTGTGATTCAACTACCAACTTAAAATCACAAGAAACGCGATAAGTCGCCACGAAGACCGCCGCGCCAGTAAACGCGTGCACACCATGCCGCAGCGCACAATCGACTAAGTACGAAATAGCACAAACAATGCTGAGCACATCGGACGCGTTGCAACGTGATAAAAAAAACATGTTATTTATACACACACACCGATTGAGTGATGGAGTCAAGAGTGAGAACTATGAACAATTTATATTGTTGTTACAATCTAATACATTATGAACGTACTATTCTCATATTCGTATAAATAATGTATTCCAAAATCCAGAATTAAATACAGTCTATATTAAATAAAATAATAATATAAATAAAATATATTTTATTATCTTGTTCTATAAAGAATAATCTGAAATTTTAGAATTTTCAATCCTGTTTCGAAAGTGACGATGAAAGTGACTTGTATTCAGAGTACCGTACGAGAGTGGAGCTTTGTCCTTTTTTCCAAATTTTCAAAACTTGCGGTGGACAACTGGTCATATCTCTTGAACTCATTGTGATATTTTTTCTTTGGCTTCTGTTAGCGCAAGAGTCGATCTTGAAGATGCAATTCTGCCCCGTCGCGAAATTCCGCCCTTACTGCCTTAAAATAGTCGCGAAAGTTTGCTTCTTTTCTAATCGTCAAATCTTGAGAACCCTTCGCGATTATTTCGTATTTTTTTCGAGGATTTCGCTAGTGAATATCATGAGACAGTTACGCCCGAATTTCGCGGAGGTTCAGGGGTGCATCTTAAAAATGCACTCTTGCCCTACCATAAAATAAAATAAAAACTAAAATGTGACAAAAGGTTTCCGATATGGCCCGTTTTCCACCGCGTCTTTTGAAAAATTGAAAAAAAGCGAAAAATTATTGCGCTTTTGTTATCAAAGAAACAGTTAATTCTGAGATTTATCAGCAGGGTACGCGACTATCTTGTTTCTTTGCAATACGCGGCAGAACGCAATAACATAACTATATACATGCAAACTAATTTTCGACGCACATATTGAAGGGAAACTATAATTTAATTATAAACTTACCAATGTTGAACTGATCGGATTCCAAAGCACGGCAAATACTGTAAATAAAAAAAGAAAACATAGGTAATATTATATTCACACAGTTTGATACCTTCAGTGTTGTAGTGCAGAACATGAGAAGAATTGTACTCGTACTATGCATGGAACAATTAAATTTTATTAAATTCTTAATCAGATTCTGAGAGATAATTTAATTCTACTTCGTTTATATTTGTAACTAACGTTAACCGTTAAGACCCTATTTACAATTTTAAAGAAAAATGCATTCGTAGACTTTTTTGTCTTGACATAATCGCCAAAAAATGGGACCCTGTTCTTCGACCGAAAAATATTCACTTCCGGAAGAGCTGGAAAGTTGGAGGGAATACATCGTGAAGAGGAACTTTCTAGCTTTATTCTGGTGTGGAGAAACTCTAAGAAACTCGATTAGTTCAGTAGATACAGAGTGTTTTCCACACCATGTTTTCAAAATTTTCTATAATTGCTCTTGTTTGAAGGGCATTTTAAGACACTTACGGAAGGGCTAGAAGATGGAAAAGATATGCATCGTGTAGAGGGACTTTCGAGCTTTAACGCGGCGGCAAGCAACTACACAAAAGTTCAATAGTTCTCGAGATACAGGGTGTTTTCCACACTATGTTTTCATTTTTTTTAAATGCCTGTTTTTAAAGGGCATTTTATTATTATTCTTTATAACAATTTAATAGATAAATCAGATTTAATAAGAAAAGCAATCAATTATGTTATATTTTCATATTTATTTGGCATTTTGTGAATGTATATCATTTTAAACGTTTCCTTCCTTTGCAATTATCGTATATTCCACGCTTTACAAAACTGACGACACTATCCATATTACAATACAGTTATGCATCGTTCATCGTATATATTTTATGTAAAAAACAAGTAATAATTATTTGAAAACCGAACAACAGCTTATAAATTCTCATGCTTGGTCTGAATCTCAAAATCTATCTAATAAACAGTGATTGATTGCACAAGCTTAGTCATTAACTTAAGAGCTACATCTACTCCTAATTAATTATATCATTTTAAAACAATACATATATAAACCAAACGATTCTTGGACTTATAATATACACAACTAGTAGTCTCACGCATTTGCAAAAGTTATAAATTATAAATTTGTGATCTAAATGACAAAAAACCAAAGAATAACAACTATAAACTATTAGTTTGCCCTACATCTATCAAAAATGTACAAGCATTTTGAATTTTGCAATAAATCGTAATTAATCCTAAACATAATTATGTATATCATAAATATACTAACAATCAGTAAATTCTAATCATTAATTAATTTACGCGATCAAACACGTATCGATTGAGCGCAATTTTATAAAAATCATAACACAATTGCCATTAAAACATAAAATTAAACCTCGGTGGCATTCTTGAATGAAACATTGCACGTTATTTGCAGTTCGACCAAAAGCACAATAAATGTTTATACAAATAAAATTTCACAAGTATTTACAAAAGTTCAATGATTCAAGACATGATAGATCAAGTTCGACGTTAATACTGGACGGCAGAAACTCCTCGTTTCTACACTTGCGTTAAAATTTAATTTAAGGTTATGTGCTAACTACCCCTGAATCAAACTTATAAATTGACATTCCCAATATTAATTGAATGTAATATCCTAGTTAACTAGCTTTAACATACTTGAATTGGTGCAAAAATATCCTTCTAGACTAAAGTTTGGCATCTTTATAAATATTTTTGTTTTTATATAAAAATGTTTGATTTTTAAGTACCTTTAACTCGCTTTAGAATCTGTTTTTCAATTTTCTTCACGCTGCACAGCGGCGCTTTCGTTTCATTAGAAAATAATAACAAATGTACATAAAAAATGTTGTTTCTTCCTTAACTTTGGTTATACTATGATTAAGACGCACGTTTATCGAAGAATGAACTAAATAAATGTATAAATATTAATTAGCCCTGTTTGCATATCGCGATTAATAAAATTAATTTACATACAATATGATTATAGCCTATCGATTATATTCGACGGAATGTATTAGTTGGTGCCTCTCAGTATCAGTAGTAAAATATGACTCGAGTACTCGCTCATCTTTAGAGTTAATTAAATATAATTAATCGTTAAGCTAGTTTAAGCTATTTGAGGAAGACAAGTCGAGCGTGCGACACTTGTTTTTAGATGGACACATTTGTACTATGCTTCAATTGATTGCATTCCGATCGTTTGCGAGTAACGCTCCGGTGCGATTTTGAAAATTTTTCGAATTTAGTGGTCGGAGAGTTTGTTCTTCTTGACGAGATGCGGATGCGTGCGTGCAACAATCGCCTGCAGCTTGGCGAGCTGACCAAGCAGGTTCGTGTTACTGCCCTCCAAAGTGCGGATCTGCTTGCGATAATCGGTGTTCTCACTGACGAGCACCTCGACTTTGCGTTCCAACTGATCCATATATTCTTTCTTTTTTCGTCTGCTTTCCTGCGCCGAAATCTGCGTACAGATAAAATAAATTATAGGTTATGAATAGAGGACTACACACGTATGTTTATAACTGTTTATGTCGGTATGCAACCAAACATACCTTGTTTTTAATTTTTCTCCTAATTTTCTTTAATGATTTCTCCTCGGCTTTCGTCAATGGCAGCCTTGTGGGAACTGGATAACCCTCCGCAATAAGCGTACGTTTCTCTTCTTCTGTGAGTGTTAAAGAACCGGTGGAGCCCTTTGGTTGAGTACTAATCAAAGGCGTGTGAATGGGCTGCCTTGTTGAAGAGCCATGATGCGCTAATAAAACCCTCGCGGCTGTTGTGCCCTTCGTTCGCACAAGCAAACCACCTCCTGGAGAAGCAGGTTGAGAGATGGTAGTGAGGTTATCTTCGCTCTCTTCGCTGCTGGAGCAAGATGGCGGGGTAGGTGGCAGGTGGAACGCATTACCGTCAACTTTGATACTCAACTTAGGAGCAAGCTGAATGTGTTGCTGGCTGGTGAAGATGTTGTTGGTCGCCGTGAGCATCACATTACAAGCCGTACTCTTGAGCACACTCTTGGTGTCGCTACTATCGTTGGTAAGAAAGGAGGTGTTGAAGAATTCGTCGCCCATCTGGGGCTTAACGTCTAAATGGCTTTCATACGTCTGGTAGCTCTCGTGTTGCGGGGATGATGGGCAAGAAGAATGCATACTGTCTGTTTCGCTGTATGGCTCATCTTTAATGTCAATCTCATCGCCAAGGCGTACTCCGCATGCGGTATTCATTGATATTGCAGGGTAACATTCATCTTCCATGTCTAAATCATATAAATTATTATTATAACAAACATTTTCAGAAAGAAGTGAAATATTTACCATCAATTTTTGTGTTGCTTGAAATTGGTGAGTCTGGCAAAGAATCACCATCAGACGCTAGGCTGTACGAATGTTCAGATTTGATGGGACGTGGTTCAAGGACAGTGTCTGACATTAGTCTATCCTGCAGGATGACTTCTGAGTTCGGCAACTCCTTCTCGAACAAATTCCATTCGGACAGTTCAGACTGAAACAATACAAATCAATATTAGCATCACATGCGTGTGCAAAGCCGGTTCCGCACGTGTACCGTTACACAACATCGCTGGCATTCTCTTACATTCCATTAATTGCGAACGGCGAACGCGCATTCCGCCGATGGCGAAGAGGCCTTATACGGCACGCGGTTGATTCATCAGCTCAAGTGCTCTGAACTGCAATGTGCAGTCGTGCACATTACGCAGACACCTGACACCTGGACTCCCAGGTCACATAACCTTACTTTCGTTCTACCTGCGCTTCAATTCGCCGATTCGCAGCCGAAATATTTTTCAAACCAACGCCGAATGAAACAACTAAATAACCGTATGGTTCGGATTCAATGAGTCCATTGTTATAACTAATTCAAGGGAACATCGAACGAAACACAAACGTTAAAACATTAAACCCACCAGCGATGCCGGTGCACCGGCTCGTTGCGCTCGATTTTATTATCGATCCGATTCTCCCGCCCTCACCTCTGATAACACACCAAATCGAACGAATCGATAGGTTGTTTTATGCGAGTTAAAAATGAAATTTGTTCCGCCATCGCAGAAAATGGCCGCGTTCGCTTGAGAGTGGGCTAATGTCAACGCACTCTCGGATTCTTTTTTCGCACGCTTTGCTGGTTACCGAAACCTTCACCTTGCCACTACATAGCTTGTTGTGTGCATGAGCCGCACGAGAAACAAGCAACGCGCAAGAAGTACATAACAAGTAATAAGTACGAGCAATGGAGTGCGTTCTCATAACAATAATAATGGAAATATATTTCTGTGGCGTGGCTTATGGCCTGCCCATTAGCGCCATCCATAATATAATAATATATAATTGCAATTAAGAGCCGAGACGTCTGGCGGTAGGCACACGCGTTTATTTTTATACTACGAGTCATATTACAGATAGTAGAAAACATTACTGCATGTTAAATGAACTATTCTGTCCTACTTTTAGAATCGTAAATCGTAAATTGGTGTTTACATAGTTTTACCTGTGCTCAAATAGAAAAACAACCATTTTTTACATGACATCTATAATATCAAGGTAGTGATGTACCTGTTGCTAATTGCACTTATTAAGCACATGCATCTTTTTTTAAATTAATTTTATGGATAAATTACAGCAAAATTGGTGTGACTGAAAATGTTTGCGTTAAAATTGATTTAAGATAAACCTAACCATGAAATTAAAATCACATAATCAAAAAAATACATGAAAACAATGTATTAGGTTAGGTTATCCATAAAAAATCAATTGCAACCTCAAAAAAATTATCTGATGTTAAGTGGTTGTCACATTTATCAGCATGTTTGCATGTTTTTTCTTTGCGCTGTCAATTGTACACGCGCGATTGTTTGTTAAACAATATGGCTACGTGTGTTTAAGCGCAATTACAAATATTATTGTTTTGTCTCGGTGAAGCGTAACAATTTCTTTCAATACATTGTTAATTTTTAATTGCACTTTTCTTTGACAATCAAAAATAATTTTTATTAATTTTTTCGCTGTTTATGGCCGAAATAAAACACACAACTGTGCACACATTTTGCCCTATTTGTATTGTCGTTAAATGCGTTTTTACGCCTTTTACAGTAAGCGTGAAGCACGCTGCGCAAAACTGCAATTATAAATATTTAGACCGAATAGGTGCCAACTCATCCGTTACACAATTGTATTCTATCGAAAAACGTTCGCGAAGCAACAAAAAGCGTCATCGACCAACAAAAACAAAAAATAAAACTATCCCCGTCTTATAGCACGCTAAAGATTGCTGTTTTTTTTTTGTGTGTGTTTGGGTATCAAAGAAACACATTTCTTCTTTCGCTAATGAAATAATGAAATACTGTTGATGGCTCGTGCGGTCATCTAGTCGGGTCGTTCAACTTCCGTTCTTTACTTTAACGTTGGTTTCACGTTCGTTCCGTTCTTTGACAAGAGCCTGAAATACACACACACTTTGCGCAACGTTATTTAGCGCTATAATTTACTTATTATTCTTATTAATGACGCAAATGCGGCAGCGCTGCGATTTTATGGCGTTCCGCGTCTGAAGTCTGCAGAAAGGCAACCGCATTAAAAACCATTACATTACTCTACAAATACATATTACTACACTTAAATACTAAAATTAGGCTTCGATTAACTGCCGTGTTGATAGTACACGCACATTTAGATCACTGTTTATGGTAAAAATAATGATAATACTAACAATTCTGCGGGGAATGCCCGAAAAGAACTGAAATGTGAACTGATATGATAATGTTAATATCGGGCACTTCCTTCCTGTCTCACACTGTTAAAATCCTAACCTAAAATTCATGTAAACGGCTTTAATTTGAATATCTGTTTTAATTACTTTACAAAACGAGCAATTACCTAACAGCGTTTGTTTTTCAGTGCGCGAGCTTAGCAGGTAATTGATTGTTTAAACATTTGGGTTGATGTCCTCACGCCGGCCGGCATGACATGACTTAAGGCCAAGGTTATTCGGACTTACTTAAACTACGCTTCAAGTTTCGAGTTGAAACTGAAAGCATCACAAACAGATATGAATATAAAATTCGACTGAATGTAAATTTAATTACGTAACGCATAAACCAATATATCGTGATAAGTTTTTTGTTGCTCCTCGGGTTGAAGCAACTTTTGACCGACGAGTCAAAGAGTCAACGATTTCCAAGTACGAATATCTAATTTACACCTCTGGCGATACATCTACAAAGAAACCGTTGCGCGTTGTATAAAAGACATAGGTAATGATTGTCGCATTTGTCGCATCACACATTATCACCTGTTGATGCTGTTGAATCAATTGTAAAATGGCAAATAAACTGAAATATTACTCACTGATACGAGGAGTATCATCAAACGAAACAACTGTTGGTGTGAGTGCCGGGCGCGCCGGAATTTCATCGTCGAAGCAAGTCAATGGACTTTGCTTCATAAATATTCCGGCAAGTTTACGCGACGCCGAACACGAGACCCCATTCGTGTGTGAACCTGAACCTCAAATTTTAAACGTAAAACGCATCAACAAGAAGCCCAAAGAAGACGAGAAGTGTGAGTGCACGATACGAATATTAAAAATCATAGGGAAGTTGTTCAATTCAGTTGAATTCTAATTCGTTCTCCTGGGAATGAAAAATAAAAACCTAACCTTAAAAATCATTAAAAATATTTCTCTTTTTTAAGATTTGTAGGTTATGTTATGTATTCTAGGAATTATTTATCTTCCATGAATGGTTATTAATTAATTCGGTGTTATTTTATTTATGGGATGTTGTTTACGCCACGCCAGTCTTCCTGGCGTCACGTCCATTCTATGTATAAGGGTGAATGGGGTGAATCTGAGCCCACCCCACATCAACAACACTTCCCCCCATCGGTTCAGCTGCTAAGCAAGATGAATTCACAACGTGTCCAGGCACCAACACAGCGTGTGCGTTGATGTTTTGCACCCTTGCGATTACGTAAATTTATGCTGTCATCGTCATGAAAGGCGATTTCCTTCGCCCACGCGTGCAATTTTCCTCGGCGCGTAGGCTATATAAGTGCGGCATACGTCATTCGATGGTGTTTAATTCGGCCTGTTGCGCTCCACCTCGACACGTGGTTGCATTGTGCGAGATTCACGCGAATCCCTAAAAAGATCAATGACGTCATTCGCAACAAGTGCGTACGTTGAATAAATCACGTGGGCGTTGAATACTCGTACATCCCTATTGTGTGCATCAATTTACGTCGACTTTTAGTGATTCACAGATATTTATTTTTGTTGGTTGTTATAGGTTATGTTAGGTTATGTCATGTCAGCAGCGATTATAAGTAATTACGCAGTAAACCATAGTCTAATTAAGCTGCTTTTTTTTCATGGCAGCACTTTTAAAGTGACTTAAGTCGACGGATGTGGCTCGTTCCTGCAAGTTGACTACTTCTCATTCTATTCTCTCTTTGGTTTCATTTTCTTGCTCGGCATAATTATAATATAAGTTCATTATAACAGATCACACAGTGGGGAATTGTTTCGTTTTCACAGAGAACCAGACAAAAAATACAAATATTTACGATATATCAAATGACACCAGACTTACTTGCATCTGCAGATTCATTTGTCACTAGTCCGGACGTAAGTGAACCCACAGATTATCCATCGACACAGTCTGGATGGAAAGAACAGATCTCTTTTCAAAGTATTACTTTTTTCTTAATTTCACTAAATTCTAAGTATTTTCCAAGCAAAAACTTAATTTTTATGTTGAACTAGTTTTTGCCCGCGACTTCGACCCGATAGTGTTTAATAAAAATGTAATTCGTTTTTACTCTCTTGTTCTAGACATAGTTGTGTCAATTCTATCAATAAGATTCGCAATTTTATTTTAAAGAAATTAATTATATAAAGAAATGCTAATAATGCACTTCAGCGCGCCATCTCGGATTTAACTATTTAACTATAACTATGATTGAATCTTAATGCCAACTTTTATTCTATAAAAAAGGTTGTCTTTAGAGTTTGCTCGGCAATGATTCAAATTTTTCTCGTCGTAAAAACCATCCTTGGACTTAAACAATCCAAAAAAAAAAGTATTGACCAAATTGGTCTAGGTGTTGTTGAGTTATGCGCATACCAACAGATTTTACGATTCATTTTTATATTGTAGATATAATTCCAAGGGACACTTTGAGGTTAAGTGACATAGTGATGTAATGATGAATTCAAAAATAGCGCACATTATGAAATTTAGGTTGTGCGCGATAAATAATAATTAGAATTGTAACAGTAGCAGGAAAAAAACAGCTCGTCCTTGAATTTTGCACGAAGTGTTATCACCGTTATCAATCCGCACGAACCGTCGATATATGTTCGTCGCACGTATTGTTTCATATCGTTTGTTCGGGCGTAATGTTCCGTGGACACTTTTATGAACTCCCAGTGATTTCCTCAATGCCAAATTGTCACGATGCGATGCCACAAACTTCGAAATTTAG